TCTAGAGGCTAAGTCGTCGCGAATATTCGCTTTTTTCTAGCTAAATAGTAATTATCGCGTTATCGTATCTATCCACGCTAACTAGCTAGTACGCTAATTAACTACCGGATTACTTCTTATTAACTATAGGTAACCTAGTATTATATCGTATTTATATAAGTCTATAATATCGAAGATAATTATCTTATAGTATCCTTATATCGCTACGTTAAGATAATCGGTCTCGTGGTCGATAGTCTTACTATTATAATCGAAGCTTTATCCTTCGACGTTAAAAAGCTTATATAATCGAGCCTTATAATTCTATAGCAGCGTATATTAGTTAACTACCGCTAATAAGATATAATTTCCTATTGCCCTACTATCTAATAGTGCTCGTAGGTAATATCCGTTAATCTAGACTTCTAAAACCGTTTTCTATCCTCTGTCTATCTCTACGGAGTAGAGGGTCTTTAGGTTTTCTTCGTCATCTTATACCCTTTTTATAAGCGACGTTAATAGTTTTTTAACAGGTAATATTCTATATCGATAGTATTATCCTTAGGGTCGTATACGTAGCTACTACCGTATAACTCTAGGTATGTCGAGGGGTATTATTTCCTTTCCTCTTCGCACGGGTGATATATATACCCGTAGTAATAGACTCCGTAGTCTAATATATATCTTTCGTAATGCTTATATATAATATACTACGTGTATGCCTTTCCTTACGGAATAAGGTATTCTCGTGCTCCGATCCTATATCGTAAGCGTAGCGTTTCCTTCGCTTTAGTATATCTTTCGCGGTTTATCTTGCCTTAGTTAATATAGTCTCGGTCCGCTTATTCGGTAGGGTCGAATAATAATCTTATACCGTTAAGGTGCTTCTTATATCCCTTATACCCTTATCTATAGCTTAAGGCATATTCCTTACTCTTAACTATCTTAATATTAAGTAATGCCTTTATAGTATTCTCGTATTATCGGAGCTCTTCTATCTCCTTTTATTCCCTAGTCCTATACTAATCGAATACCTTTGCCTTAGCGTGTCGTAGATAGTCCACTAACTAATATCTACGCTATATCTTTTAGTCTTATACGTATACTTCGGGGTATTTTACTAACTATCTTAGTATTATATATCCTATACTAGGTTCTACGTATATATACTCGTAGAACTCTACTTTATATTTTTTATATAAGTCGTTAATAACGCGGGTAGCTAGTCCCTTAATTAAGTAGATTTAATACCTTCTTTTATTAAGTATATATATTTTATAAAAGTAGTATATATAAGAGATTTATAAGAGTTCGTAGTATTTTAGTATATTTAGGTATATACGTGGGTCGTCTCCTAAGACTATTCTTCGGTCTATTACTTAATTAATTCCTTTATTTAGCGTCTAAGCGGGGATAACTATCTAGAGATCTTCCCCTTACGGTAGAGGGTCGTACCGATCTATCGCTATTTTTATCTATTCTCGTAGGGTTACTTATCCGTATAGTAAGTTAGTTTCGAGTATTTGTTTCTTTTATAGGAGCTTTTCGTCGCTATCTATAGAGTCGGTATCGGATAATTCTTCGTCTATATCGTCCGGGTGCTTCCCTAGCCCTATAGTAGCTTTACGTATTATAGCTAGAACGCGAGACCCGCGTAGTGCCTTAGGGAATTATCCTAAGTTTTCCTTGCTATCCCGGTAGGTTAGGTAACTATCGTCGTAGTATCCTAACTAGTATAACGCTTCGTAAGGTATTAGTTACTTTCTTACTTCTTCTCCGGCCTTTTTTATTTCCTCGAGGAACTCCTATCGTTCCTTCTCCCTAGAGGATATTATATTTTACGGGGGGCTAATATCGTATCCGGACCTAGTTATATTTAGCTACTTATACTTACCTTTAGGGACTAGTTTCTAGCCCTAACTTCGTTCTTTCTTTAGGGAATAGTATTCGCGCGTAAAGTATCCTTTCTTACCGTAGTTATAATAAGTAAGGTTCTTTTTATCTATCGCGGCGAGCTTTCGTTCTATCGCATCGAGATCTATTAGTCTTATATAGGTTCCGCCGAGAGCCGTGCTTTAGTAAAATCGAGGTCGACCTATATTAAGATAGATCCGATTCTTATTATTACGATCGCGGTTTAAGGTATTAGTAAAGTACTATCCTTTCTTCTCGCGTTATCGCTCGAATTATCGGTTATCGATCTTAACGGCTATCGCGATATAGCTCGCGAGGGTAGCGGGTCGGTCTTCCTTATATAGCTCGTCCTTAACCTCGTCCTTAAGACCTTAGTAGAAGGAGGCTATCTTATCTCCTTTACTCTTAGTAGTCCTAGACGCGATTTAAGTAAATAGGGCGCCGTAATCCGAGGCTAACCCTTTCTACTTTAACGCCTCTAGCTAGTTCTTAGCTAAGCGTTCTTCGTCGATAGTCCCGAAGGTCGCTTTTAATATTTCTTTAAAGTTATTATAGTATACGAAGATATCTTTCGTCTCTTATTTTCGGTATTAGTAAGTATTAATTACGAAGTCCCTAAGAGTAGGTTCGAACTATATAAGAGCGGCTCTTAATAAATATCCCGCTATATAGCGTACTTTATCTTCTTCCGTACGAAGGATAGATAGGAAGTACTATTAGTAGGCTCTAACCTAAGTTAGGAACCCTTAAAGGTCCTTAGTCATACTATCGAATAGTCCTAGTTAGCGTAGCTTTATAATCTCTCCTAGGTCCTTACCGGTAGCCTATCGAATAATATTATTACTTACGCTATTTATCTCGTTCTTTAGCTAGGCGGCTTATTAATATTATAAGGTTATTCCTTCGTTAAAGGAATAATAGGCTTCGTCGTATTATTGCTTATCGCGGGTCTATATATCGATAATTTACTATAGCTACCCTTATAACTCTTAGATTTATCCCTTAAGGATCTTCGTATCCTCGTTATCGGACTCGTCCGAGTCTAAGTCTCTAAACTAAGCCGTCTAGGAGGGCTCGGTATACTTAGCCGTGGCCTTACCTTTATCGGCGGACTTAGGGGTTATCTTAGAGGATTCGCTAGCTATAGTATTATATTACTTAAGTACTCGACACGGTAATATACTAAATAAGAGCTATTAATATATAACGTTCGGGTTAGACTAGCTATAGGGTAGGTAGATCTAAGGTCGGTTTATAAACTAAGTATACTAGGATATCGTTAACTTAAGCGGTCGGGTTATAGTCTACGTGCGAGATAGTAGATCTTATATAAATAATTATATTAATAGCTAAGGAGCTAGGTAGAGACTAACTATAGTAAAGCTAGGCTTCCTATATATTAAGTGAATATTATATAGTCGACGATAGTCGACTATCGTCTACGAGCGCTTTTATAGCGTAGTCGACTATAGTCGCTGGTCGCCTATAGTCGTCTATCTTACGTGGCATGCGGGTGACGTATGATAGGAGGAAAAAAGCGGGGGGCACGTGAGAGGCGCATGCGGTCGCATGTCGGGTCGTAATAGTTTAGGAGTTCTCTACGCAAACTTTAAGAAATATAAGGTATAAATTCCTAGCCTTATCTTAGTTATCATAAAGATCGAGCTAGATTTACTCCGGGTCTTTACTTATTTACGAAAAGAAACTAAACTAATTAGTTATTTTATTCTCTCCTCTAAGGTATACTCACGCTTATTAATCTTCCTATAATTAATTACGACTTAACTAAGTCTTATCCGAAAGAATCGAGTAAGTATCGCGCTAAGTTTCTCGCTAAAACTAGAGTTTCTTACTAATAATAGCCTTACTCTTAGGTCGTAACGAAGCGAAACGCTTAGAAGTCTTTAGCGCTAATATACTAAATAGACGCTAATCGGTAGTAATTATAGAGAGGTATAGCTTAGAGATTATTAAGGGAAGGCTTTCCGAACTTTAATCGGCGCGAGGATAACCCCTAAGGCGAGTTATATAAGCTAGAGAAAGACTAAAGCGGCGACCCTATATGCTACTAATATATATCTTCTATATTAGCCTAGGTCGCTATTATCGCTACCTAGGAGACGTCCCTCGTTAAAAGGCGTAAGGATAGGAATAAAAAGGGGGTAGGAAAAGCTATAAGAACGGCAGACGTCTCTATAGGCGCTTCCGGTAAAGCCTCGGTAAGATATTAGAAAGGTAGCACTAATAGGAGGTAGCTCGGCGGAAAGTAAAACAGTAGGACGGTGAAGGCGGCAGAGGAGGGAGAAAACGGTAGGCGCGGACGGTGCATAGAATCACGTGACACGGGACCAAGATAGCTAAGCCTCCCCTTAGCGGCTTGACTATGGGAGAGCGGACGGGATCCCGTATTTTCCACTGGGTATGGTCGTATGTGACGGTTTTTGTGGTTAACAAATACATAAGCTGTTCGCCAAACAGGTGAGTCTTCTTTACCGTTCATCCTTTGATCCTGTATATCCGCAACTCTCAACTTTTAGTCAAGATGGGACTAATCACATACGTGTTGAAGCAGAGTAGTGACTACCGTGGCATTACCAGCACGGTGCCGCAGACTTGTGACTGCCGTCTTGATCATGGGATGGCGAAGCTATCATACTAAGATCGAGCGGACAAAGGTACAGCGATGCGACTTCAACGGCTACTGCAGCTACCAGTTCAAGCCCATCGCGGGCTCTGCCGCATACTTGGAGCAGTTCCATTCAGATGGCACTCCATATCATGGCGTACGTCGCGCTGGGATACCTGCAAGGTCGGGACAAAAGATTGGGCTGAACATATGGGCTTAGGACTCGTCTTGGAGTCTAAGTCTAAGTTAATCAAGTCAGGAAACTTAAACCAAATAGATGAAATAGGATGAGAGAGCGGGGTCAGTGACACTCTCTGTACATTATGCACAGTTCTGTGCCGAGCAGCCGGACACGGGTGTCAACTTAAAGGCCTAGCATTCCTGCCAAACCAACTGTGATCCAAACCTTTCTCTTGAAGCTTGACTGGAAATGTGTGCGGTTAGAACAATTTCAATTCTACCGCAGGCGTTGCCTCGCATTATGGCAGCCGAAGAAGTCGTGTCTACCGCGAAAAAGATCATGCAAGAAGAAGCCGAGGTCTACAACCGCGTGGGCACCGTGCGCCTCTGCGATGCCTGTTTCGAGAATGTGGTCCGTCCTCTCATTCGCGTGGAAAATGAAATTCAGGGTCAGATGGCGGTTCTCGCTATGCTGCGCTGCGCTTCCCCGGACCAGGCATCTCGCGAAGCATCGGATGAGGCTGTCGGCCTCATGCGCGAGGCCGAGTCTGACATGACGAAGAGAAGAGATCTTTATTTACTCATTGAAGCGGTCAAAGAAAAGAACGAGACCCTCCATTTTGAGGAAGCCAAGTACTTGGACAGTCTCGTAAAGTCATTCACGAGAAGTGGGCATGGTAGGCTGAACGAAGACGAGATCCAGCTTTACCTGGAGAAGAGGAACCAAATTGATCATTTACGTCGCCAGTACAACCAGAATTTAAGAAATGATGATGGAGGACTGTGGCTTTCGCTCGACGAGCTCGACGGCGTGCCTGCACAGGACCTTGCCCGTTTTGTACCCGCGACAGACGAAGGCGACAGGGGAGACATGAGATTTGTTCGCTTCACACGAGCAGATGTCAATGCTGTCATGCAATACGCAAAGAATCCGGCCACGCGTAAGAAGATGTACGTTGCCAAAGAGAAAAAGCTACCCCCAGAATGTGGACGTGTTCAAGCAGATTATTCTGCTTCGCGACGAGAACGCGCGACTACTCGGCTATGCCAGTCACGCGGCCTTTCGCTTGGAGACCCGCGTGGCCAAGTCCACAGAGTGGGTGAACACGTTTGTTGATGAACTGGAACAAGTCCTCATTCCACAAGGGAAGAAAGAGATGCAGGCACTGCTTGCCAAGAGAAACCTGGACCTCCCAGAAAGGAGTGACTCAATGCCTCCCTGGGACTATGGCTATTATCACCGCCTTGTCCTCGAAGACCTCAACGTTGACCAGAACCAGATTGCGGAGTATTTCCCGCTCCAGAAAACGGTATCCGCCATGCTCGACATATTTGCCTCTTGTCTCCAGCTTCGGTTCGACTTGCTCGATCCTGAGCTTGTCGCTGACGCAATTTGGCACGAAGATGTTCAGGTTTGGGCTGTCTGGGACGCAAGAGAGGCCTTCCATGGTGAATTTGTTGGCTATCTCTACACGGACTTGCTGTGGAGACCGAACAAGCACAAAGCTTCACAAAATGTTAATCTGCAATGTGGCTATGTCAAAGAGGACGGCAGCAGGGTATATCCTGCCACGCTTCTCATGTGCCACTTTCCTCGTCCGACAGCCTCTGATTGCGCTTTGCTCAAGCACAGTGAGATGACGTCCCTCTTCCACGAACTGGGACACGGTATGCACGACCTCGTATCGAGAACGTTGACGGCACGTTTCCATGGACATAGGATGCCTCCGGATTTCTTCGAAGTGCCGAGCGTCATGCTCGAGAATTGGTGTTGGACGAAGAATGAGCTAAGACAGATGAGCTGTCACTATTCCGCAGCAAGCCCGGCCTACCTGGCGGAGTGGCGTCGCAAGAACCCTGCACAAGAGGTTCCCCCTGAAACGTTGCCCGATGAATTGTTAGGTCCTCTCGTGCAAAATCGGAGTAAAACGAGGGCTTTGTGGTTTCTGCGACAACTGTACGTCTGCTGCATCCCCCTGTCTACACCATCCTTTGCTGACTTGAACTTTCACAGTGCGTTTGCTCGCTTCGATATGGCTGTCCACAATGTCTCTTCCCACGAGGAGTGTTTGAATCTGGACCCCGGTTCTATCTTCAATGACATTATGGAGAGGTTGCGATTGTTACCCAATCCCGACCAAGAAAATCGAGGACATCCCCAGGCCGCCTTCCACCATCTGGTCTCCGGCATGGATGCTGGCTATTATTCATATCTCTGGTATGCCAACTGACGGCCAATTCTTCTTCAATGCTAACAATCCACGTGAATAGCGCTGCTGTGTTCGCTGCGGATATTTACCAAAATACATTTATCCAGGATCCGCGGAGCCAGACCTCATGGGAAAGATATCGTCGCGGTATACTAGAGTATGGCGGTAGCAGAGATGAGATGGAGATGTTGGAGGAATTTCTCGGCCATCATCCTAGTTCTGACTACCTCCTTCGCAGCCTGTGATACCGATGGGGGGGACAGGGTTGTGGCGATGCTTGGTGTCGACTTACACGTACTGTGGTGCGCATCCAAAACGGCTTAGCGCAAAACCCCACGTTTCTTCAAGCCACGACCCTGAGTTTGCCATGGCCAAGACTGCAAATAGGTCCCGGCAGCTAAGTTATCATTTTATAATAATCCTGTCGTTATAAGTGCAGACCACTACTCAAGCAGCGTGAATAGAGTGCCCTATTTTGCCTGAAAGCCTGAGCGTCCTTGAGTCCCAGGCCTGCCCTAGTACTGCTTCTGTATCTGATTGGCCTGGTTGTTGAAAGTGGCACCCTACCCTGCTAGTAAGCAGGGACCGGGCCGAGGGACTAGTGACTACTTAGTTAGTAACTACTCACTACAGAGTAGACTCAGTAGAGCCATTACTGACCGCGCTGGCAGCTGTCTGGTTTGGTCGTGACCCCCTGCATTGTTATGGATAGAGTTGATGACCCAAGTGGTTCACCTTGGATGGATGAGTGATTCATTGTGCATGGTTGTGAAGCTGGTGATGGTACCTGCCACCTGGGGTCACGTGGAGGTCGCATGAAGTACTTACTTAAGGTAGCACGATAAGCCGCGATCGCGAGCACAAGAAAATCCCACCGACATCAAGCAAATTGGCCGTTGGTTCTCTGCTTTTCAGTCTGGGGTGTTACAGCGTGCAGTATTTGAAAGTCCTTGCCCACAACGTCTCAACCTTCTGCAGACATGGGAACACTAGAAACCTTTGCATCTGGCGGGTTCCGCCCCTTGTTGCCGCGGTGGTTCCTCGACAACGTCAGAACGCCGGATGAGCTTCAAGATCTCAAGCCACTCCTCAAACTTGTCGATGATGCGCTTGACAAGATGCCACATGCGAAATCCTATCAAGAAGACGATACGGGCGAAAAACATACGATTCCCTCCGAGGAGGACAGCACGAGCGACGACTTCAGCATTGACCGACTTGAGATGGAGGACGTGCTGGATATGACAGCCGCGCTGCACATGACGGACCTGACGCTCATGCCGGCCGCAAGCCCCTGTGCGATTATCTTGCTGAGCAAAATGCGATTAGGCTACGACTTTCTGGACCGGGTCGTCGTTACCATGGCTCGAGAAATGGGCTCCTCTCTTATCACTTTCACCTCTTCGGAGCTGCAGGATATCGCATGGGACTTCTTGCGCCAAAGAACGCTATACCTGAAAGAGCATTCAGAAGACACCCACGAGGCTGGAAGAGGTGGTGCAGCTGACGATGACATCGAGCCGATTGAGGACGCCGTAGAATACTTCTTCGGGAACCGATCGAGGCCCAACGCGGAAAGCAGCGACACAGAGCGGAATGCGCAAGCTATATCTGTGCTCTTGGGGGCGGCGACGGCTAAGACGGAGGCTCGCGAGGCCACGGATGGAGGATCTAAACCTGACAGGGTCTCATCAACGACCTCAGATATCGATGGTTCTAGCATTGTTCTCTATATGCGCCACACACTATTCTCCATGCCCTGTCTGCAAAGAAGGATTCTCTGCAGGATCAGAGATGCATTAGTCCAGCGCAGACGGGCAGGACAAAGAGTGACACTCGTCATCGGCTTTGCCCACACGGAGGCCAATGAGGAGACTACGGCAACAAGCGACCATGCGGAGCATCCGTGGCTTAAGCCAAACTGCTCATGCCATCTCTGTGTATACGAAAAAGGCAAATGTTGCGACGAGTACATCTGCTCACTCCGCACCATGAGAAGGAAGCTTACAGACGCGAACAAAACTTTTTTTGTACTCGAGCCCAAGAGCGTCCCGAAGGAGTGGCCAGGGAATCGGCTAGACAATTGGCCACCATCGTTGGTAATGGCGAATATCCAATCGTTCAAGCGATATTTGCGTGAGAACTTGCCAGGGGTATCCTCATGGCCCGCGGATCTCTTGGATCCCGAGTCCGACTGGACTGCAAGCTTATCCAGCGACAAGTTCAAGTACTTTTGTCAGCAAACCAGAGGAGAGGCATTGGTCGTGGAACTTGCTCGGACGTATGTCGTGGGCAGAGGGTTGAGACAAAAGTTTATCCGCATCTCAGATGTAGAGACTGCTTTTGATCGTGCCGAATTAGCTGCACGCAGCCGTGGCTTCGTCAAAACTCGCCCAGCAGCGACCAAAGACAGCACAGACATTGGAGAGGGGACAGGGCCAACCTGGAAACAGAAGATAGAGGCAGTCCAACCCAGCTGCAACGAACAAGAACAGGAACTCCTGTCCAGCGTCTTGGACCCGGGTAAGCACAGCTTCGGATTCAATTTCCCAACTTTGTTGAAGGTTGACACCATTGGAGCTAATCTCAGTATTAGAAACCCTAGGAGGAACACAGGACGAGATCGATATAGGCGAGGGCATCTTCGAGAATCTGTCGCGACTCGTCAGTCAGACCACAGGTTCGGCCGCTTCCGCCCTTTCACGAAGCGCAAGAATCACCGGGGCTTTGCTCTACGGACCACCCGGAACGGGAAAAACACTGCTCGCAAGAGTCCTGGCGAAGCAGACTGGGACGACAATGATCAATCTGGACGCGTCCAGTGTCAACTCCAAATGGGTCGGTGACACGGAAAAGGCGATCGCGGCGGCATTCTCTCTCGGACGGAAGCTCTCCCCGTGTATCATTTTCATTGACGAGGTCGATGCACTATTCTTCCGCCGGTCTGACGATGATGCCTGCTGGAGACGCCAGGCGCTCAACCAGTTCCTCCAGAGCATGGACGGAGTGATGCAGGGAGACGACGCACCCTTTGTGCTCGGCGCCACCAATAGACCTTTTGACCTGGATAGTGCCTTTTTGCGCCGCATGCCCTACCAGGTCGAGTTCGGACTCCCGAATCTTGATGCGCGCGCCCGCATTCTGCGCATGATCCTCAGAGAGGAGGAGCTCGATACAGACATGAGGATTGACAGTCTCGTGATGGTGACGAGAGGTTTCTCCGGGTCTGATTTGAAGAATTTGTGCGCACAAGCTTCTTTAGCTTGTTGGCTCGAGCAGAACACAGGAAGACCAGGCCGCGATGTTGTCCCGCAAACCAAGTTGGCACATCATCATTTTTCTAAGGCGCTCGAGATGACTCATGCGACTGTCTTGGCGAGCGACGAGCATGCCATTGCCAAGTTCAAAGATCTTCATGGAACAGCCCTACAGACGGCCCAGATGATGAGAATGTTTGTCGAGATGAAGCGGGGCACAAGGAGCGATGGCGATTCTTCTTCCTGTGGCGACGATTCTTCCGAGTCCAATGGGGAATACAATGTTGGAAGTCAGCCTGCAATGCTCCCACCACAAGATGGTGATCAAGTCCAAGCGGTGGTCGAAATCGCAACTGAAAAAGTCGATGCCGATCGTGAGTCAGACATCCATAGGCAGGAGCTTGAGGTCAATGTAGACGCAGGGTCTGACGCAGAGCAGCGATAGATGGTGCTGGCAGAGCAACTGTCACAGCATCAGCGTGATGGCAAGAACGACAAGACAGCGCCGACTGAGCTGACCAGTCAGTGGCCAAGAGAACAGGATGTCATTGGAATGTCGCCTGCTGCACCAGGGCCAAAGCCAGTTCTTCTGCCGGTCATTTAGCCCCGTCCTGATTGTCTCGGCAGACAACGGAAACTGTACTACCCCTACGAGTCGTTACCAACCCACACGTCGATTCGTCTAATGAATGGAGAGTCGAGCTACAACAGCCCAGGGGCTCGGGCGATCTTGAAGTTCCTGCCCGCTGCTCTCTGTACGTGGTCTCGCTCAATGTTAGCCCAGATTACTTTGCGTTATTCTACGCATGGGGAGAGCCGCGGACCGATCACACCCACAAGGATAATTTCGTGTCACACGAGCACTGGGGAGCCCCTGCGTTTGAAATATACTGTGACCAGCACCCAGTTTCGGTATCTACGAATCTGTACACGGCCATAGTCAGTTTGAGGACGCACTTCGCAAATAGCTCGATGGCTGCGCAATACGGCGATAAGTATACGCCACAGGGACAAGACCATTTCTACATCTGGATTGATGCCATCTGCATCAATCGTGATGAACTGGAAGAGAAGGGCCAGTAAATTTCATTGATGAGCCAAGTCTACGGAAGCTGTCGATGCGTACTCATGTTGCTGGGAGGGAGTGAGCCGCTCATTGACAAATGGTGGGCAACAACGCGGCAAACGTTCGACCGAGTGATAAGCAAGCTAGGGAGCTCGGAGGGCATGTTTACTCGCCTCGAGCTAGGCAAGAAGCTTGACATTCTCGACAAAAAGTCGTACGTAGATCTTGGCTTAGAACCACTAAGTAAGGAACAGCTGCTAGGGTGGCATCCATCTCCTTATCAGCCGTTCGTGGTTCTCCAGAGCTTGGATCATGCAAGAATGGGCTTTGTCTCCTGAAGCACTCCTGATCTGTGGAGATATTCTAATTCAACCCCGCGAGTTTGCATTTCATTTCGACCAAGTCCAGGGGCGGGGCTGGAAGGCCGCTGTCCAGGGACTGGTTTGTGGGCGAATTGATGGCAAGCTTCACAACAAGGACGACCCCAACGGTGATTACCTTGCCGATGTCCCAAGTTGGGATGATGAAGACATTCCTAGACGGCTCTATGCTGCGGGAGGTTTTGAACACCAGCACACGAGCTCGAACGGCTCGATCCTGCAGGTATCTGTCCTTCGCGCCATGTTCGACCACGATCCCGAGAATTATTCTGTTCTCCAGGTATGTTCGTTCGTGATCCTCCCAAAAGAAACATCATGAACGTTCCAGCTGAGTAGTCCCACACTCTCTGTACACGATGCGCCAGGTCTGCGAGATTACAATTGACGCCTTCCGCGACCTGCGGTGCTCGGATCCCCGAGACAAAGTGTACGCATTCCACGGTCTGTTCCGCAATAAAGATGGATCCGCGATCTTACAAGCACCCGACTACACCAAAACACTATCTGATGTGTATCTTGACGCATCAAAGGTCATTTTCAGTCAGATCGGCATCCGTATCCTGTGTCAACGTGAAGACCGACACACATTTCCCGGTGAGCTGCAGACCTGGGCCCTGGACCTTCGCGAGGAGAATAGCGGTTTGTTTGACACCAAGACGAAGCACTATGGTGCGTCGAGAGGACAGCGAGAATGGGTGAAGCAAAACTCAAAGGCTCCAACCTCGTGGTAAATGGTTATCGAGTCGACACGGTTCATCGAGCCAGCTTGTATCCAAGCAAACGTCGTAGCTCTCAAGAGGGTCTCACAGAGGTCTTGGAGATTCTATCTTTTCTTCCTGAAACATCATATATTGCGGCCCGGGTGAATACCACGGGACAGACACTTCCTGCTGTGCTATCTCTCCAAGCTCGAACAGAGGTCCTATGGCGGACTCTGCTGTTTGATCGGAGCGAAACGACACAGCATCTACTTCCATCTCGGTTCGGAGCAGAACACAGGGGGAGCATGCAAGAGGAGTTGCAAAGCAGGATGGGCCACGTGGTCGATACCTTTGTCTGTCAGGTGCTCCTGCCATTGGCGAAGAAAATCTAAGACCACGTGGCCAATCCCACGCACACCCACGTGAGGGCTATGAAAAACAGCGAGGCTGTGCGCTGCGAAAAAAAATCAAATGCCAACTCAAAACGGAACTCTTGTTGATGGTCAAGGCAGAAGGGGTAGTAGGCCACGATCCGGAAGCCGCTACTGCGCAGGTCTTCGATTGTTTCTCTGCCATCTCGAGGCTCAACGGTGACATACCATTCGACTCTTCGGAGCGTCCCAAGCCGCCCTTCTGGCAGAAATATCTACAACTGATGGATGAGTTGCAAACAGCGGCTATGGCGGAGGACGCCTATTCTGTCTGTTCGAGACTCGCAGACCTGCGAGATTTGCTTCGATCCATAGTATCCGAGCCTACTGCATCTGACATGTCTGGCGATCGGATGTTGTTTGCAACCGTCGAGGGCCGCTTGGGTGTGACTTGTGGTCCGATTCTGCCTGGCGATGGGATATGGGTACTTGCGGGCATGCCGTATCCAGTGATCTTGCGAGAGGCTGGGACCGGGATGTATTTTGTCATTCAGTGCGCATACGTCAATGGCATCATGCACGGCGAGGCCGTTCCTGTTGCTGAGCCTCCGGTGCTCGTCGAGCTAGCCTAAGTGGCTCTAGCTTTCCGTGTCGGTCGAATCGACAGAAGACCAGAATTTGGAGCATCGAGTCTTTCTATCGGACATGGACTAGGGTGGACTAGGTACTCTCTTGGTTCCTTGTCTTGAGGGTACTTGTAGCGTTCGTCAATGTTGAGGCCGCAAAGGCCTCCGCTGGGCAATGTATTGGGAAATGTCTTCCTAACAGGTGCTACAGCTGTCCTGTCGACTTTCGAGGGGGATTGAATGAAGCCGCTTTAGCCTCATCGCGTTGGACAGCAACAATGCGTGAACAACCTCTCCTATTCTGACCTCACATCCTCTCAATGTCCTCTCTAATCTTGAGCCAAGTCGATGGTAGCAGGACTCCATTCAGCCAGTAATTCCCGCCGTGGTCTTTGCCCAAGACCACGACTACATCTCTCACTGCAGAGCTCGATCGCATAGAGTCCGCATGGTGATACACAATCGTCCCAGGGGCGTTGTTTCTCAACGGCCCCATCTCTCCTGCACGCACAACCGCAGGGCTAAAGTCCGCCGTTTTGAAGATGTTGGCCCGCTCCCAGTTGGTGAAGGGCAGCAACACGGCATCCGAAGGACAGCACAAGATATTGGGGTCGCCGCCCGTCTTTGCGTTCTGCAGCAGCTCGCGGAGGAAGGCGAGGACCTGACCTTCCGTCGCTTGCTCCACCAGATGCTGCCGGTTCTCCAAGGCGACGTGCACCAAAGACTTCGTATGACTATCCTCAGGTAGGGATGCAAAGGCTGCCACCGCCATATTCTGAATGTAGACAACGGGAGAATTGGCCAGCGATGATATTCTGAATCGAGCGTTGAGGGCGTGGAGGACAGTCACCGGCCGCGGTTGTGGCAACGACGAAGTGAGTGCGCGCGCGACCCATGCCGTGAGCAGATGTCGTTTTCCGCTTGTCGACGCAATTCGGCGACAGCACAGCCTTTCGAGGCAGGAAAATCGTGCGCGACTCAGGGAGGGGATGACATATCATGTCCCAGGCAAATCGCGACCCTAATGCGAGGAAACCCCATCCTTTCAAAGCTTTGTCCGACTTTGAAATCCTCCTTGGCCTCCACGGGTGCATCTACAGCCGCACGGATGGCCTCCTCTCGAGCACCCAGAACAGGTGGTACATCGGACACCCGACCAGCCAACACCATGGACCAGCCGCGCAACAGGCCCTGTTGGCCCATTACACCCATCAGCGTGTGAGGCCATGAAAGTGAGACGAGAGTCGCGTCGTTGAATAGGGTGATGTGCAGTGATAGCTGCGGGACGTCGTGGTAGATGAAGTCATCTAGAGCCTCCGGCGCCCCTTTCCGAGCCGCAAAGGCCCGAAATTCTCCAGGTCCAGGCTGAACAGAGGCCCTGTCGGTCCCTTTTGGAAGTGCCCTCGCCAACTCATGTTTCTCGATATCAACGGCGAGGATTTCCTGGCTGTATGCTACCGCAGGGCGTTCGGCAGTGAATGGCCGCGGAACGTGGATCTCTACTGCACCTTTCTCCTATGTATGGGTCATCAAGTACTAGTAAGTAGCTGTTGACCGTCGAAAGCAGGGAGTATAGATGTCATCACCTACGTTCATCCGTGCGAGTCCCCATCTTCCTCCAATCCCCGATCTCCAGAAGCTCCGAGAGAGAGCTGTGGAGCTTGTCCGCATCCAGCACATTGTTGAAGCGCAGTGTCCAAGTCACGACAATACCCCGGAGCGTCTTGGTATCGTCTAACATGTGGAGAGGGTAGATCTCGTCCGTCTCGACAGGCGACGGCGCAGTCTTCAATTGGCAGAAGACATCCCGAGGGCGCGCCATACTTTGTCCATCTTGTCGGAATACTTGAGAAATGGGTTTGATGTTTTAACATTGCACAGGGGAATGCGGGGATATGATATATATAATATGATATCTATCGACTGTTGGTGCTTTCACGTATCAAACGAACGACCTTGGTAGAGCAATGCAGTCGCTATTAGGCAGTGGTAGCCTCAGGGGGGAATTAACACCCGGATAATTAAGGCTCTCGGCATCTACATCTATACGGATTGGACACCGTCACGCCGAGATGAGCTCGAGCGGGGATGCAGCTTGAAGTAATCAGGCTATTGTATCTAGCTCACGGAACTTGGGCGGTTCAAATACTCCCTAACTACGTAGAGAAAAGTCAAAATAACAAGTCCGTTGAGCATAGCTCTCAGAGGGAGAAGTAAAGGTGGCAGTGGGCGTTGAAGTACGGTGCGCGTTATTACGATGACTTGACCTAGTCGAGGACTGCAGTAGCCTTTTATGATTTGGAATGGTACGCGCGGGAGGGAATTGGCTAAAACTACTAGCAAATTTTGAGAGATACTGCCATAGCCCGAAATGTGTACATGTAGGTTTTTGAACGTGGATAGTACGTACTACTGGCGTGGTGCCGACAATAGGGGCCGCTTTGATTTTGACCGTTCATGTAGTCAGGAGACTACTTTATATAGCCTAGGACACAAGACAGAGCTTCTACCATATTCATTTTTATCTATTTTTAATCATCAAGCTTTAGCCTTCGTCAATTCGGGGGAGTTACTTCTGTCACGACCAAACCAACACGAACATAAACTACGCTTATCAAGCTCTAGGGTAGGTGGATGTACATGGGGCCAGGTGCACGGACGTGAGCAAACGCGTTCAAGACAAACGGTGGCAGCCACGTATACACTCGACATGAAATCTGTGCACCATAGCGAATCAAAAAGCAGGATGTTTTTGCTTTCCGCCGATTTCATTCTGTTTGTTTTCCTACCCCCCTCGTTCACGGCAATGTTGAAGCCCTCATGGTTTGGCAAGCTCGGCAAACAGCGTTGACATTGATGAAATGAGCGGATCACCAGGGGCGGGAATCTGATACAAGCCTACCATGCTTGGGGAAGCGGCCGTCCATTTCTCTCGCAAGCTCAGATATTCTGTGCGCCCAGCTCGATTACGCCGTGGAATCCGAAGAGGCATGCTTCGGCTGCCGAGCATGTTAACGGTTCGCGACCTGCATTCTCTCAGCACATCGACCTCGGAAATTCCTCACTGTCGTGGACGTTGCAAACAATGCGTTACAGGCCGCTAGTAGATGGGCCCGCTGGGTCAAGGCCAAGCTAGCGACGGGTACAGGCTGCGAGTCGGGCGGTTCCACGCCAAAAGCACCTTATTGTCAATTCTCCGAGGGACTGGACCAGAAAAGGGCGGTGATGAGTTGGCAGTGAGTGAATCTAGCCGCCTGTCTGCGAGTTGAGGTGGCCTGCCGAATGTGTTGGCTATCTATCCGTTGGGCTGCGTAGAGGGAGAGGGGAGCCAATGATTGATACGTAGTACAATTCGCTACGTATCACAGAGGGAGGCATCCATCTGCCGCGTGCCCTCCAATCCCCCTCCAATGTTGCATGTACTGTGTGCAACAGAACACAGACTGTGCTCCGGAACGCTGCCCGCTTGCCGAGCTGTTAGTGCTGTCACCACATGTCCGCCGCGATTCCATCTGCGACGCCAGAGCGCGCCCCCTGGGCCTGGATGCCGGTGCCTGCAGCTAGCACTGTGCGTCTACTGCCCCTTGTGCCTTGTGCCTGACGCTATACTCTTTTCGTCCCCCTGTCAATGCGCCTGGGCGGATGATGGATGGATCAACAGAGTTTTAATATCGCGCTCTCCCGCCCTCTCACTCGTTGCTATTTCTGCACAGTCTCTTCTTCTCTTCCCCCCTCACGACACCGACACTCTTTTCTTCAATCTCGTCTACACACTCATTCTCGACGCAGGCATCGTTTCCGTTACATCTTCGCTCTCTGATACCCCCTCTTTCAACTTCAAAGCCAAGCCATACCGTCGCCGGTCGCGTATCATCTCACTTCTTCCACTCAAGACGACGTTTTCAAACCCATCATTCACCATGCGCTTCACCACGGGAATCGCCGCTGTCGCTGCCGCCGCTGGCGCGCACGCTCAGATTGAGGGCACCACCACCATGACCTCGACCACCACCATGACCAAGACCGTCACCCAGTGCAACCCTACCGCCACGGACTGCCCTCTGTGGCACACGACCTCGAGCGTGGTCGCCGAGACCACCTCCATCGTCCCCGAGACTACCACCTCGACTCCTGAGCCCGAGCCCGAGACCACGACGGAGACTCCCGTTATCGAGACCACCATTGCTGTCGTCAGCATCAACACCACCGTCCCTTGCACTACCAGCAGCTCCAAGACCACCATGACCTGGTCCGTCTCGCAGAACTCGACCTCTCACGGGCCTACGGGGTACCCCGGCACCACCAGCAGCGGCGTCCTGCCCACTGACGTCCCCGAGGGTCCCTCAGACACTGGCTCCGCTCCCTCGACCGTGCCCACCGACGACACCCCCGGCGCCGGTGTCACCTCTGTCGCCCAGACTGGCTTCATGGCCATGGCCTTTGCCGCTGTCGTTGCCGCCATCTTCTAAGTGCGGCAGTCTGGGGGCTAGCCAGTGGCTGCTTCGAACCCTGGTGGTTCCTCAACAACATGTTGGCGCGTCACACGCGCCACTCTTTCTACTTTTACTTCAATCTGCTTGATAGACTTTTCTTCGCAGGGGATGGGCGTTTGGAGACCACTTCTTTACATATGACATCTTCCGCCTTTGGGAGACCAGGCCGCGCTTGGTCCTGTCTATAGATTTTTTGATACCTACAATTACATTTGAGCGATCATCACCAACGAAGCTTATCTCTGCTAGCGTGTCATGTGCGTACATGTACACAGGTCGAAGTCGCCTCGCTGCATTCCCATCAGCGTGTCTGGCTCGCAGACGCGATGCACGTCATTGCGCTGGTGCCGAAACTTTGTCTCAGCCCTCAGCGCGGTGTCACAGGCGCCCATGTGTCAAAACCCCCATAAGGAGATAGCGCATCTCATTGTGATAAAACGCTGCATCAATGGATAGCTGCAACGTATCATCGCAGCCATCATCTGTTAGAGAGGTGGATGGGAGATGACAGCGACGCAGCTGCTCAAATCGATTCAGAAGACACGACACATGGGCAACTCCCCTCTGATGCGCTTCACAAAAATCGTGCAATCTCGTATCAAGTCAGACATGCCTCGCGTTTCAAGTGACAACCCAGCCTCGTCCACTATTGTATTGCATTCCGAAGCGGGAGAAAGGACATGGACCTCTCGACGGGCCGGACCATCGCTTGATCTCCACCCAGGTCCGCTCCGGAGCTCCATCGCCGGTCCCGATCCCGGTCGCGGCTCCAGTGATCCAGTCCGTGAGCCGTGTCCGATGTCCCCGTCGGCCACCACACATCCGTACACGGTCATGTTGTCTTGTCTAGAACTAGCCAAATTCAAATTCATATTTCAAGTGACAAATACGTGCACGTGTTTGCGACTGAAAAAATTATTAAGGTTCAGCCACTCGCAGCGACACGAATTTGAAATAAATCGCCCTAGAGTGTGTGTGGCCTGAGAGAAATGTTGCAGCTCAAGAAAAAAAAAGAGAAGACAAGAAAAAAGGAAAAGACTATAAGTTGGAGCCCCATCAAGTATTTGAACTCAGCACATCCAGATACCCCAGAACCCACAGATCGCATCAGCACAGGCAGCATCTTCAAAAACTACAGCAAAAGTCGCCATGGGTAATATATTCTCCTGGTTCGTTCGGCACCTTCTTGTCCACGACCACCCTCCTCCGCCCATCCTTCAGCTACCAGTGGAAATCCTGCTCGAGATCACTGCCTATCTTGAGCCGCACCCAGTATCATTGGGATCCCTTACTCTGACCTGCAGAGCCTTCTACAGGCTTCTCCAGCACTGCCTTCACGAAAGGCACGACGAAATTACGCAGGGGCTGCTCGCTCTACTGGAGAAGGACCTAGGCCACAAATACTACCATTGTACGGGATGCCGGAAGTTGCATACTTTTGACCCATATTTGACCGATGGGCTCACCGCGTGGCAATATCATCCGCCTGCGACCAAGAGTCGAAACTGCTGCCGCGACCTTCGGGGGTTTAGTCCCAACTACGGGTCTGCTCAAATCTTGTAAGAAACAAACTTGAAATCGCCACACCGCCTGCAGCAAGCTAATCTTCTTCCACAGGGACCGTGTCATTGCGCGTCTCGTCACAAATCGACATCTGTACGGGGCACCAAACGGCCTACGTCTGACCGTTCTCAGAACCCCTGGATGGGCGTGGAGCTGGGAAGGCGGCCCATTGTGGCTACAGAGCTCAGACGGAAGGATAGTCGACGGCGAACTGATTCTGCGGACAAAGCACGAGTTGCAAGGCCGGGGCCACAGCGTACGAGAAGCAATCAACGAGGGCCGATATCGCCTGTGCCACCACGTGATGACGGACCCCTTGGATCTGGTCTACCCGCGGAGAAACAGTCTGCAGCATGTTCCCGAGCTTGCGGATATTGATGTTCTCAAAACATGCGAGAATGGCTCAGGTTCGTGCAACGTTTGTTTAATGGACTACACAATCACTATTCGACAAGCCGAAGCGCGAGAGCCAATGTATTCAACAACTGCCCCGGGAGCTGTAAGTATCACATTATAACCCTCCGCAATCTGTCCACGCTCTGAACAACTGTTGCAGGTGTACTACAGAGTCGTTCCGAATGGTTGGCAAGTGACCATGGTGTCCTACCACCTCCTCGGAGAATGCCGTGATGAGGACGATTGGAAGTGGAAAGCATCTGTGGGAAGTGGCAAGTACAGTGATCCAATTTGCAAAGGCAATGAACGTGACTTGGATGCCTTTCCTCCGGGCCAAGTCAAGAGAATGTGGGACAGTCTGAACCAAGCGACTTTATGATAGTCAAGTGCCCACAGCATGGGGTAACTAAGCACCCTGCCTACAAGCATTTTCACTTCAAAGGGGATGATATTTTCTTTGATGCCTGGATTGTTCACAGGCTCAAACAGCCCTTTAGCAAAGATCAGCCACATTGTCAAACAGCCAGCCCTTGGCAGCCAACGACGAGGTACACTCCTGTCGATTACCGTATCACAACAACCTTAACATCGCTCCACGACGAAGGCGTCTTGCCTAAACAACAGCACGTCTCTTTGCAGGTGAAGAGACGTGGGTGTCCTAGCCACCAAACCTGGGGTCTCCTGTCTTCTCCTGTGTAGAGTGTCAGCGGTATCGCACCCGACACGTGCAGTCGACATACCTGAGGCTCCCCCTTGTTACCATCTATGTGATGGAGTCGACGATGCTAGAACTCTTGCCCACAGAAGCCCTGGAATGTCTCGAAGTGCACCCTCATCAACTCACGGCGAGTCGAGTCTGTGTTGTGTAACATGGTAGTCGACGAGAGCGTGCCCGGCCTATACTGAAATTCTGGGTTGATCACATCGGCATTGGGCCTGTAGCTGGCTGGAGTATTGCTTCCAAAGATTGGGAGAGAAACTGAGACCTGAGGAGTGTCAGCGAGGAACAAATACCGATAGGGGCTGTACTGGTGGTCTCAGCCATTGTCATGCAGCTCGCGTTGGCTTCACCTGCGCTACTAGAGCACAGGCTACTGGACCCCAGCACCACGATGAGGTCGCGAGCGCTTGCTGGGGGAGCACCATGTTGAATGATGCCCCACGACCCTGTTCGGTCAGGTCGTGCCGTCCGTCGGCGTCAGACGGCTTCAGATTGTTACATCTGGTGTCCTCTTCACTGGCCAACACTGTCTGCACCAGCAGTGGGTCGGAATCGGAACTCTGCAGTCCAATGCCCAGCAGGTTCCCCAAAGGGTCCCTGAGAATCCGTCATCGAGGACGATTGACGCGATGCCTCGGACAGGGCTTGCACACAACCCGACAGAGTCGAGATCTCCTCAGCCAGTTGGGTACTGGCCTCGGAAGATCGCGACTCCACCGCATCGATACGCCGACCCAAGTCCTCGGTCTGCGTTCTGATCGCCTCTAGGACATCCTTAAGCTCAGAGCTTTGGGAGGCAGGCTGAGATACAGGAGGAGGGGGGGGAGGGCGACGTCGAGGAGGAGGAGGAGGAGGAGGAGGAAAAAACCGGTCTCGGATGGCGAGCCCGAGACGGTCAAGAAGACGGACGAGATAAATCGTCACCGAGCCGCCTATAACGACCCAGACGCAGTTCCAGTAATCACAGAAAGCCATTTTGACGAGCGGTGCAGAAAGCAGTGGAACAGCGATTTAGGGAGAAGAGAGAAACGAGGGGAAAGCCACGAGAGCCATCTGGATCCTCAAGTATTAAACAATCGAGCCGAAAGTGAAGGTTGTAGTTGCCAGTCGGGATGAATGTTGGCCAGTACTTGCTGAGATTGGCAAGCACGTACCTTCCAGTTCCAGTCCTGGGCCATGCTAAGGAAAGTGGGCTGGAACCATACTACACATTGGTCAATACTCATCTCCTCCTTCTATTTAAAAAACAACAGGAACTGAATACTCAGTAGCATGTTCAACGAATTGCTCGTGGTGTTCTGGCCCTATATCGGCGCAGACATCTGTCAAAGCTCTAAATGTACCCACGCGGAAAGGAGATCAAGCATCCTTAGAATAACTCATGAAAGAAAGCTTGAGTAAATGTCCGGCTCTTAGGCAAGATCGTCCGGACCCATTGAGGAAGGATTCAATGTTGGAGGCAGGAAGGACGTTCGTAAATTGCCGCCCGCCCTACGGTACCTGTATTTGAGGCACATAGCGGCACTGATAACACAAGAGGGACGACATGTAGTACGCTTTGGGTTGATTGAATACTAGTATCTTCCCGCTTTTCTAGTGTAAAGAGCCACCAATACCCAAAGTCGGCATGGGATAGGTACTCCTCAGTGTTCAGTGCGTTGTACAAATGTATGGTCCCTAATGTAGTGGGCTCCCATTTGATGTGGTAGATCTGTCAACCCGGGGACGCGCACGGCGAGGGCTCTCTAGCCAGACCCAGATGTATTGCCTGATGTACATATCGATAACTCCATACAATGCATATTCCCTCTTGAATCAAGCGAGAATCCTCAAAACCAGGTTTTATCGCACAGTCCCTGTTCGGGCACGCCCAATAGTCGCAATGTGTCGGGCTGCGTCAGTTGCGGACTCCATTCACGCAGCTCCTTGCCGTAGATGCAGTTCAACAGATTATGCCGGACGAACAATCCCATCCTCTCCATAGATGCGAATCCCCCCACGGAGTGAACGATCTGAACGACCCCCATGGCATGTTGTGCTGCTGTTGCAAAGTCCCCTATTGAGATCTGTCCTGTCGTTAGCATCATCTTCCATCTCGTCTGGGGGGACTTGACCGCAAAGCACGTCAACATACATCGTCAAAGACGAGGACCATGGCAAGCGTAGCCGTGGCGACAGAAACAAGGCCGTTGCCGACAGCCAACTCCTGCTGAAGTGCTCGAATGTACGTCCATTTATATTGCTGAGCAACGTGCTCGTACCCTGCCTCCGGATACGCCATGGCCAGATGCCGACAAGCGGACAGCAGGAATCCTCTCAGGAACATTGTGCTTGTCGACGAGAGTAGCAGCCAATTCTCTGCTAGATTCCGCGCTCCGGAGGATAGCTGTGCCAGTACGGGGCAGCTGGCGTTCATACCAGGAAAGACTATGGTGATGTCTGCACGGGCGCGACAATGGATCAGCTCCTGATCATGTCGAGGTTCGGCTTCAATGAGACTTTCTTACAGTGATGGAAGAGCTTGTGCTCATTTTGGGTCAATGACTGTAAGAAATCGCGGAGTGGTTCATGCTCAAAGGCACCTGTGACGACGGCAGGGACATGTACGGATACACCAGGTCGCCCGCGAACGGCGTGACGGTTGCTACTCGACCTCCTGTCATCACTGGCTTCGTTGGAAGCCGTTTCCCGCTGCTGAGTGTATCTTTTCACCTCTAGGTTCCGGGCACGAGCGTGCGCAGCCCGCGCCGCATGGGAGTGCGCCTGGCGCTTCGTTTTGGCCGTGGCAGGTCGGCCTGGGTGCGAGACCACGACAAAATCAATCATGTCTGGAAGGGAAATACTTGATTTTGGAAAGAAAGCAGCCTTGGTTCAATTTCTGGCGGAAGATAGCACTTGATGACATGCCTCAATTCCTGATGCTTCCCCTCCCATTTGAAGTTAGTCCTTCATCATTCCTCCATCCTCAATTTGTCAGCGCCCAAAGGGCTAGGACTAACACGACGTGCATGCACAGGCATGCCGCATGATGTGACATCTCAGCCTTGCCAAGATCTGCTCCTACTATAAATGGCTAGCGGCTGATCGGATTCGGGCCTCCATCCTCGCTTATAAGTGGTAAGAAATGACTTTGTCACCCTCCACAGTGGCCTTGTACATGGCATCAAATGCCGTCACCACCTCCTCTGGCAGCGGGCCTGCCTCAATCGCATCAATGTTTGAATGCAGCTGCTCCATGCTGGAGACGCCGATGATGACAGAGTCCCCATGAGCCTTGGACAGGGCACTATGATGCGCCGTCCAGCGCAGTGATGCCGCGTGTCCGCTGATTCCATGCTTGGACGCCATCGCCGCAGCTTCATCAACCGCATCCAAGATGCAAGGGTGCAAGTAAAACCCCGCATAGAGAGCCCCAAGGCCATGCTGTACGGGGGCATGATCAGAAAAGGCACGTTTCCCGTGATTCGGCACAAGGTGAGGGTAGACTTACCGATGGGTCAAAGCGGCTTCCTGGCCGAACGTTTCGATAATTGCGAGCAAACAGCCCCCCAGCCGCCGGACTAAATGCATAAAAAGCCATGCCGTGCTTTCTTAGCACGGGGAACAGCTTCTCCTCGTTGCTCCGGACAGCCGCGTTGTACTGTCCCTGGTACACGCTGGGCTTCACGTAGCCATGCTGCTCGCACAACCTCACGAAATTCTCCACCTCGTCCGCGGTGTAGTTGGACAGGCCCCAGTGCTTAATCTTGCCTTCCTTGAAAGCCTTATCCATCGCCTCGCATGCTTCAAGAGGATCTGTGTCCCGATCGGGGACGTGGAGGTACTCGTTATTGATCGTGCGGATCCTGAGACTCTCTAGTGAGGCGTCGATCTCCTGGAGGACCTTGTCGCGGGTGTGGGCGCCGGGGATCATGGACGTGATCTTTGTATCAATGGTAAACCGATCGCCCGCTGATACCGCGCCCATGCGGTCCTCGGACGCGCCGTACATGCGCGACGTGTCGAGATGGTCGTAGCCCCTGGCTGCAAACGCATCGAGGAGGTCCTTGACTTGTTCAGGCGCGTCGAAGCGCGCTGTGGACTTGGTAGATGTATCTCCAACCTGGACGCAAATTTGATTAGACGAGTTTGACGAGGGCCGCCTGTTACATATGCGCGATAGGTCTCATGACTTACAGAGGACATGCCAAGTACAAGGTTGGGGGTGGTCGTAGCCATGATGCCTGGCAATGGTGTTCAGCGCTGACTGCAATGGAGAGATCCGACAATTGATGAGAGTAGACGAACGAGAGCTGTGCTGTTCATAATTCACCAGAAGCAATTTCGTGGCTCCCTTTATAGTCGCCATGCTGCCCTTGACGTGGAGTTCGATAGCAATGCCCTGTCGGCGCCAAGAACTGCTCCTACCAGAACAGGCATTTGCACCACCACCATGCGAATGGCCAAAGATCAATGATGATGATGATGATGAGGGAGTGCGGACTCTTATGTAGAGTTCGATGCTGATCAATGACTTCAAGAACCAAACTAGCGCCCACGGGAGCAGGAATCGGTCATGCTTTGATTTGTAACAAGATACTCTGTCGCCCATTCGGAGCCTGGTGGTATCTCGGCAAGAGTAACTTAGCAATTTGATTTGTGAGTCGAGTCTTCCAAGACGATCATTATGGGCCAATGCTTGATATTGCACTTCATGAAACCAATCACGGCCCAAGACGTGTCTGTACAATAGCTTTCTCAGAGCCAGAGTCCTCGCCTTGAATGTGGCTAGACCCTTGCCAACCGTCTTGCTGTGCCTCGACAACCTGAACACTAGGGCCATGGTTTTTGGACGCCTCCGCACTTCCCACCGTCTCCAGCGGATACATGGACCCTTCATCGAAGCGTTCATATCGATCATGTCTCTTCTGGTTTCTCGTAGCGATCTCCCCGATAGTAGGCGGGGCATTTGGGTTGGAGAAGGCAGAGCCACCGTGACCATTCGACGATGGGTCGGTCGAGCCCAAATTCCGAGGGAAAATGTGCTTGATGAAGGGCTTGATCGTGGTGAGGCTGGCGCATATGACGGAGAGATTGGCCTCAGCGAAGCTATTAATCAGTTAGAGGTGGTGCCGGGTTGCGATGTAGGCAGATAAGACTCTTACATCCAGAGGAGGACCGGTCCACCGCCCCAAGATTGGTCCTCGTCGCCCATGGAGTTGATGAGCGCCACAAGTCTCATAACAGATGTAAAGACAGTCCTATCAGGCCCGAATTAGCTCCCCATCATCCAGGAGGCACCTACGTTGACTTACACCCCGCCAATTCCAAAGAAAGCTATCAGCCCGATCTTCTGCCTCATCGAGATCTGCAACGGTATCACGACCGGAATAGGCACTGCGAGTACCATGGTGTCGGTGACGGCGCCGAGAGCTGCCGTAGCCTTGTATACAGCGTTTCGATCAATGCATTCCGAGTCCGTGATGGTCATGTCCCATGCCGCTTGCGTTGGTCGACAGGGGAAAATGGTGACAAATGTGATAGCGACAGACGATCCAACGACCACAAACCCCGTGAACCAAACCGCAACATGGAACCATTTCTGCGGTGCAAGCCGCCTATAGACAAGAAGCAATGCCATCTTGGCGCCACATTGTACGGGGTTGTAGAGGATCGGAAGCAGGTATAGCGCGCGTACAAACAGGGCGAATTTCGTTATCGGCATCTCCCAGCCATGTGTGCCCATGACACCGCGAGCGAAATCGCCTAGGGATGTTAGAATCCACAACGAAGCGTTCTCGATGGTGGCACCCACGGATGATGAGCGTTTGAAGAACGACGGAAAAGACCTAGGACAGGTTAACATCAAATGCGAGCAACTGCCGCTTGTAGTTTGTGCATTGTATTTCACGCACATAGGAAACGCCTAAGCAGGCTTCGTCATGTTAGTGATACTCGGATCGAAGTCAGAATTCAGGAGTTCCAGCGAGCCTTACCATCTTCAAGACGTATTGTCTTTTGAATGACTGCCCGCACGTAGATCCGTTGGAAAACAAATAAGACTGCCAAGAAGTTTCCAACGCCGAACAGCCAGTACGCTTCGATTTCGCTGTTCCGTTGAGGGTTATTGAAGTCGACTTCATACCCCTTGGGCGGCGGAATGACGACTGGGACGCCATCGAGGATGGTAACCATGGCAGTTTTCGCTGCGCAAAGGGCTTAAGGTGTGGTTTTGGAAGTGCAGATGAGCATAGATAGCTCTTTGAAAGAACAAACTGGCTGAAGAGTAGGTAGAAAGGGGTTCCTACCGTCTGTAAGTTGAGATGATGCGAGGAGAAAGCATCAACCACCGCCGGGAGCCACTTGCTCCTCTATGCTCCGCGGAAACCATGAGTGTTGGTTGTATCGTAGCTTTGCGAAGATGCTTGCAGATTTCTGGCAGGTTCATCGCGTCTCAAAGGGGTCAACAGCTTCTCCATGTTCCCAGTGAGCCCCATTGTACCGAATTGCTCCCCCGAGTTCTGGCCAATCGACACGTTGACTTCGCCAAGACAGCTGTGAAATGGACGAAGGAAAAGTGATCGATCATACGCGGTGACACTGCTGACATGAACAGTCTTATCGACTTTTTTTTAATCCACCAATGGCATCTATCGCCGTTGTCGGTTGTCGTTCTTGTTGGTCTCAGGTGCTGTCAACTCGTTGGCTGACAATTGTGTTGGTCGAGGACCGAAACACTCAGAACATGGACCCTGGCAGCTTGGCCTGACCCGCGGAGAACGGAAGCGCAGGCACCAGGGGTAAATGCAGGCCATATGCACTGTTCATACATGTGACTATGCAGTGTTGTCTCCAAAATGGAAGCTGGCTGGCGAAGGCAAAGCCGCCAACGAGGGACATGGACAAGCTGTTCGTAGGTGGGTGGCCACCATGTCGACATATATATTGAACGTAGGCCCCCAACTTTGAAGTGTCTGTCGACCGAAGGTCCATAGATCAAACCACAGACGCCCTCTCTTGTCCGCTTGCGTTTGACCATGGCCACTCTCACACCCCAACCGGCAATCCCCCAGGCTCAAGGCCTCGTCTCTGCTGGCCTCCAGTCTCGCATCCTGTCTCCCACAGACGCCGAGTTCACAGCCCGGCAAGAATCGTACTGGTCCAATAGTGCCAAGATCACGCCCGCGTGTATTGTGCAGCCACAATCCACCGAAGAAGTTGCAATTGCCGTCAAATCTCTCGTTGCCGCTGGTCAGAAGTTCGCTGTCCGGAGTGGCGGGCATACCAACTGGGCGGGATCCAACAACATCGAAGACGGAGTGACCATTGATCTCGTTCGCTTGAACAAGACAGTGTACAATGCCGACACAGAGACTGTCAGCATTGGACCTGGTTGCCGATGGCGCGAGGTCTACGCCGAGCTCGACAAGCATGGACGCGCAGTCGCTGGTGGTCGTGAAGGCAATGTGGGAGTCGCCGGTCTCTTGCTCGGTGGCGGAAACACGTTCTTCACCGCACGTCAGGGCTTCGCGTGCGACAATGTCGTGTCGTATCAGGTCGTCCTCGCTGATGGCGCCGTGATCACCGTTGACAAGGAGACCAATGCGGACCTGTTTCACGCCCTCAAGGGCGGCTCAAACAACTTTGGTATCGTGACCGAGTTCACCATGAAGGCCATTCAATGTGACAAGGTGTGGGGAGGCATGACATTCTTCTCAAAGCAGGCAATTCCCGGTGCCATTGAGGCTCTGTTGTCGTTTACCGACAATGTGCCTAACGACATCGACAGCAACCTGGTTACCATGTTCACATATATGCCAGACTTCAAGGACGTCGTTGTTGCCACTCTCTATGCGAACATGGCCGGCATCGAGAAGCCCCCAGCGTACGAAAAGTGGCTGGCCCTGCCAGAGATTATGAACACCGTCAAGATGACCACTATTTCTGAGATGGCGTTTGAGTACAACATACCTGCCAACTACTAGTAAGATGCAATACCCGTTGCCTCGGGCTCAAAACGTGCTGACACATGTCTCTGTAGTGATACATGGTTTACGAGCTGCTTCAAAAACGACCCCCGGATTATTTCCAAAGCGTCGCAACTGCATGATCAGCTCGTGGAAGAGCTAAAGGCGTTCATACCGGATGGGGATTTCATCACCCAATGCTTGTTCCAGCCCTTGCCCGCACTTTTCGGACAGCGCTGTGTTGAAGCCGGGGGCAACGTGATGGGCGTGGAGCGGCAGAAGGACAATGGCATACTGTTCCTCGCCGTCGTGATGGCAAAGACCCCGGAGCAGGAAGCTTTCGCGCGCCCCAAGATTCATACTTGGATCCAGCAGGTTCGCGCGTTTGCGGCAACTCTCGAGGGGGGGGATCTCGAGTGGGTATATCTTAATTACGCGGACAGCAGCCAGGATCCACTCGGCAGCTATGGTGCCGACAACATCAAGAAGATGAAGGCGGCGGCGGCGAAGTATGACCCGCACGAGGTCTTCCAGGAGCTGTGCCCGGGGGGCTTCAAGATCTCCAATGCCAAAGTCTGATGATGGGTTCTTGGCGATACCATTGTACAGATCTCCCAAGTACGCAATAGTGAATTATGATCTGCTTCACGGGTGCGCGGCACGACAACAAGCGCATGCCCTCGAATGAGTCGAATCCCTTCCTATTCTGGTAAAGGGCTTTCTGTAGCCGCCAAGTCCACGAACCATGTCGACGATTGTTTCATTAACCGCAGGGGTTGGCAGGGCTGATCAAGCATGATTCAGCATCATCCAGGTGATGTGGTCCACGTGAGAGGTCTCCGTACGGTCGCATGGGAAATGCATCGCACCTGTTGCTGCAAGACCGTCCTTTGTTGAAAATCTATGCGTCGCGGGTCTCTGACCACAAACGACAACCCAGTCCAGCATTGACAAGCGAAGCCGGCGTGCTTTCAGGCAGGCCAGACTCGCAATCACGATGACAGGGACGAATGATTACCCATGGCCAGCGTGGTGGTGCGTCTTCTTGGCAACAACCGGTCTGGTGTCGGTTGTCGAGGCTGGAGCAATTTATTATCCCGTTGAAGAAGGTCTCGTGTTTCATTATGAAGACACAGTCAACGTCAGCTACGCCACGGATTACAACAAACCGACCCTTTGGTTCTGTTGGCGCAACAGCACAGGTCTGCAGCGATTTCAACAGCTGGCGTCAAGCTTGTTCCTAATGCAGTCTTCTGATCAATGTACAGATAATGAATATTCGTACGTGGCATATGACGATCTGACCCCTAAGAACGGGTCGTACCTCGTCACGATCGACCGAGAAATCACCGCAGACGATTGTTGGTTCAATGTGTTCCAAGGCAGCGGTGACCCAGGCATCAACAGCGTGACCTTTTCGGTGTCGCCAAGCGAGCGCAGCCATTCGACCACATTAGGCCTGGAGAGCGAGCCCACGACAGCCATATCGTCGACCGCAACAGCGCACGCGGAAGCTACTTCTGCCGTTAAAACGAGCTCTACACCAACTCCCACCAGCGCCGGCGCGGAGGACGACGACGACTCTTCAAGTGGGGGACTGAGCACTGGGGCCAAGGCAGGTATTGGTGTAGGCGCAGCCTTGGCCGCGCTGGGCATACTGGCATTGGCAGTATTCTTCTGGCGACGGAGAGGGCGGGCCTCCGACACCGGTGGCTCAGGAGGTGATGGCATAGGAAGTAACGGCGGAGGTTTACATGAACGGAGCGGCCTCGTGCAGAGCTGGGACCCAGCCACAACACATACCCAAGTTGGCGTGATTCCCAAAGCCGAGTTGGAAGCAGCACCACAACAGCAGCGGCAGCCGCCTGTTGAGATGCCAGCTTAGATCCCGCTGAAAGGTGCGAATCGATGCCCACCAGGCGTCCATGCACAGATCCGGGTTCGGGCTCTCCAGGTAGAGTGTTGCAGGGCTGCTTGATCAGGACAGGCAGATGAATAGCTTAGGAGAATGACAACTGATCCAAGCCAAAGACGGCCAAGTGCGTGCGTCGAGTCTCCATGCTAAAGCTTCTGGACAAATCCACGTATCGTCTCCACCATGAGCCTGTCTACAGCGGTACAAGCCATGCTTCCTCGGAGAATAGCGTATTTGAAGTCTGGTGATTCACCCGAGCTCTACCAGAGGCCGCGGTAGATTTGGCTCCAGTCAGGGAGGCAGCCTTCTTCTATGGAGGTGACAGCATATGAGGTCTCACCAGGCTACCAAGGTAGTTTGGTCAGTACCCGCAATGCCATCCGCACTATTTCACGGAATGCTAACATTTGGGGAAGTCGGGTGGAGGCTGGCTTGTTGATTACCCCTTTTTCAAAATGTCTAGGTTTTCTGCAAACAGCAGCCAAATTCGCGGGCCAACGTCCATTTGACTTTGATCGCGCACCTCAAGACAGCGTGGAAGGTACTTAGGGAAAACGGTAGCATAGATCGGTACGTCCATCGTCAATGTTTCGTCCACGGAAATAGCGCTTGACATGGCTAGAAGTATACTCCGACTGCGTGTATCGACGTCAATTGTTTGATTTCCAAGGCGAAAAGTGCAGCTAAGAAAGGTAGGTGGCAAAGCAAATGTCCGCGTGTTTCCTCGGTATGAGAACAGCAGGTGAATACGAGAGATCTAGGTCCCGTAGGCCTATTACCGAGACCTGAGCCGTTGTCGATACCTACAGCAATTCCGGCCGCCCGTAATCAACAGACCTGTTGGTCTGGACAGAGTCTGGTCTGTTTGGTGGAAGACCAATATTGGCCAATAGGCCGGGAAAGCCACCAACCGGTGCAGAAATTCTCAGCGCCATTTGATGGGCTATCTGCAGCCGAGACATCCCATCCATATGGCTGGTCGATGATTGCGTGCCATGTAGCGTCGCGGTTCAGGCTGGCCAGGGAGATACAGCGACCAAGAGGATTCCGTTCTAATAGTGTAGACTTGCTGCCGATGTGTCTTGGAAGTCACTCTGATTTTCGTTGGCTCGTAAGCCGGCAGAGGGCGCTGTAGGTAGACAGAATGGGCGAGTTCCGGTGTATTGTGGTTGCTTTTGCAGGAAGTCTCGCCTGGACCACCCCTGCACGCGCGCGCGTCGCAAAGAACGTAACGGCGTAGCCGTGCAGCATCAGGTTTTCAGATGCAATTTGATGCGGCACTTTGATAGCCTCCACATTCGCATCGGCAGTCTGCTCCCTGTGCATTCCTGTGGCGTCGAGACCGCGAGAAAACAAGTGAGGAGGGATCTCGGATGTCTCACGAGGACCCCTGGCTGGTGCCTTACCCGCACAGAACACCGACACTGATGGACGAGTCGATTGCTCTGAGATCTGCGCGTTCTTGAAGAGTGACTTCTTTTCAGCTCGTAGATGTAAGCCGGTTTCCAGAATGTTCGTGTGAGTTACCAAGCGAGGCACTGTACATCTGAGGGAGTGAGGCATTGATGTCTCATTGGTCACCACCTTGTCGGGACCATTGGGGGTTGGATCGCCAATGGTCAAGAGCCGAATCTTGTCGCAGATTCAGAGTTACATGTACTACTTGCCAAGCTGACTCGCCTCGTGGCAGTGAGAGCACACCACCCTCCCCCTGAGGCTGTCCTGGTGACCGGCGACTGGGCGCCCACAGCAACAGAAGCTGACAGATGACTCGTCACAGTCCACCGCGAAGCCTTCTGTGTCTCGCTCTCGAGCCATCTCGGGTGTCTTAAGGGAGGGTTGATTGGACATTCCATCCCACGAAGCACGGCCCTTTATGGGTATCAGGAAACTCGTGAGAGTGTTGACGCTTTAAGCCGTACCTTCCGAGGCATGACTTTGAACCGAGAACACTTCAGCCCTATGTTTGTCATGAATGGGACGGTCAAGTACGTATAAAGGGCGGTTGGCCTGGCTTGACAAGGTCGCAAACTCGCCAACGACTCGAAACCACCTTTGAAGCTAGCAACTGCCGCGCAGCATCACGTCGGTAACGTCAAGATCCCAGCAGTTTCCCTGGTTATACCTGTACCGAACAGCAACGCGCAACGTTGTGCCCAACATGAGCAATCGATTGTCCTTCTTCCCGTCAGACCTTGGGGCCACAACTGAAGCCACTGGCGACATGCTCCATGGGCAGCCTAGCATACTGTATCTGCGCATCAACTCTCACGCCAACGGCCTCTGCAGGCATCACAGCGAGCACGATTGCACAATGAGTGTGCCGTCCAACGCACCAGGTTCTCTGTGTGCGCAGTGCGCCGCCAATCAAGCGAACGGCTTGCCATGCGCATAAACGTGGACCAGAGGCTAGAGTCCCTCGACAGTTTTCGGCGATGGCAGCGGCCGGACTCTTTCAACCTTCAAGGGGTGTCTTTTTATTCCGGCAGATTTAATGGGTGGCTTCCCGTCCAACATTGTGTCGAGTCTCGGGGGTGACTGACAACGGCGCCATCATGTAGCTATACCGCCTCAGCAAACCCAGCAAGCGTGTACTTATATCTTTGGGAATAGAGTGAATTCGACTTGCGTCTATATCATGGGATTGGTCCACAACAGCAGTGAAATGATTGTCGACTGAGAGCGTTTTGCCGTCCGAAGCTGATTCCAATTTCCAAGCCATGGAATGTCGTCGTTCTCCATGTGTCAGCAAGACAAGGGTGAGTGGGGGTGATTCGAATGGTGAGCGTATACGTACGTAGTGTCGTGTCGTGCCATCGCTGCCGAATCAGGTTTGTGGCAAGAAGCTTGGTGGTGCGATCTGTGAATGCGGCTGGCATCTGCAACAGAAAGAAGAGTGTATGGTAGATGTGATAGGCGTTCAGGGCTGCCCTATTCGAACCAAGAGCTGGGATCCCATGCCCTCACGTCAGCCTGGGATAAGATGACCACACGTGACACAATAGGGGACTCGTGAAAAACGCGGTGCCGACGGGGACGATCTCGGGACCTTGTGTTGATTTCGGTAAACTTTCTGTGACAGGCATTACGAGGATGTGGCTTGGAACGGCCGCGGTTGGTCTGAGCGAGATGACGCTGGCAGGTTGAAGATGATGATTGGTAGAGTGAGGGATGTATCCATGGTCAGTCGTGAATCCGCGATGAACCTCAGCCGTGGTGCCACAGGGTAAGTACAGTGTGCATTAGAGCACGTGACCTTAACATCACAATGGACGTCTTTTTGACGGCGACTGCCCAGCATCCATCCAGTTTGGCCTGTGAAGATCACTCATGCGTCTTCACCTGAGAGGCTGAGACAAGGTGGCGCGCTTGGTATCTCCACGTATCTTGCAGCGGCTCATGAAGGTAAGGTTGTCTCCACGCACCTCGAGCCTCCGTACTGACACGGTCCAAGATAAGCCTCCCTGCAACAACATGAATCAAGGCTAGCCAACTCGATTGTGCCACATTACTCTGGACGCGCCGCTCCGCTCCGCTCTCGACCTTCTCAATCAAGAAGCTTTCTCTCACCTAATTCTGCACCGACGTCGGTGCCTAGTGCCAAGAGCACCAATGCCAGCCGCTCCCCGCCCAGGCGGATACTCTCGTATGTACGGATGCCATCGCGGGCTGATCATCGTCTTGGCCCGACCCGATCCGACCTCATCAGGCGGCTGATAATGGTGGAGCAGATTAGACTATGCTCTTTAATCCAAAGTGTTCTCCGGCTGAACATCAAGAGCTCCACAAAGCCTTCCGAAATCACCATTCGACACCGGAATGGGCAGCCATCTCCAGCAATAGGCCATGAGTCCATGAGATGTTGTACGATTGCCGCGGGCTGTTCGAATTGACGGCTGAAGTCATCCAGCGCACAAATCCGCCTGTTGCTACGATTGTCCCGGGAAAGTTCATGTGCGGCTGGAATGTGCGTGTATGATTAACCTCAGCTACCTTCACTAACTATCACTTCGTCCTCTCAAACATGCGAGCAAACATCTGAGCACGGATTGCGTAGTGCATTTTGGGAAACAAAACGTGAGGCACGGTCAGCACGAAAAAGCCAACAACCCACGCATACCCAAACATCCTGCTGAGCAACTTGACGGCAGGGTTCCTGTTGATCCTTTTGCCAAGCCTCGATAGCGCGATCTCAATGCCGATCGCGACAAAGTTTGCCCAGAAGAAGAACAGGTCTCTCTCAAGGGCCTTGTCGCCGAGTCTCCATCCGACCAGTACATGCGCCAGCCCAGAAGTGGTAAAAACGAAGAATGCGGTAAACAGCTTCTCCAGTGTTGGGCTGCTCCTCAGGAGTGGCAGTCGGCTCGCAATGCTGCGCGCCCAGGCCGTGGCTGACGGTGTGATTAGACGATGCCAGAAGACACCCCAAAATCGCCGAAGAGTAAAGGCCTCTAGTGGAGACCGAAACAAAGGAGGCCACTCCTCAGGCTCGTCGAACTGCAAGATGACGACGAACACAAAGCCCAACGCTATATGGCAAAGCGTGAGTTGGGAGTAGGTCTCGATGATCCACGACAGGGCCACATATGTACGGATGAAGATGTCGCGCGCCGAGACGTCGCCAAACAGCAACCGACGGACCACCCACTCCTTCGCGGGTGAGAAGTCGTGTATAGTGGATGTGGCCAGGTGGGGTGTCAGAATGTGGTCAACGACGGCGCGTGAGGCCACGATCAGTATCACTTTCACAACGCCAAAAACCACGAACTGTAGCCGACGGCGAAGCCATGCCTCGGGCTGGCCCAAGGACACTGCTGGCAGTCCGCGAGGGTTGTTGAAACGCCGGTACGCGGCCGGCAGATCCCAGCGGGGCTGGTTGATGTTCAAGGTCTTGGCTGAGGACGCAAGCAGTATCGGGCAGTAAAGGAAGGTGATGATGATGAGCATGCCAAGCTGCACGTTCAATCCCATGAAGGGCGGGATGTGGGCAATGTCCTTGAACGCGAGGCCGAGTGACGCCCACACCGGTACGAGTAGGACAAGGCGTTGGTGTCGTTCGATGTATTGCGACCCCATCATCAGAGCCGTCGCCTGTCCGTACAGCAACAGCGCCTGGGCGGCGGCCATGATGAGCAAAGACTGATGGTGTTGTTGGCGAATGCAAAATGGTCTTGCCTTCGAAATCGGCCAGCTGCGTCTGAGATGGGCTTAAGAGACAGTCGGCCGCTTCTGGGTCTTCGTGATGACGAGAGGTGAAGTTGATTTAAGCGCTGAATAAGGTATGCTAACACCCACACCTCCCGCTTGCTACAGGCCTCATGAATGGTATAATTCCTCCTTTCGGCAGGTAGTTGTGTTGAATGGGCCAAAGGATTCACGCTAGAAGCAATAGCTGAATTGACTACCGCAGGGCGTCCCACTTACGAGTACACTGCGTCTTCACGGCTTGGCAAATGACGTTCCGCGGCATTGTGAAGGTCCGCTCGAGGAACATCCAACCTCCAAGACGGACGATGCCGCTGTTGAGCAGTCGTCTACACGATGTGGACTGAATACCCATTGCCTGGCCACGTCCTCGCCACGTCGACCAGTTGTGGGGAGCCTCAAAGGTATATAAGTCTTGCCGTCTCGCCAACGATATGACCTTGGATCACCACCAGCTCTCTCAGCATCAAGCCGCAAGCACTCTGACATCCCTCTCTACCTCACCTTTAACACCAACACTACCACCAAACCAACCATCGAGATGCCTGTCTGGGCTGTTGTTCCTATCGTCGCCGGCGTCGTTGCCAAGGGCCTCCAGGTCGGTCTTGATGCCTGGGAGAGCCGTGACCTTGGTGACAAGGGCTTCGAGATCGTTGCCCGCGTGGCCGAGTTCAACGTTGAGGACCGCCAGTCGTCCTGCTTCAGCAACGTCAAGGAGGGTGTGCCGCAGCACATTGTCGACAGCTGCTGTAACGGCCTCTCCGGCGCATGGGTCACTGTTAGCGGTAGTCCCAGCAATGGTATGTTCTCTGTGATCTTCCAGGCCTTTTCGTGTGAATCGTGCACTCACACAACCTCGCAGGTGTCAGCATCGCTGGTCTGCCTTACGACTGCATCCCTCTGGCCCCCTGGATCGATGGCACTGGTGCCGTTCCCTACGCTTGCGGCGACGACTGCATTAAGTATGATGGGTTGACTCAGGACGAGTACAATGCGCTCAAGAGCGCTTTCGAGTCAAAGGTCTAAGGATCTATGTTCAGATGGACACGATACGGAGTTTGGCATAGTTACCTTCAGCGGCAGTGATGCGTATTCAAAAACAAAGACTTTATCCCCTGTTCTGTTGACATGTGGTCATTCGCAATGGTGATATTCCTCCTTTCAGCTTGCACATGTGACCGGAAGACTAACATGCCACTCCATCTTGTCCATATGTTGGCCAGTCTTGATCCCCTGAACCTGTGCACTAGGCAAACATGATTCTAGTATGCCACCATAGGCCATGATTTCCAAGAAAAAAATAGTAACCAAGGGGTTATCTACGAGGTTGTAACCTCTGATCTTTGAAATATTAGATTGGTACAGGGTACTCCGTAGCACATGGAGAAGTCGTCGATGAACCCGGCACTAGCAAAACAAGACCTACATACCAGATACTTCATGAAATTGCTGCTAGCTATGTAGAAAGACGGGATATCAAAATTTGCCTATTGAAAAGTCACGCATTGTGAGAGTGCATTTCAATAGCGTCAAGGTCGACGGATCTCTTCTTGTTCATCTATGAGGCGTCGCTGTAATGCCATCAGTTTGAGGCCTGTGGAGAGAGCACCACATCATATCCGTCTTTTTCAACAATTAGCTCACCATTTGAGCTCTCGAGCATCGCTTCTTCAGGAGTTCAGATGTACTTAGGTACTCAATAACACAGCGCAATGAATTATCACATGGACCTAGGTCGTTGGGTGGCACCATGATTCAGATGCCAGTGGATACGCGAGGTCTTATCTCCAAGTGCTGATTGGCGAAGAGAGCTCCAAGCTCCGGTCCCCAGACACGAGCTGCATCCACTGGCAGAAATAAATTAGCACATTTCCCTAGTTTCACCGCAAAATCGTCTCTGGCTATTCTGTCAGTCAGAAGCCAAGCTCCAGTTGCTCAGGGGTAGGTTCGGTTCGTGGGAGGTGAGGAGGGGCAGACCCTTCTGTGGAGGACCAGCTGCAGATTCCACACCGCCCTGACACCGTCCTGACAGGGAGGGGAAATTCTGGATGTGGCCTCTTCACTCGCTTCGTCCGTGTGCTTTTCTGGTTCCCCCTTTTTTACAACACCATACACGGACTGCACAAGCTTCAGTCAGTCCCTCTGCTGCTTTCCCGAGCAGCTGTCACCAAACTCTACACCATTGGCTTTGGTTTGGCTTGCCTATAGCCACCAGCATTGACCATGTCCAAGCCCAACGACGTGGACTTTGAGTTCATCGAGACGCCCAAGGCAGCGGCCCCGGGCTCTGATAAGCGCGAAGACTGCGGTGTTCGCACGACTGAGGTTCGTAAATAAACTCCAGCAATCTCAACCCACCCAATTGGCGCTTGGGAGCTCTTGGGGAGCTCGTCACGACGCCGCCCTGGGTGCCCCTCCAAGCCCAACTCTCACGAGGGCTTGTGTTCCGAAACCTGTACTGACACCATAAACAGCGTCCTGCGATCAAGAATGCCCCCCTCCCTGCCGACGGTCCCGGTTCCGATCATTTCAACAACTATGTGCTCGCGGGTGTCATGATTCTCGTGCCTTACTACATGAAGTACAAGGTTGGCGGTGGGCTGAAGACCTTCATCTTCTTTGCTCTGGTCGTCGACCTCCCTCTCCTTGCTGGCTGGTGGTTGCTCGTGTCCTCCATCAGCCCTCGCAAGACCGACAAGGCTGCCCTGCCTAACCGTGGCGTGGAGCACTACCTCGAGTTCAAGAAGGAGTCCGACCGTGCCAAGTTCCGTGGTCAGAACAAGGTCCCCATGGGCGACTTCTACGAGATGTACTTTGACGGCGAGGTGGACTTCAAGGGTGACGCTCTCGAGATCCTCGAGTACCGCCACGACTGGGCTAGCTTCCGCTTCACCATCGGCCTCATCAAGTTCTTCCTCACCGGTACCCTCCCCGACGTGATCTGGCGCCACCAGCGATCCGACGACGAGAGCCAGGTCCGCGACCACTACGACCGCGGTGACGACTTTTACGGATGGTTCCTTGGCCCGCGCATGATCTACACTTGCGGTATCATTTCCGACCCTGACGTGGAGGAGACTCTCGAGGAGCTCCAGGACAACAAGCTTGCCGTGGTCTGCGAGAAGCTCGGTCTTCAGAAGGGCGACAAGATGCTTGACATTGGCTGTGGCTGGGGCACTCTCGTCCGCTACGCCAGCGAGAACTACGGAGCCTCTGCCACCGGTGTCACCCTGGGCCGCAACCAGACTGCTTGGGGCAACTCTGCTCTCAAGAAGGCCGGCATCCCCGAGGACCAGAGCAAGATTGTCTGCATGGACTACCGCGATATCGAGGTGCCCGAGGGCGGCTTCAACAAGATCACCGCTCTCGAGATGTCGGAGCACGTTGGTGTTCGCCACTTCCACAAGTTCCTCAAGGGTATCTACGACATGCTCGACGACGATGGTGTCTTCTTCATGCAATACGCCGGTATCCGTAAGCCTTGGCAGTACGAAGATCTCATCTGGGGTCTTTTCATGAACAAGTACGTCTTCCCCGGTGCCGACGCCTCTACTCCTCTCGGATGGACCATCGACAAGCTGGAGGGCGCCGGTTTCGAGGTCAAGGCTGTGGACACCATCGGCGTGCACTACTCGGCTACTCTCTGGAGGTGGTACCGCAACTGGCTCGGAAACCGTGACAAGGTCGAGGCCAAGTACGGCAAGCGCTGGTTCCGCGTAAGTTCTTCTCTACCTGTCTGCATAAGTCGAGCGATGCTAACCCTGCGCTAGATCTGGGAATACTTCCTCGCCTCTTCCGTCATTGCTTCTCGCCAGGGTAGCGCCACTTGCTTCCAGATTACCCTAGTCAAGAACATCAACTCTACTCACCGCGTGGATGGCATTGAGACTCAATTCGGACTGGAGGGCGCTCTGAACAACGCCAGGTCAAAGGGCAAGATGGACTCTTGGGCTACCAAGAACAACGTGAAGACTCCTGCGGAGCTCTTTGCTTAGATCACCAGACTAGGAGCCGATACCGATTGATTCGGCATACTGAGAAGCGCCCTTGATTGACAAATCAATCTGAATTCTTCCCAATGGGGGGCTTTGCGGATGCTTCTCCCCTCGCGGCAATGCAGGGCGCCGGGGTTTTGAGCTGCTGGATGCACATGGGTTGTTACGGACCGGAACTCATATAGACGGGGTAATGGACGGGGAGGCTGCCCTAACATGGCTTGAAGTGATGGGTGGACATGAAAAAGGACTGCTTAGACGGATAATGGAAAGAGAAACATTTCATGTTCAAACTGTTCGCCGCAATAACGTTGAGGCGATGCTTCGCGGGACAACCCCGGCGTTAATCGGTCATCGTGTAACTGCGCTTCGTCTCCAAATGTCATCCGACAGCGACATGACCATCACCATCATCCAAGAACGCAATTTCTCGGATAATTAGATCGCGATGCTGGGGGGCTGTCCTTAATGAAAGTATTCTTTACCACACCATGGCGACGGTACGCTCGACAGTCTCTCGCGCACTCCAGGCCCCCCTACGCTGCCGTGTGTCCTGGCAGCAGTCTGCGCCGTTACGATGCTTCTCATCCGCCCCCGACAACGTCCGCGCTCTCATGCTCTCGCGGCCAGACAAGCACATAGACGACTACCTGTACCCACAGAACTCGCATCTCCTCACTACCCTGCTCAACGATCTTCTCCCAGGCACAATTGAGTCCTCTTCACCGCTTATCACCCGACCTACCACTGGCAAACTACCACCCGGAGCTCACAATGTGTATTTTCCCCTGCAGACCCGCACCTCCCTGCTCGCATGCGACGGCGCAGACGCAGACCATGTCCCGCCCGCGTTCAAGCTGGCTACGCCCGAGGATCCCATGGGTGGGAGACGGCTCTGGGGCGGAGGAAGGGTCGACTTCTTGAGGGACATGCACCTCGACGGGGAGAGGGCGTCATGCACAGAACGCATAGCGGATGTCAGAGTCAAGGACGGGGGCAATGTCTGGGTCGATTTGGAGAGGAGGTATGGGCATCACGAGCACGGTCAGCGGGAACCTAGCATCTTGGAGCGGAGGACGTTGATCTTTGTTGACAAGGTGGATGAGACGCCTAGGCGGAAGATGAAAAGTAAGTGATGCATGTCTTGATGGCATGACATCCTCTTCTTGTTATTTTCTTCTATACTTCTCTCAGAAGTCAGAACTGGTCACTAACTTCGTCGTCTGCCTAGGTCCAACCCAACCAACAGCGACGTACCAGTTCACGCCTACCGCTACCCACCTCTTCACATTCTCTGCTCTGACCCAGAACGCGCATTTCATCCACCTCGACAGGAAGAATGCGCTGGTTCACGGTCCGTTGATGCAGTGCATTATGCTACGCGCACTAGGCCGCCACGGAGACGTCGCGTCACTGGAGTACAGGAACCTCGCGCCTTTAATGGTGGGCGAGGTGGACGCTGGGGTTTGCGTGAAAAAGGGCAAAGACAGCTGGGACGTTTGGATAGAGGACGGCCAAGGGGGGATGGTCGCGCGAGGAAAGGCTCAGATGAAATGAGCAGAGGCTTAATTGAAACATAATGATGACATGTGAATGTCCCAGGGATATCGAGGTATACATGGTAGGAAATGGTTGCGTATAGGCAACATGCCGTTACTCTGCCCAGCCAAACACCTCGCCTACAGCCAACGTGTTACTCCGCAGACCCAGCATCGCGATACCGATGCCGAGAACATCGACCACCAAAAGTGCCGTCGCGGCCATCATGAAGCGAGGGCTGAAGACGCGGTACAACATGAGGTGTCTACGCAGGTGGCCAGCCCAGCTCATGGTGGCAAGGGCCTCGACAGCGTAGTAGGCAACAAACAAGCCCAGCCCACGAGAGGCCGTCTCCAGGACACCCTTTTGCTTGGGGCCGACTTTCCACAAGCAGGTGACGAGGGGCACGCATGCCGCCGCCAGGATCTGCGCTCCGTAGGTGTTCAGGGTCACGGCGAGCGGGCTCCAAGGGTAGCGCAGGGTGCGTAGCGCAACAAAGGCGCTGTCCCACTGGATGCTCGCCAAGGTGGCCTGGTGACCGGTGCGGAAGAAGTAAAAGTTGCCCAGCATGGCGAGCATGACGGGAGCAATAGCCTCGCTTTTGATGCCCAGTATATCCACAACCTCCGCCAAGGACATAATCTGCCACAGCATGAGGCCGAGAGCGCCGGTGCCCATCGGCTTGGTAAGGATGCAGAGGCCAATGAGGATGTTGAGAGGCAACATCAGGTACCGCGCGCCAAGAGCGTTGCCGTATCCGAGGATAGTCACGCGAGCTTGTGGTTGCTGACTAGCAGGCGGGTTAGTTGACGCTGTAGACACGACGTTGACGCTCGGAGGTGCCCAGATGAATGCGGTGGAGCCAGCGATGAAAGCCAACGCCAGGCCCAGCTGCGCGACGTAGATGCCGATTGCCTTCAGGTGCTCGGCACCAGGTCGGCCGGCGACCCAATCGCCATTGTCCGCAGCATCAATCACCCAGTACACAGCAGCAATCATGAGCCCAGCTCGGAACACGGTCTGTACCCACACAGGTGAGAGACCTTCCCACGAGCGTGTGGGCAGGATGAAGGACTTGATGATAGAAGGGAGGACAAGTCCGATGACGACGGGTATGGCAAGCTGCCATGGGGCGGATGTGGACGAAGCTGTCGAAGCGTAGTAGGTGGAAGTGCAGTACGGCATCTGCTCCTCTCGACAGAGCTTGGAATAGCTGGCAAGGCGTGCGAGCAGCACGAAGACGACGGAATGATAGATACCCAGGGTGCGCTCGAGTCGCGACTCGACTCGGAATGAGCTAATGGCGGCCAGCACACCAAAAGTTGTAGTAAAGAACTGCAGAATCGTGTCTTCCCACACCGTATACGAGTTCGAGGCAAAGCCAATGGACTGGCTGACGGTGAATACCAGAGCCATCCAGCCCCACAGGGTCTGCGGCAGCGTGTTCAAGATTGTGCGGCCTGTCTGCTGTAAAGTCACTGCCGAGTGCGTCACCGAGACGAGAACGGCGATGAGTAGAGTCGTTGTCGCAGTCATCATGGCGGCGTCCTTGGGCTCTCTCCGAATGAACGATACTCCGCCCGCAATGAGCAGGACGAAGATCACGCGGCGATCCCAGAGACCGCGCAGGAGCTCCATGTGGTAATCCTTGACGGGCTCGACCTCTTCGTCTTTGCCTTTTGTCTGGTAGCTCAACAACTCGAGACGTTTCTCAGCATAGTCCAGCTCAATGTCATTGGTGACGACAAAGTCATCATCCGCATCCTTGGCAGAATACATGACGAGGACGACAACCCCAATGGCGGCAAGCACCACTCCAGCAACCATGCGAGGAAGGTCAAAACGGGCCCAGAGGCTTTTGCACACGCTCAAGGTCTCCTGCTGGAAACTACTAAAGGCATTGTACGCGTCCTGGTGGGAGGACTTTGTGACCTCGAGAGCCTTGGCCCATAAATCAGAGGGCGAGCCAGCTCCATTGGCGGGTGCGATGCCCCGAGCCTTGAAGTAAGAGTCTTGGTACCGCTGGACGCCAGCGGCCGCAATGCGCGAAACGGCGTGCAGATTCTGCCAGTCGTTGCCTTTGGGCCCGGAAAAGGCCTCCTCGATAGGCTTGCCCAGATTGTTGTAGGGAATAGGGATACCCAGAAGGAGTGCCAGCGTCGGCACCAGGTCAATCTGGTTGACAGGTCTGATCTTTGCCGTGGGAGGCGGGGTGACAAAATCCTTCTGGGTGCGTCCAAAGACTGGCTTCTTGGAATACATCCACAGCGCAGCCTCGACCTCGTCATCGCTCTCGCCCCCGTGGTCGCCCTTTGCATCCATGCCGTGATCACCCATGACCACAAGGAGTGTCTTGTCATCAATGGACTCGGTCAGTTGCCTGACAAACTCGTCCATTTGCTGCAATTTGCCCGTCATGGCCGCGTGGTCGGGTCCATAGCGGTGCCCAGCATGATCGACACCAAGGCAGTGCCCAATAAGCAGATCCCAGCCTTTACCACTGTTCGCGCCCAGGAGGGGGAAGATGTTGTCAATGACGCCATTGTCAACAGTGTGCAGGTCCCACACATTGAAGCTGTCGTAGGCCTTGCTGATGTTCGGCTCAAAGTACCCAGGGAACAGGGACCACCAGGTATCGTCGCCAATCTGCGCGATCTTCTTGCCCGCGTCCCTCAGCTGCATGAGCAGGTTGTCCTCCTCGATAGCCGTACCCGCAAAGTTGCTTCCCAGATCCACGAATGTAGGGAGGGTACCGGTCGTAAGGCCTTTGAGGCGCTGCAGTGTAGCTGTGGGCGGGTCGGCGATGAAGGGTCGCAAGAATGCGTTTTGTGGTGAGTCGCGCGCGGATTCGTAGAGGAAAGGCATCGCGTCGTGGAACGCATGGCGAGGCTGACCTTCGAGGTGAGGCACCGTAAAGTCGTATCGCAAGGCGTCGATGATGACCACAACCGCGCGGTCAAAGGTCTTGGGATGCCAGCAGCCCTTGTCTGTGTTGCCAGGCGCCTTCACAACGCTGTCGATGGGCGGCGCATCGCATGTTGACTTATCCTCCAGTACCAGACGCGTCAGCAAGAAACCACTTGTGAACAGGTATATCGCGATAGAATGGATGGCCAGAACCCAGACCCAGAATCCGCAGGTCCACTTCCACTTTCTCTCGTAGGCGCGTTTCCGTGAACTGTCAATCTCAGACTGCTGTTTCTCTAGCTTCTCCAGTCTTTGTCTTTCTGTAACGCCGGGAGGACCGTCGGGGATTCCTGTCGGTATAGGCGATGTTCCATCGTTTTTGGACTCTGCTGCGCGCTTGGCCTTTTCCCACTGTTGCTTGATAGCTTGGTACTCGCTCTGCTGGGAGCCGGACGGGGAGGCTTTTGCCTTGTTCGGACTACGCGGCGCCATTTTTCGAAGGTCTCAACCGATCAGTAGGCCATTGGTTGGTCAATTGGCTTGAAAGAGTGACAAGAATCGAAGTGCAAGGGATGGGCGCGAGAACATCTAAAGAATTGATGGAAACTTGAAGCTAGTCCAGCAAAGGTGGTCCCTCATATGACGCGCCCCAGCTCGGACTCAGGCTATGTGGTTAGTGGGGCTCGGTGGCTGAGTCCTCATGCGGCTGGTGATTGATCCTCAGACCAAAAAATCCCCCTTTCTCGGGTCAGTCAGGGGCTTGCAAATGAGAATCACGAACGCAGACCATCATACTCGTGTCTGAGGTCCAGGATCTCTAATGTAGTCCAATGCGCTCCCAGCTTCCAGGAGAACCATGGTCGCCATCACATCGCAGCATGCTACGCGACCAGGCCGCAACTTGAGATATTGCACGTCTGCCCTTGTCATGTCGCTCGACATGGTTAGCATTCAGTGTCCCAAAAGTTGGAAGATTAATTAGGTGGTCACCAGTCTCAGCAGTCAGTGGGCTTGACAGCTGCCAGTAGTAGTTATTCCAATATTCGTGTGCTGCTTGCTATCTTTAGTACTCATGGTCCAAATGGCAAGCGAGCATGCGGAGTGACGCCAGTTGCCCTGGAGATGATACAGGCCAGACCAGACCTGTGCGCGTCCTACTAAAGATCTACAAGAAACGACAATGCTCCAAGATCGCGCTGAAGAGAGGCTGGGGTATCCATGAGTAAAAGAAAAAAACAGTCCGTGCTTCCACCGTATCAATCCTCATCCTCCCAACCACTGCCCTCGACTTCCACCTTTGTTGCCAGCGCCATCTGGCCTTGCCGGATGAGATCCTCCACAGTCTTGTTGAGGCCTGTTACTCGAAAGTCGTTGAATTGTTCCTCACGCTGTCGTCGAGCAGCCAGTTTCTTCGCCTCAGGGTCCAATCGAGGACTGCTGTCTACTAAACTAGACTTGGACGGTCGACTCGTAGCTATCGACGCCGATGAGTTGGTACGACGATGGGCGGGCCTCGAATCTGAGCCTGAGGTGGAGGGTCGATTTCGACGTGCCAGGCGCTGCTTCGCCGGGGATGACGATAACGGCGTGTCTGCAGTGATGTGCTTTGTTGGGCTTGGCGACCTCGGAGAGGCATACGACGCTGAAGATGTCGGTCGGTCTTTGCCGAGCGATGGTGCTGACGCCAGTGATGGCCGGCCTGGGCCGATAGATCGCCTTGAGGCTGGCGTGCTAATGCGCCGTCCAGTCGCGACAGCCGGAGCCTGGTTGCGATTTCTTGGGGATGGTATCATCGTCGCTCGGCGGTTGCAGTCAGGCGTGCCGGCTCGACTGACTGCAGCGCCATTCTCATTCACCATGACCCAGTTCTTGCCCAGTTCGTCGGTGGCGCTTGTTTGTCTCCGTTTCGCGGCTGGCCGGGTGGGTGTCGAGGCCCTGCTGTTGTCGGTGGCATCCTCCTGTTTCTCTCCAAAATTGTAATGCGTATACTGCTCCGGTATTTGGGCGTTGCCATTCGTAGCCATGTCATGGTCATCTTCCGTGTTCCCATCCTGGTCGTACCCGCGACCACCGCCAGCGTGGAACCCGGTGAAGGACCCAGCGCGACAGAACTGCCACAGTCGACCGACGACGCCGCCCAACGTCGAGACAGCAAATGCACCCCAGCTCTGTGATGGTTGCGCAGGCGCCGTCAGGGGGTATCTCCCAAAGACCGGCTCTTCCACCTGCCCAGCAGGCAGCTTTGTTCCAAGCATCCGTCGGTAATCTGCGTCAGAGAACATGCTCTCGCCCAAGAAGTCCGTGCGCTCACCGCCAGGAGTATCGAGCTGTCCAGCGATGTTGTACCGGGTTGTCGTGGCGGTGGCGTACGATCGCGCAAAGGGATCCGTTTCGCGGTCATGGTTCCGTTTGCGTTTGATGCTGCCATAATGATTATTTGGGTTGATGTCGTGTGGAGGCAGGTATCCCGAGCTGGCAGCTGATGCGGTGTTCGGTGTTGTAGTAGTTGGTGGGCGGAAGATGCCTGGGTGGACGCCGTCCTGGCAGAAGGCGCCGGGCACGTGGATCTCGGTATGAAGCGACATCCTTAGAAATGTTGAGGTGGCTACCAGTTGAGGTTGAGGAATGCAACTAGCTCATGACAGGGCAAGGTTGTTAATGGAAACCGATAGAGCGCAATGAGCCTGTTTCATGCACCGATGAATCGTTTGTCGGTAGATGTCTCGGGAGCGTCGTCGCGTGACGGGTCGATGAGGGGATAGCTGGCATACGGCGTGATGATGATGGTGGAGGGTGGTGTGGCAGCTGAGCTCCAGCTGCTGCGACAGCGCGTTTGGAGACCGCAAGGCATCCAGCTTTGGTTTGCTTCGGTTGGTCGCAAACACCACTTTCAGCAGGCGAGACTGGTGTGGTGGTAGAAAGCGCGATCCTGCAGTTAGTACTCGGCAATCCAACGGCAATCAAACCTCGTCAAGTTGGACAAAGAAAGGTCGTCGAGTTGCAACTCGCAATGACACTAGGTTGGGGATCAATTAGTTGCCCCAGGCAACGGTCGCGCACACGTGGGGTCCAAATAAAATAATGCAGCGCATCTTCTCAGGGTCCGCTGGTCCTGCATGAAGCCCGATATCCATGCGTCCAGGAATTCTTCTACAAACCCTCCCCTCAAAAGTGGCAAGTGGGAAGCCATGGCCATGAAATTGTACATATTTGACTGACATGCCGTCGCAATCGTTTCGCTTCAACAAGGGTTACAACATGTCTTCTATCACTTGTGCTGCCAGGATGCTCAAGTTCAGCCATAATTGGCTTCGGATGAAACTGCCTTCCAAAACGACGCGTTTTGTATCTTATCTCCTAGATACATCTACCACGGAGATTGTGCACCGACCTATGCTCGCAATGCCTTCTTAACTCGGCTCATATCCTCGTTATCTACCGACTGGCAGCCCTGGACGATGGTAAGTCGCCCACGCGGCCTAAGATCGCTGGTAATAGTCCTCCTGCTGCGCTCTTGTCTCTTCGCGGATACCGCCCTCAACGCCCTTTTCGCCATGTATGTGGTTGACACTTCCCCAGAACTCCTCGCGCTCGCGGATAATCTCCTCGCCCCACGTTTGCATCTCCGGCAGTGTCATCTTCCTCGAAACGTATGCGAACTCGCCCAGATCGAGCTTGCCATCTCCCTTCTTCTCATATTCGACCATTTGCAACAGCAGCTCGATCTTGTCCACATCGTGCACAAAGTGGCTGTCTAGGGTCTGGGAGTCTTCGTATTCCTGCCATATCGACCTAATCTCGTCGCCAACGTCTGGGCCACCAGGGACGCCCCGCAGCAGGTTCTTGGTGAGGTAGTCCATTGTCGCCGCCTCGCGGCGGTTCTTCTCAGGCTTGGGGACGCCATCGACGGGAGTGATATCGCCAACCAGAAGTTCAGCCATGTCGTGGATCAAGCACATGCGCATGCACTTGTAGAGATCGAGCTTTGGTCGGAGTGAGACGGGTGCGAACATGGAAATGAGCGACATGCGGTACATGTGGTCGGAAATGCTCTCGCCCCTGCGTCTGTCAGCGCAAGGTACTGTCTCCAGCAAGACCATACTCACCTCTGAATGCCAAACCGGCGCCAGCCTTCGCGCTTGGTGGTCTTCAGTCGCTCGAGCATGTGTAAGAAGGACAAAGCTGATTTGGAATCCTCTCTCGGCTTCTCATCGATTTTCTCAAGCACCTTCTCGACGGTCCAAGGCTCGGAAACTTTCACAATGGGCGAATACCCCAGGTGGGAAAGGTCTGGCCCCCCGTTGGTGGGCTGTTGGTCGGTCGAGCCCATGATCAAGTACGCGAGCGGGAGTTTGAGGATAGTCGTGAGATGGAAGAAAAGAGAAGACCGCGCAGCCTTTATATTACTTGCGGTAGTCGACTCGCGTTTACTCGACAGACTGTTTGCGACTGACTTTGTTGTTGTTTGGGCGGGATTTGGCACAACTGTCACTGGCTAGCGCGGCTTGCTTTGGGCGGGACCTGCGCGCGCGCTGGTCCTTGCCGCGAGGTACCTCCGGAGGTAGCCGGCATGAGACGGTAATAGCTACTATCCTTCTGGTCTCTCAGAAAGGTGGCGCGTACAAATATTGCATGCATGATACGATGCAGCCATTTCAACCCAAGGCTGTTGGATATTCATGCGACACGAGCTCCCAAAGTGGCGACGATTGTCCATTTCCTGGTGATACCTAAGGTAAGGTAAGTAAAAGTACCATGCCCCGCGATGTTGAGCCTGGTTATCACCCCTCCATTGCTATCCAGCTAGTGGGGGCCAGTCAACTGAGAAACATTGTCATTGTCTTCTCAAGCCTGCTTCTGTCAAGCACTTTGGGTTTCGCAAAAGTTTTGTAGAAAGGCTTTGAGCTTATTATGCACGTTTTCTTGTCACAACTGGATTCATGCGGGTATGTCAGTTTGATGTCTTCTCGATGTGCACGAAAGGAATCGGGGTGAAGAACACCGCGAGGCATAATCATCCAAAGTAGAACTCCTCAAATAGCCGTCGCCCAACCAACGGACCTTAGATAGATAAAATCCTATCGCATTTACCATAAGCGCGGTGTGTGACACTCTCGACGAGCTTGCACAGCTCTACAGCATGCGGGAGCCAGCGCCTTTCCCCAAGTCCGTCCAGGGTAGCCGAATAGGAATGTTACCGCTTCTGCGCTGAGAAATTTGGGTCTGAATTCTTGAACCCTCTTTTCGGCGCCTCAATCTTGTGAACCCACCAAAGGCGACATCTGGAGCTTTGGCGCAGCGGTAGCGCGTGTGATTCCAGCTCGGAACTTCCACAAGGTCATCGGTTCAAATCCGATAAGCTTCATTTTTGCTCTTCATAGCCGCTGAGAACGGCTCTGGCTTTTACGCTTGGCCCTACTGTACTTTTGCAAAGTGGCCATATTGATGGACTCTGGTAGTAGACTCAATGGCTTGGGACGACGTTGTGCAGGTAGTGATGTTCTCCAGCCGACGAAACAGCAATCGCAAATCACAGACAGTGTAGCTTGCGAGCGCTGCTTCTTGTCGTCAGTGTGAGCCGAGGATGTATGGGGTCTCGTTGTATATTTTGGAGTACCTGCGTAGTGGCTCTAAAACCGACATTGTGTCGCTTTCATTCACAACCAGCAGCAACAGCAGCCTAAAGTGATCATCATTAGTCCTGGCCCCAGAGCTCCTTTCTGTACCCTTCCGTCAACCTCTCGTCCTCGCCAAACGCGTCCTGCCACCCAGAAAACCCCAGGTCGAGGACGAAAACCTCCTGATCCTCAGCGGCCTTAAGTCCAAGGGTCTTGAGCACCCCGTCTCTCTCCCGCAAGTACTTCAGGGCAGCCGAAGGGCCACGCTGCTGGCTGAGCATGCAGTGAAACACGACGGTCTTCTTGTCCGCCAGGCGACGCACTAGTGTGGGCATTGCCGCATCGAGCGTGTGGGATGGGATGTTCAACGAAGACTTGATGTGGCCGCCGAGATAGTCTAGTAAAAGCAGTTAGATCTTGTGACACGAGTTACAAATGTATCGCTTTGGTATGACGTAGACATACCATCGTCACGCACGTCAACGACAGCGAACGTAAGATCTTGGGCTTCTTGCTCTTCGAGAATTTTCTGGCTGAGGGTCTGCGCATTCATGCGCTTCAACGTTGCAATTGAGGCCATACGGAACGTATGTTGGCCGTTGAGAAAGAGCGTAGGATTGTCGTTTTCATTCACTCGAAGAACAGCGTGCTGATATCTGAGATGGGATTTGGCTAGCAAGGCGTGAGTGCTGCAACAGCAACTTGAATACCGACGAGTGGGTCTGCTATGGCCAGTGCCAGTGCGGTTATAAAAGCCTTACAGAATACAGGCTGAGCAATGCCAAACAAGGCTACATTTTGGAGGGTGAACAGGTCGTCGGTGATAGTCTCATTGTTTGTTTCTCTGTGAGAATCATTCATTCATCATGCGCCTATAGGTATATCGCTTCACCAGTCCGCATGCCAGTCCTTCCATAACGCCAATATACCCCTGCCACACAGGGAATACAGAACACATTTCCTCCGTTCATACGACACGACCATCGCAGACATAGCCATCTATGCCTTACCCAACCAGCCTGCGGTGACCAGAAAGTCGAATATGCGCCCGCCTTTTTGGGAGTCGAGCCGGCAGATTTCCCTGGCTTGTTTCTTCTTCATTGTTCCGTTCCCTTTGATAGCCTCGGCCAGAATCTGCTGCTTGATCATGATGTACGGCTTGGGAGCTAAGCGCACAATCTCGCAAAGCTTGATCTCTTCCGGCGTCAAGAGATGTATGTCGGCATTGTTGTCCGCGTTAAAGGACAAAGGCTGGACGCCAGGTATGGGCTGAGGAAGCTGCTTGGGTCGCGGCGAGCCAACACCGTTTGTGTCCCCGTTCGCGCCATTCAGAGCAGGTTTGCTTTCCCCATTGACCTCGCCGTTCGTTTGGTTCACAGCCCGTATAGGTAGTTCGGGCGCCACCAGAAGCGCCGCTCCACTAGGCGGATCAGGTGGTGGCGCGTTCTTGCTGCGTTGAGCGGTGGCTAGTCGATCTCGGTCCATTGACCCCATAGGTGTAGTCTTTTGTATACGCGCCGCCTTCTCAGTTTCGTACTTCTCTCCGCTTCGCAGATCCCCGATTTTCACACTACGCCACTCGTGAAGCTGAGCGATGGCTTGGCGCAAGTTCAACTCATCAATCAGCCCTTGATTGAAGTCCTCAAAGTCTTTTCGGTTCATGACCCGCGCAAAGGGCTTTGCTTTTTGCAACAGGTCTCTCTCCTCCTTGGACCGTTTTTTGTCAATCTTTGTGTTCTCCCGATAGTCGAGCAGGTTGTGCTCAAATATGACCTTCTTGCGATCCACACGCTGGGTCAATCGACAGTTGTAGATCTCCATGACCGTCAGCTTGAGCTCCATCTCCGGCTCGAGCTCTCCTGTCCTTGGATTCACACCGTCCCCGGGATCGAACTGCATGTGTTGTACAGCTTCCTCCGCGTCGTTCGCATACTCTGTTTCGAATTCAAGGCGACCAGGCATGTACCCTTGGATCTCATGACAGCTAGGTACACTGGCTGTCGGCTTTGTTTTCGGTTGTAATGTTGGCGCGTTCTTGGCTGCCTCTCTTCGCTGTTCTATCCTTCGCTTCTTGCGCGCTTGGAATTCGTCACGAGATATCGCGTCGGCCAGCTCGGAATCGTGGGGGCTGCATCGTTTCGGTAGAGGGAAGGCCGGGGAGTCCACATAGCAGCTCAAATAATGATCGCGAACTTCATCTTTTTCTCGGAAGCCTCCAATGTGATCCGCAATATCTGCCCATGAGCCCAAACCGTAGGTCTCGGCGCCCTCGATCAACATCAGCTCCTCATCCGCGCCCCATTCTGGATCAAATATCGGGAACGAGTTTTGTTCAATGACCCGATACGCATGTGTTTCGGGCACGTGCGAATTTCGCGCCTCGCCTTTGGAGAAGCAGGTGACGCACAGGTCGAAATCGTTGCAGGCAGGGTCGGCGCATCGTATGCGAACCTAAAAGCAATTAGGTCACGTTGGCCGAGGGGTCTGTGAAGCGCAACTTACCGTCGAAGTGATATCAGAGGAGCACACATCGCAAACATACTTGACGCCACCTTCACCACCCCTGGTCGCTGTCTTCTTGCGTATCACACCCATCCTGGACTGCGTTCGCGACAGGCGCCGTGTGGCCCAGCCGCCGGTGGAACAAGCGAAGCAGAGAGCCTGTTGCTAACGGAGCGCGAGGTGTTCACAGATGGTCTTTCGCTGTGCACATAGTCCAATGCAACACGCTTTCCGATGATTGCGACTCAGATACGGTTACAAGTCGATGGATGTCGATGACCTGTCGTCGGCTTAGCATCAGATCGCGGAGGGCGTGATGGAGTCGCGAGCTGGGGGCTGCATGCGCTAAGCCGCATTCGATGCTGCCACCAAGCTCGGACCGAGTTGATGACATAATGCCTACAATCACGTGCTCATCGCTGCCTCCCACCCGCCCAGCCGGAAGCCATGAGATGGTATTGCACGAAGGCAAAGGCTTTAGCAATTTCCTTTGCACGTCTGTTGCACGGGTTATCGAAATTATTCACCTGTTGTCGAGTCGGTCAAGTAATGTAGTCAAGAATTGAGCGCTTTGGCAATGATTGCAATCCCCGCTGGACCACACAGTGAGAGAAAGCTGGGGAAGCCACCGTACGTAGATATCATGGCACTCGCAGGAATCAACAAACAGGCAGACGTTGTTTAGCGACCCAATAGCTGACGCCTGTTGATCGCTTAGAGCGGTCGTCGCACTCCACGGAGCTCAGCGGATGCGCTGTTTTCGCATGGCGGAAAACGGAAAACGCCTCAAGCCGCCTAACTTGTATCCCCACGGGCACTGAACTGTTGGCGCGCTTGGTCTACTCACCGTCCAGTCGTCGCTGTATTTTGGGCGAAGCTAGGCCGAACAGCCACCAGTTGCTAGTTGCAAAAAGGCCACGCCCGATGCTAAGTAGTTTGGAGTTCCAAAAGCGCCGCTCGTGTTGTGGTGATGACTTTGGAGGGGCCGGCTTGTTATACCCCTCATGACCCACGACCCTGCAACGAACATAAACTCCATTTCGTTCTCACCGTGACGTCCCTGAATTCTCCCAAAGTCAATTCAACACGAAAATGTCTGAGAAAATTCTAGATGAAATCTCCCACAGGAGGTTCAATCCTCTGACGAACAGTTGGTTACTCGTTTCACCCCACAGAACCAAGCGTCCCTGGCAGTGAGTTCGTTCGACATATCGACGCCATCCTGGAGTGTCTAACATCACCAAAGGGGCCAGCAAGAGGCTGCTGTCGCAAACAAGCTGCCCGACTATGACCCCAAGGTGAGTCGTAACCACCATCGGCTTGTGCAATAACTGATTTCTAGTGCTACCTGTGCCCTGGCAACCCGCGAGCTGCCGGCGACACCAACCCCAAATACGAGAACACATTCGCATTTGTGAACGATTACAGCGCCGTTAAGGAGCAGCAACCCGAGTATGAGCGTACGGAAGGGTCTACTGAAGGTGAGCAGATCACCTCATCCAGCTCAGACAGGAAAATGACCGTCCAGATCTTGAGGCCTCACTTCTGAAGGCAGAGGGTGTCAAGGGCGTCTGCTATGTCCTGACATTTTCACCGAAGCATCACCTTACCCTCGCCGACATGTCTGCCAAGGAAACACTGCCCGTCATTGACCATTGGACGCGCATCTACGCCAATCATTTGGCTGCTTCCAACCCATTGAAGGAGCTCGTTGCCAAGGTCAGCCTCTCCGTCTCACAGGACGAAGCGCCTACTCCGAAGGACGAGTATCGGTATATGCAGATCTTTGAGAACAAGGGTGCAGCGATGGGATGCTCCAACCCGCATCCTCACTGCCAAGTTTGGACCACTTCAAGCATGCCGGAAGAACCTGGGAAGGAGATGGATGCCATGGCCAAGTATCGAAAGGACCACGGCGGACGTCACCTTCTGGCCGACTATGTCAAGCTTGAGCTTGCCAAGGCAGAGCGCGTCGTATGGGAGAATGACACCTTTGTTGTGATCTGCCCCTGGTGGGCTGTCTGGCCATTCGAGGTCATCATCATCCCGAAGCGTCACGTCCGCTGTCTGCTGGATTTCACCGATGCTGAGCGCCTGCATTTCGCCGAGGCGATCCAGGAGGTGACGCGACGATATGACAACCTCTTCGAGTGCAGCTTTCCCTATAGCTCCGGCATTCACCAAGCTCCGCTGAAGGGGACGCAGGAGGAAATCGACAACTCGTATCTCCACATGCACTTTTATCCACCACTGCTGCGTTCCGCAACAGTGAGGAAGTTCTTGGTGGGCTATGAACTGATGGCTGAGCCACAGAGAGATATTACCCCCGAGCAGGCAACGGTGCGGCTTCGCAACTGTGGAGGGGAGCTCTACCGGAAGTCCTTGTCGTAAGGCGCCATAGCAATGTACAGATTCTTTTTCCCTTATCTATACTAATTGAACTGAACATAAGAGTCCCTGACCATGGGCATCCAGATGCAGCCCAGAGTCGCAAAGAAAAATGGGAAGAACTGCGGCAGACCAAAGGTCATAGTCTTGTAGATAAACATCTCGCTGGAGAAGTGAAGCAACGCGACGACGTATGTTGACATAGCGATATTGTAGATGGGTCCGTTGTGCAGGTTGTAGGCTGCGTAGACCCTGATCACACTGGTGAGGAGTGTCCAGATCCCAAAGAGGCGGCCAGCAAGGGGCGTTAGCTGGTCGTTCGCTTTGGAATTTTTGTGGTCAGGAACAAGCTTGTTGGTGGAGTCTTCGGGGTTGTAGGTTGAAGAAGTCACCGGAAGATTGGTGTTCCTGATGAATCGGCCATTGTAAACGCGCCGGGAGAAGTGAAGTGTCGTAAACGCCTGGATTGAATTCCCAATGGAGATGGACCCTAGCTGTTGGACTGTGAGCGGCTGCCAGCGAATTCATGCGCGGCACCTGCCACTTACAAGGATCATGTAATAGGGCAGAACGCCTTCAGCGGCGGGGAGGAAAGTGGCGAGAGACTCCATGTTGCTGCTTGGTCGCCTGGGTATTCTGAGTTAAGGTGTGAACGAAAAGGAGAAAAGAAATGTACCTTACTCGTAGATCGTCACGGAAGCCAAGCGGGCGGCTCATGCCTGCACTTAACCAAACTGGGCAGTTTGGAGGTGCTAGTTCGCTGACATAATGACCTTAACAATAAACCAAAATGCCGAGGAACTGCTGCGTGGTGCAAAGAAATTGTTGGGACCCTCCTCCAGCTCATCCGCCCGAGACGCAACACCAATCTGGATCATCAACATCCGCCGTCTTCGCAAGATCACCATGGACTCTGTGTGTGAATTTCTTCACCGCGTGCCTCAGCCCGTTCAGTGGGGTCTGGCGGGCGTAGGTGCCTTGGCCATTGGCGTCAAGCTTCTTAGCTACCTGCAACTGCTGGCCAATGTATTCATCCTCAGCGGAAACAATGTATGCTTTCCACAAGTCCTCCTACCGCTGTCAAATCTCTAATTGCTTGCAGCTTCGAAAGTATGGAAAGCCTGGTACTTGGGCTGTCATCACCGGTGCATCTGATGGACTGGGCAAAGAGTACGCCTATCAGCTAGCTCAGAAGGGGTTCAACCTCATCCTCGTGTCGCGAACCCAATCCAAGCTTGAGACGCTTGCGAAAGAGATCGAAGCCAAACACGCCGACAAGAAGGTTCAAACCAAGATTCACGCCATGGACTTTTCTCAAAACAACAATGCGGACTACGAAGCGTTGGCCAGTCAGATCGAGGGGCTTGACGTCGGCATTTTGATCAACAATGTCGGCCAGAGCCACAGTATCCCTGTGTCATTCATAGACACCACACAGGAGGAGATGGAAAGCATCATCAGGATCAACTGTGAGGGAACCCTCAAGGTCACCAAGGTCGTTGCCCCGATCTTGCAGAAGCGTCGCAAGGGTCTTATCCTGACCATGGGATCCACGGCCGGCTGGAGTCCCACCCCCCTCCTTGCCACGTACTCTGGAAGTAAAGCATTCCTCCAGTTCTGGAGCAGCGCCCTCGCTGCTGAGCTTCGCCCTGACAACGTCGATGTTTACCTTGTGATCAGCCATCTTGTCACGACCGCAATGAGCAAGATTCGTCGTCCCAGCCTGATGATTCCCACAGCGCCCAAATTCGTTCGCTCAGCGCTCTCAAAGATCGGTAACGGGGGGTTCCAGAATGCGTCAAACACCTACACCCCCTGGTGGACGCATTCTTTCATGATCTGGACTATCGAGACGGTTCTAGGCGTCTTCCATCCCACTGTCATCGGCATCAACAGGAAGATGCACGTGGACATCCGCAAGAGAGCCTTGCGCAAACGCGAGCGGGAGGCTAAGAAGCAGTAGAGACAGCAGTACGACGTGTTTGCGACAACATGCGTGAGGAAACTGGTTACCACTACCTAGAATAAATAGATTAGCAAAAAGTTTGAACCCTGATTGCCTCACGCAAACCACCAATTGGCAGGTGATACGTATGACCATTGTGGTCTGGTTGAAACGTGAACAATTGAGCTTTGTATGATGGATGATGCTCCAGGTGTGGTTTAGCGCACGCCCAGGCGGCCAGGCCTTCCAAAGCCTGAGTGATGCGCGACGTTGCCCGACCCGCTAAAAAACCAGACCGACCGTGTTGCAAGCACCAGTCAACAACGTCTGGTTCTTTCCAGCCTCTTGACCTGCGCGAGCACAACAACGCTCTCTCAGTTCTACGAGCATCACTCATCCACGAGCTTCCGGTTAGCTCTTCCCCGGCGACACGATCCGCCAAAGCTGCGAGAATCAGCAGGAGCAGCTGCGAATTCCCGTCAGCGCAGGCATTCCTCTCTTGCGCGCGCAAGCCCTCACTTCATTAGCTCTCCGATCCTCATGGGCTCGCTGGGCAGCCATTGCTATACTTGTTGAGAAGCCCGTCACATTGGACAAGAGACACTAGCTGTCGAGCAGCTACAATGAGCTTCCAGACGCCCATGCGGCCGGTCCCCGGCGCGTACCTCAACACTCCCGCCCTCGCCTCTCGATTCCAGCCCGGCCCCGATCCCACGCGTCGACAATTGTTCCAGCCCTCGAGGCCCACGATCGACTCTTCTGGGAATGCAGGCGCATCTGCATCGTCCGGGACACAGATTGGGGCCTCTACTTCAGGTGCTGTTGGTACACCTGTGACTCCATCGGCTCCAAGGCAAGATGCGGTGGCGCCTGTTGTCAAGGCAGCTAATGCTGTTGCGGATGCTGTACGATCCGACGAGAACTTCCCAGATCTGGACAACTATATCAGACAGGGTGTATCGTCCGATTACGAACTCTCTGACCCGGACTCGAGCACCAGTCCTTTCCACAAAACCAACATGTACCCGATTCCAGACCAAATCTTCGAGCACTTGAATCGCGGGCAATTACAGACGACCATGGGCTTGTTCGCCGAAATCAACCACGCATGGGTAGTCATCGATAATTCGCTGTTTCTCTGGGACTATACGATACCCAACCCAGAACTCGTTGGCTACGAGGAGCAGTCTCATTCCATCGACGCAGTGGCCCTGGTCGCACCGAAGCCGGGGATTTTCCTCGATTCGATTACACACATTCTGGCAGTTGCAACGTCAGCAGAGCTGATCCTTCTCGGCGCTTCCGTGTCTGCTACACCCTCCGGAAACAAATCCGTAGCGCTGTATCAGACAAAGATGAACTTGCCGCTTCGTGGAACACGCGTGAGCGTCATATCAGGCACGGCAGACGGACGAATCTTCTTCGGTGGTAGTAGCGACGTCGATCTGAACGAACTTTACTACCAATCGGAGGAAAGGTGGTTTTCGAATCGAGTTGGTAGAATCAACCATACGAACCCCGGATGGTCGTCAGTCGTGTCCCTGAACTCGTCATTGTGGTCGCAAAAGAGCCCAGAAAGCTTGTTGGATATTGTCGTCGACGACTCGCGGAAATTGGTGTACACCCTCTCCAGTACCTCGACGATACGAACCTATCACATGGACTCGGCCCACAGCTTGAAGAAAGTTATTGAGAAAGAAAGGCTCAGTTGTGTGCGCGATATCACACATATGACAAACGATCCCAAGCTGTTCTCAAACAGCATGCGGATTGTGTCAATCAGTCCGATATCAAGGCAAGAGGCCTCGAAGCTACATTTGACTGCTCTCACAAACACTGGGTGCCGCCTTTTCCTCAGTGCCACCAATGCCTCCGCATTCTACAGCACCTCAACGAACCTAGCGCCTCAGAGTATGCAAGTCCAGTTCATCAAACTGCCGTGTGAATCGAATGCGAGGTTCACCAACTTGGGCGGTCAGCAGGGCATCGTCCTCAAGCCGAGCAGGAAAGGATCACGTTTCCCACCAGGCTACTTCTTGGACTTTGTCGACAACAACCCGGATCAGAACGATTTGTTGTTCCTCTCTACCCCTGAAACGGGTAAAATCAAGAACCCAGTCTCAGCTGCTTCCACGATCAAGTACCCTGAGGCTGCAAACTGGTTAGAAATCGGCAGTCGTGTCGAGGCAGTGGGTTTGATCACGAAACCCTTTGCGGCTGCACCCCAGCCGCTTGGCTTTGGAAATGAGCTGGCTGTCCAGTTCGACGAAGCTCCTACCGAGTTTGCGGTTCTGACCAACACTGGTGTGCACATCATCCGCCGCCGGCGATTCGTTGATACATTTGCCGCCAGTATCAGATATGCGTCTGGAGAAGAAGGATTCGATAAGATTGCGCGAGGGTTTATCCAAAGCTATGGTCGTGTTGAGACCGTTTCAGCTGCGCTTGCAGTTGCGTGTGGTCACGGGGGAGACTCGAGGACAGGTGCGCCGCGCACGAGCGATCCAGCCACGGAGGACCGCGCGAAAACCGTTTTTGTCGACTACGGCGGCGGTCCTACTATCACCGAGACAGATGGAGCAACGTTGACAACCGAGTCTGTCAAGCTATCTTCGCGCCACGATGCTCTCGCTCTCTATCTCTCTCGCCTTGTTCGCAAGCTTTGGAAGACTCCTGTCATCACACTCGGAGCCGCAGCTACTGGTGGCATTGCCGTCGTCTCCACAATCCCTGTGACCAAGTTGGCCGAGGTGCAAAGCAACATCAACAGACTTCGCACATTCCTCCATGAAAACCGTACTTTGATACGGGGACTCTCTGGGCCAGCCGATCTGCAGCGGGTGACCTCACGTCAGGAAGAGGTCGCCCTTCAGGCAGAGCATCAAGCCCTGCATGCTCTTCAGAAACTGATGGAAAGTATCTCAGAAGGCATATCCTTTGTTCTTATGCTGTTTGATGAGCGCGTATCTGATATTTACATCCGTCTCGATACAACGGCACAAGAGCAATTCAAGGCTTTGACTTTTTCAAAATTGTTTGCCGAAGCTGACGGCAAGGAGTTGGCCAAGGTAGTGGTCAAAGCGATTGTCAATCGCAACATTGAGAGCGGTTCAAACGTGGAGACGGTTGCCGATGCTCTGCGCAGAAGGTGCGGCAGCTTCTGCAGCCCAGATGATGTTGTCATCTTCAAGGCACAGGAGCAGCTCAAACGTGCTTCTGAGCAATCTTTAAGCAACAGTCAGCGAACATTACTGCACGACAGTTTGCGGTTCTTTGAGAAGGTCGCCGGCAGTCTAACCTTCACGAACTTGCAAGCAGCTGTCGCGCAATTCGTAGAGCTCAAGTACTACGCTGGGGCTGTTCGGCTCTGCTTAACTGTGGCGCGAGAAAAGGATCGCGGCAACACCGCACTCTCCTGGCTTAACGATGGCAAGCCGCCCAATGATCCTCGCGAGGAGGTTTACAACGAGCGCAAGCGCTGCTACAACGCCATTCATGAAGTATTGGCCAATCTCGACACAGCGGCCAGTTCTGAGCCCGAAACAGTCGACGGCAAGCTCACGCTAATAGCGACCAAGCGACACGAGGCGTACGGTGTGGTGAATGAATCCGACGATGAAGTCTTCCATTTCGACCTCTATGATTGGTACCTCAAGCAAGGATGGACGCAGCGGATTCTGGACATTGACTCGCCACATGTTGTCACATTCTTGCAACGCCTTGCAAATGAAGATGTGCAGCACGCCGAACTCCTGTGCCGTTTCTACACCAACCGCACGCGCTACTATGAAGCCGCGCGGGTGCAGATGGGTTTGGCAAATTCTGACTTGGAACTGGGTATCAAAGAACGCATCAGGCTTCTCAGTCTTGCAAAGTCCAATGCCATGGTGTCCACCGTCGGGATCGCTCGCCAGGAGCAGCAACTGCTGACCCACCGAGTTTCAGACCTCCTTGAGGTTGCCAATGTGCAAGACGACCTGCTCGAGCGGATAAAATCGGATGCGAGAGGCACTGATGAGGTGAGGGCGCAGTTGGCTGCGAGCCTTGACGGCAAGATCCTAGGTCTTTCAGATGTAAGCTTTGAGTATACCGCTTGAGAATGATGGTCCCGAGACTAATGATTCCAGCTTTTCAACGGCTTCGCCGATCCTGGCAACTACTACGACATCTGCCTGCTCATCTACCACCATGCAGATTATCGCAACGGCACAACTATCAACAAAACATGGAGCGACCTGATCGATCAACTGCACACTGAAGTCCTCGAGGCTGAAGAAGCAATTGAAATCGCCAGAAACGAAGCGACGATGAATGGCACTGCACCGCCAAACCTACCTCAACCCCCGAAGCCGTACGAGTCTATCTCAGCAAAGATCCAGAACATTGCCCATCATTCTTCGCTAGACAGCTTCGTCTTCCCCATTCATATGCTTCTCCCGAAGCTTGTGCAGTACTCAGTCGCGGAGGAGCAAGACAATCGCATCGGGGCGCACGCCTGCTGGCCAGCCCAGCTTTTCCTCAGTCTGGATGTTTCTCACGATAACATTGTGAAAGCCCTCGAGGCTGCGCTTGAAACACCTGGGGGCAACTACAATCAGCAAGGCAGCATCCGCGTTCGTCTTGTCGAACTCATCGTCTACGCGGTGGACGACTGGGTGGCAGATCTCCGACGCCGTGGCGGCTCTAAGCAAGCGGGAACGATCACACAGTCGGTCACAGAACTCCTAAAACGGTGCGAGGGACAGCTTACGCCGCGGACCAACAACCCAGGTGGCGCAGATGTTGGAGATCTCATGGGCGCGTTGAGGACGTTGCTCCGAGAGGTTGCCACGTTGGCGGACAGAGCACCCATGGGCAGCTTGCGGTATTTGTAAGAGCCAGGAGTTGACTCTGCTATTTTGTTTTATATACACAGATTCAGATAGCCTTCATGCGTGTAAGAGCACTGTGGTGGGCATAAGGATTGCAGGCGCCAACGGCAAGGTTTACGGATTTCAATATGACTTTTGCATAATACTGCAGCATTGTCCATACGGAAGGGAATGAATTGGCTCCAGGACTGGAAGTTGGAAAAATTTCGTATCCGTACTTCATGTTATGAGGACTGACCCCATGAGTGAGGGCCGCATGTGGTGATCGAAAACGGCAATTGGCGTTGACCGCCCTGGTGCCAAGCGTGGCAGAATTGTAGCAGGACCAAGGGGCCACGGACGCTCATGGCTTCGCTGGCAAGACGCGCCGGTGGGGATAGGTTTCGACTGACCATCGACAATGGCCTGAAATTGATTGTTCTCCAAGAGCGACGGTTCACACGCGATGCTGCAGTCAAGCTTCCTTCTCTTGGGCTCAATAGCGACAGGGGTTTTGGCGGCCACGCCGCATCCCGACTCCCTACCGTCGTACCACTATGGCGCGCCCATCGCAGTGGAATGCATGAACAGAAGCTCGTGAGTCCTTGTTCACCTGAGATTTGCAGATACAAGAAGCTGAGATGATGCCAGGGAAACCGGCGAACACCTAGAGGGCGCTGACCACGAGCTCCAATGGATCCCTTTTCCAGTTTGCAACGAGACCAGCAAACCCCTCGAGTTTCGATACGGCACTGAAGGCGAAGTGAACTGCACGATACCCTTTATTGACGATCCGTTCTTCCATCTTCTCGAATTCTATGTACACAACGACGCGCCACTATCCTGCCGGCTGGCTTCGCGACCACCAGCGCACGTCGAGGTCGTAGGCGCAAAGCCCCCCGAGACCGAATACATACCCTTAACCTTCGCCTTGGCTGGGACGCTCCAATCGAGCCACATGCACATCAGCACGCACTTGAATGTCTTGCTGCACAGCATACCGAAACACCATACACACCGTCACGACAGTGGGGTTCTCGACTCTGGTATCGCGTACAGCACCAGCCCGCTGAGCCACATGGGGGGTTCGTTTACGCGCAAACTTATCATCGGCGATCCGCTTCCTCTGAGCTTCTCTGTGAGGTGGTTCCCGACACCGGCGCTGCCAAAGACGGAGGGAAAGGTCGAGTGGCAAGGACTAGGCGGGCATATCTATGCCAGTACGTTCTTCTACAGCCTCGTTTCCTTCATCGCGGGTGCTTTGGGAGCTGGCATGTACACACTTGGGGTTGTCTTGCCCAGGCGTCTCAAAGGGCGGTCAATGGGCGGAGCCACGCCACTGGGCTACGGTATCAGCACCGGGGTAGGCAACGGCTGGGGATATCAGAAACCTCGCACAGACTAGATAGTCGGTATGCGCATTAGATGGAGTTGCTCAGTACTAGCGGTTGCCCCAAAACGATTTGTACGACATGTCCCTCCTCATTGGTCTTTGGTTCTAGCTTCGGCAACAGCAATCCTGTTCAGGAGTCTCTGGTGCATGTCAAAGGCCATGATGATGGCTAGCGGTGTTAGTTGGGTTGCCTCAACAGATGATGGAACACATACGAATAACGGCATATGGGAGGTACTCGCCCCAAAACAACATGGTTTTCTGGGCTGGAGTAACCATCTCATCACCCAGGGTCAACAGGTAGTAACAGCACGTGGTGCTCCCCATGCCAGTCACACATCCAAACATCAGCCCAGCCAGTTCCTTGGCAGCTTCCGAGGTAGCTCTCCCTCCAGAAAGCTTGTAGACGAGGTACACTGCGAGGGGCAGCTGCACGAAAGCTTCAATGTACAGAAAGGCCTGGAACCAGGGCTCATGGATGTCGTGAGCGAAGAATGGATCACTAGTAAACGAGACATACGTCGATCGAATAAAGGTAATTGAATGGAGCGGTGCTGTAGGGGCTTCCCATAGTGACTTGGGGTAAAATGGTACCAGGTCCATTGCTGACGGGCTTGTTAATAATGTTCCCATGGTGCCGTGGGAAGTAGAGTGAATCTGTGACTAACCTATCATCCCGAAGAGCTGAGCGCCCACAATGAGGAGATAGACGCTATCGCGTACGGCTGGTGACATTGCCATTGTCGTCGTTGTGTTAGTTGTATGCTTGGTTGGAATTGCGATTCGGCGTGTGATTTGATCCAGTTGTTCAGACGTAAGAGTCGAAGACGAGCCCCTTTGCCAGCACATGAACTAGCTACCCTATATCCGTGTTATTCCATGCTCTTGTTATGAAGCTCCCTGTGTTTGCGCTGTATTTTGCGCTGCACCTTGCACTGCAGTTCTAGTAGGATTGATACTTGGTAGGCTTACTGTTTCGAGGCAAATAATTAGGCGTTGTTTGTAGTTAATGTTCCTTTGCGGCACTCCTCACGCCCCGAAGTTTTGGTGAACGGTAATCAGGGAGCATCTTTCAACACGGAAGACCCGGAAGCCTTTCATGTCGATTTGCTATAACACGTACATGTCGAATATTTCGTTCGACATGACCTTATTCTTACCATTCTGGTTCTTGATTACAAACTGCTGCACTGCGTTTGAGCGTAGCGAAGAGAGTATCAAACGCTTGATAAATGTGCCAGGTAGCCAAATCCACTGGCAATGGCGTCACATGCCACAAGTCGATCCTCGATGGCAAGCCCCCTGTGTAGCACGCAAGCTAAGAGTTATGGTCAGAGTTCTAGGCTTTGGCGAACTTGCTGAAGCCAAATGCAACGTTCGTCCTCGATACGCTAATAGCTAATGCATTGGCTTTAGTAGAGTGCCAACGATCGAGCAACGAGTGGTTTCATGTCCTCGCCCAATCTTAAGCGACTGGATCTCAGCCGGGATCGATAGCCTCAATGACAGCGTGTCTGTACGCGACATCATCCCTTGGCGGACTATCTGTCGTTCCGGGTAGCACCTGGCAACTGTAATTGGTCCATGTAGCTATTGAGGGAGTCGCTCCACTCCCCCAAAAACGCACGGGCCATGCGAATCCGTCAGTGGGCAGGTACGTGCTGGCTCCAGGCACCCCTTGCGCTGAACTGCGGTGGGTTGCGCTTGTTGTGCCTGGCCTGCTACCTTACCACAGCTTTCCACTTTCTTCAACCCGACATCATCACCACCTCTCCTTAATCTCACCATTCACGACCCTTCACGACGACGCATTGACTTCCACGGCCTGCCACCCCGTAGGAACGTCCTCGCTACGATATAATCGACGCGTACTGTCTGTTCTCTCTATTGCTCTTCGTCTAATCTTCGTATTCGATCCTTTGGCCAACTTCTCCTGTCCTCGAGCGGCCGCGAAGTGCCATCGTGTTCTTGCCGCGCGGCGCATGGAAGCTCCCAACAGCTTCAACCACGAACAACATACCCACGGCGCTGCACTTGGGCTTGATAGCTTTCATTGAACGAAGCCGATTGTCTATTTACTCAAGGCGACGTTCTAGCTTCTCGTCGCCAGGAGCTTCGGGACCAACGCAAACCCTGTGACACCTGAACATCAACACGAGAGCGACATGGCGCCGATGCCAATCAAGTTCCAGGAGCTGGTGCAGCTCACCAGCTCCGGCGTTGAAACTTCGTCCATCACCTTCAACAGCTGCGTGAGTTGCCCTGCTCGTCCCCTGATCCGCCCGCACCGTCCGTGCGCTGCGGAGAACTGACTAGATGGTGGCCCAAATACTGTCAAGATAGTTGCTAACGTCTTCCCTACCTAGACACTCGAATCCGATCACTACATTTGCATTCGAGAAAAGAAAAGCGAAGATGCTTCCCCGGAGGTAGTCATCGTCGAGCTCAAGAATGGCAACAATGTGATGCGACGACCTATCAAGGCTGACAGTGCCATCATGCACTGGGACCGACAAGTCATTGCACTGAAGGCTCAGTCTCGCACACTTCAGATCTTTGACCTGGACAAAAAGCAAAAGCTCAAGTCGAACACCATGAACGAAGACGTTGTGTTTTGGAAATGGATCAGCGAGACCACCCTCGGTCTGATCACAGGCACAGCTGTGTATCATTGGGACATATACGAACCTGGTCAGGACGCGCCAGTCAAGGTGTTTGAACGCAACCAGAATCTCAATGTTTGTATAACCCAGTGCGCTGATTGCTATGGTTGATGAAGCTGACCTCTGCCAGGGATGTCAAATTATCAACTACCGGGTCAACACTGACGGGAAGTGGATGGTAGTTGTTGGCATTTCCCAGCAGCAAGGCCGCATCGTTGGTGCCATGCAACTTTACTCGAAGGACCGCGGTATCAGCCAGGCTATCGAGGGCCATGCGGCGGCTTTCGGCACTCTGCGACTCGAAGGTGCACCCCAGGACACCAAGCTCTTTACGTTTGCTGCACGGACTGCTACCGGCGCCAAGCTCCACATTGTCGAGGTCGATCACCCTGAGTCGAATCCTGTGTTCCAGAAGAAGGCGGTCGATATTTTCTTTCCTCAGGAGGCGAACAGCGATTTCCCCGTCGCTCTGCAGGTCTCGCAGAAATACGGTGTGATCTTCATGATCACCAAGTATGGCTTTATTCACATGTACGACTTGGAGACCGGCAGCTGCATCTTCATGAACCGCATCTCCAGCGAGACCATCTTCACTACATGCGCTGACAACGAATCGACTGGTATTGTGGCTATCAACCGCAAGGGCCAAGTTTTGTTCGTTACTGTTGACGAGACAACCGCCATTCCATACCTGCTGCAGAACCCTGCGAACACTGAGATGGCCATCAAGCTGGCGTCGCGCGCAGGTCTCCCGGGCGCCGATGACCTGTACGCCAAGCAATTTGACAACCTATTCAACGCGGGCAATTACGCTGAGGCTGCCAAGATTGCGGCGAACTCGCCTCGTGGCTTCCTGCGCACTGCCGAAACGATCGAGAAGTTCAAGCGTCTTCCTGTTCAGCCTGGCCAGATGGCATATACTTTGCAATACTTTGGTATGCTTCTGGACAAAGGTTCTCTCAACAAACATGAGACGCTCGAGCTCGCCCAGCCCGTACTCTCGCAGAACCGCAAACATCTGTTGGAGAAATGGCTCAAGGAGGACAAGCTGGACTGCTCCGAGCAGCTCGGTGATTTGGCCCGCCCTTATGACGTGAACATGGCCTTGACAATCTACCTCAAGGCTAACGTTCCCCACAAGGTTGTTGCTGGCTTCGCTGAGACGGGCCAGTTTGACAAGATTCTACCTTACTCTGCCCAAACCGGCTACCAGCCCGATTATGTCCAGCTGTTGCAGCACATCATCCGCGTCAACCCTGAAAAGGGAGCAGAATTCGCAACGGCTCTCGCCAACAGCGAGCAGGGTCCCCTTGTCGACTTTGAGCGCGTTTGCGATATCTTCCAATCTCAAGGCATGATCCAGCAGGCCACTGCTTTCTTGCTCGACGCGCTCAAGGACAACAAGCCCGAACACGCTCGCCTTCAGACACGCCTGCTGGAGATGAACTTGATGCACGCTCCTCAAGTTGCTGAGGCTATCCTTGGAAATGAGATGTTCACCCACTTCGACAAGGCCCGCATCGCTCACCTGTGCGAGCAAGCCGGTCTTGCGCAGAAGGCTTTGGAGCTTTATGAGGATCCCGAAGCCATCAAGCGTGTAGTGGTTAACATTCCTGGCAATGCCAACTTCAACCCTGAGTGGCTCACCAACTTCTTCGGAAAGCTGTCTGTTGAGCAGTCCTTTGACTGCCTCGATGTCATGATGAAGCACAACATCCGCCAGAACCTCCAGTCGGTGGTGACCATCGCCACCAAATATTCTGATCTTCTGGGTCCCACGCGCATCATTGACCTGTTCGAGAAGTACAAGACTAGCGAAGGACTGTTCTACTACCTTGGCAGTGTCGTCAATGTTTCAGAGGACCCGGATGTGCACTTCAAGTACATTGAGGCAGCCACCAAGATGGGCCAGTTCAACGAGGTCGAACGTATCTGCCGTGACAGCACCTCCTACAACCCCGAGAAGGTCAAGAACTTCCTGAAGGAAGCCCGCCTCCCTGAGCAACTGCCTCTTATCATTGTCTGCGACCGTTTCAACTTTGTGCACGACCTGATCCTGTTCCTCTATCAGAACCAGCAGTTCCAGGCTATCGAGTCCTATGTCCAGCGCGTCAACCCTGGCAGGACCCCAGCCGTCGTTGGCGGCCTTCTCGATGTCGACTGCGATGAGAACATCATCAAGCAGCTTTTGACTACGGTCAACGCCGCTTCGATCAACATTGATGAACTTGTCGCGGAAGTGGAGTCTCGTAACCGTTTGAAGCTCCTTTTGCCATTCCTCGAGGCAACTCTGCAAGCCGGCAACCAGCAGCAGGCAGTCTACAACGCTCTCGCCAAGATTTACATCGACTCCAACAACAACCCCGAGAAGTTCTTGAAGGAGAATGATCAGTACGATACCCTGACTGTGGGTAAATACTGCGAGAAGCGGGACCCCAACCTTGCATACATCGCCTACTCTAAGGGCCAGAATGACCTGGAACTCGTCAACATCACGAACGAGAACTCCATGTACCGTGCACAGGCTCGCTATCTGCTCGAGCGCTCTGATGCTGAGCTCTGGCGTTTTGTTCTCAGCGAGAATAACATTCATCGCCGCTCTGTGGTTGACCAGGTCACTGTGACTGCCGTCCCTGAGTCGACTGACCCTGCCAAGGTCTCTGTTGCTGTATCCGCCCTGCTCGAGAACGACATGCCACTGGAGCTCATCGAACTGTTGGAGAAGATCGTCTTGGAGCCATCTCCATTCAGCGACAACCAAAATCTGCAGAATCTGCTCATGTTCACTGCAGCCAAGGCTGACAAGGCCCGTGTCATGGACTACATCCACAAGCTGGATGGATACAATGCTGACGACATCGCTACCTCGTGTATCGAAGTGGGTTTGCATGAGGAGGCATTTGAGATCTACAAGAAGGCCGATAACAAGGCCGCTGCTGTTGATGTTCTGGTTGAGCACGTGGTCAGCATCGACCGTGCTCAGGCTTTTGCTGAAGAGGTCGACTTGCCCGAGGTATGGAGCAAGGTCGCCAAGGCTCAGCTCGACGGCCTCCGTGTCTCCGACGCCATTGAATCGTACATCAAGGCGGAGGATCCCAAGAATTACGAGGAGGTCATCGAGATTGCCACCCATGCCGGCAAGAATGAAGACCTCGTCAAATACTTGCGAATGGCTCGCAAGACCCTGAGGGAACCCGCGATTGATACCGCCCTCGCCTTCTGCTTCGCCCGCCTCGATCAGCTCTCTGAGCTTGAGGACTTCCTGCGTGCGACCAACGTTGCTAACGTGGAGGAGTCTGGTGATAAGGCGTACGAGGAGGGCTTTTATGAGGCTTCCAAGATCTTCTTCACGAGCATCTCGAACTGGGCCAAACTTGCTACCACTCATGTGCACCTGGGCGACCACCAGGCTGCTGTGGACTGCGCGCGCAAAGCCAACAACATCAAGGTCTGGAGGCAGGTCCACGAGGCTTGCGTGGAGAAGAAGGAGTTCCGCCTGGCGCAGATCTGCGGTCTCAACCTCATTGTCGACGCTGAGCAATTGCAAGAACTCGTCAAGCAGTATGAGCGCAATGGCTACTTTGACGAGCTGATTAGCTTGTTGGAGCAGGGCCTTGGCCTAGAGAGGGCACATATGGGGCTCTTCACTTCCCTCGGTGTTGCTCTTTCAAAGTATCACCCTGAGAAGCTCATGGAGCACATCAAGATTTTCTGGTCGCGCATGAACATGCCCAAGATGATTCGTGCCTGCGAGGAAGCCAACTTGTGGCCCGAGTTGGTCTTCTGCTACTACCACTACGATGAGTTTGACAATGCTGCTCTTGCCGTCATTGAGCGCCCGGAGAACTCCTGGGATCACCAGCAATTCAAGGAGATCGTGGTGAAGGTGGCCAATTTGGAGATTTACTACCGCGCCATCAAGTTCTACGTGGAGCAGCACCCCTCGCTACTCACCGACCTGCTTGCTGCTTTGACGGCTCGCATTGACGTCAACCGTGTCGTCAAGATCTTCCAGAAGAACGACGACCTACCGCTCATCAAGTCTTTCCTGTTGAATGTTCAGTCGCAGAACAAGCGGGTGGTCAATGAGGCTGTCAACGATCTCCTCATCGAAGAGGAGGATTACAAGACCCTCCGTGACTCGGTACAGAACTTTGACAACTACGATGCCGTGGCTCTTGCTGGTCGCTTGGAGAAGCATGACCTCATTTTCTTCCGCCAGATTGCGGCAAACATCTACCGCAAGAACAAGCGCTGGGAGAAGTCGATCGCCCTTTCGAAGCAGGACAAGTTGTATAAGGATGCAATTGAGACTGCCGCCATGTCGGGCAAGAACGACATTGTGGACGACCTGTTGCGCTACGTGAGTGAATATCTACTACTTTCAAAGTCAACCACTAACCTTCACAGTTCGTTGACATTGGTCACCGCGAGTGCTACACTGGCATGCTATACGCTTGCAACGAGCTTATCCGTCCGGACCTTGTTCTGGAGCTGTCCTGGCGTCATGGGTTGAACGACTTTTCCATGCCCTACATGATCAACATGCTAGCCCAGCAAACCAAGGAGCTTGCCCTGCTCAAGGCCGACAACGAGGCCCGCAAAAGCAAAGAGAAGGAGCAAGAGAAGACCGAGGACAACACGCCAATCTTGGGTGGTGGTCGTCTCATGATCACAGCTGGCCCGGGCGGCGCGCCGGCACCTGCACCCTACGGTCAACAGCCTAATGGGTTTGCACCGCAGCCTACAGGCTACGGCTACTAAATCACGTGAAAGAGGGATTGTCACAATTATCCAGCGTGATGCCTTGAGTCAATACGATTTCCTTACTTTGTACCATATTTGTGCTGCTCGGCAGTAATCCGACGCGAGACGGGCATGGCGAGGTTGGCCTAGGCTTGGTGAGCACTAGAATACACGAGCGTCTGGCGCCAGTTGGTGGATCACGCCGCGGCCTTTTGGATGTGGTGGGGAAACTGGTTTCATTTGTCCTGTGTCTTATGAGCGTTTGCGGAAGACGAGACCTTTGAGACGGGTACAGTCTCGAATGGGAGGTGGAAGCGCGTGCGCGAGGGCGGTCAATCGTTATCTTGTATGTATGTGTATTATAGGGAGGTATTATCAAGCATACCACGTCTGTTATTGAGCATAACCGGTTGAGTTAAGTGTGGCAGACGCTATAGCGTAGAGGCTCCCTACCCCGTAGGTGAATTCAATACTGTCTAGTATTCGTTAACGATAGCGTCAAAATTTCAAGCTACGAGAGGCAGTGGATTTACGGCTAAACAAGGGCTGCTATATCTCGCGCCAAACTTGGCCCCGCTGGGTATGCTCAATAACAGATGTGGTATGCTTGACAATATCTCCCGCATTATAAGGTAGTACATCGGTTCGTATTCAAAGAGGCCCACTGGGTGCTACTACGTTACAGCAAGAGATCAGAACGCCAAACTCCCTTCTTTTCTCAAGAAATGTCGCGGGTTGTAGATGATGTATGCTGGTTTATGTATCAATGGGTTTGGGATTCTTGATGGTCAACCATTCACCGTTGAATGCGTTGATGAGCCAGTTTGTAATTTCTAGGGGGCGGCTTGGTTAATTTGGTGCACGACAGCATGGAATGGACAAAAAAAACTCACTATCGAATACAATCCTGTTGGCCTGGTGAAAGTAAATGCCATGATCACTATCAGGGAAGACATGCACGTCGTAATTTTCTACGCCTGCGAGATCGAGGTCGTCGAGGAGGGTCAGACTGTTCTGGAAATGGACATTGTCGTCCGCGACGCCGTGCATCAAGAGGAAGCGGATATTTTCCCCCAGAGCGGTGGCGTTGTGGACACTGGACTCTTCGTAGCCGTCCTCGTTGTCCTTGGGGAGGCGCATGTATCGCTCCGCATACACGCTGTCGTAGAACCGCCAGTCCGTGACGGGAGCGACGGCGACGCCGTACGAGTACGTCTGCCCGGCGTCCTGCTCGAGGGTCTTGAGGGTGGTGAAGCCGCCGTAGGACCAGCCCCAGATGGCCAGACGGGTCTCGTCGACGTGGGGGAGCGAGGCGAAGTGTTGGGCGGCGGCGATGTGGTCCTCGGCTTCCAGCACGCCGAGCTGGCCACGGACCCCGACGCGGTGGTCACGGCCCTTGAAGCCGGTGCCGCGAGGGTCGACGGTGACGACAATGTAGCCGAGTGAGGAGGCGACGTAGGATTGAAAGTCGACGCTGAACTTTTTGGTCACCTGCTGCGACCCGGGGCCGGAGTACTGCTGGAAGAGGATAGGGTAGGATTTGGAAGGGTTGAAGTGCGGAGGGCGACGTTCGAGATAGTTGACGCTGACGCCGTGGGGCAAATCCAGCGTGCCGTAGGAGAGGACTGGGAGGGCGTGGCGGCGGGCCTGGTCGGCGAGATTCTTGTTCTCCTCGATTGTGCGCTCATAGGGTCCCTGGTCTTTTGGCAATGACGGGGTGGTGATGATCTTTTGGTAGGGCGTTTTCGGACCGTGGTACGTCAACAGTGTGTAGCCCGACTCTGTGGAGAAATATGCGTCGTAGTAGGCCTCAGTCTTGGGGTCAGTGAGACATTCGAGGTTGGAACCATCGAGCAGGGAGACGGAGTATACGTGTCGCTGTATGGAGGACTCCTTGGCGGCCTTGAAGTAGACGAGGTTGTTCACAAGGTCGACGGAAGATGGCGCGTCTTCCACCTCCCATTCGCCAGATGTGAGCATGATGGGGTCAGGGTTGTCGAGGGGTGTGAAGTACGCAATGTGATCGTATCCGTCGTGGATGACAGAGTCCACGTAGCCATCGTGCTCACGCCCGTTCGTGCTATCGGCGGGCACGTACGCGAGATGATGCGATAGCTCGAACCAGCCGCCATCCTCTTTGCCAACATCTCGCTCGCGGACAATGTGCGCTTTTCGTTCCCCAACATCCACCAGGACGACCTTTAAATTGTCGCTGATGCGATTCGTCTGCTTGATGATGGCCTTGTCGTCCCCGGCCCAGACCAGGTGGTTGACGACGCGGTCATCGTCGGGGAATTGCTTGTCAGCGTCGACGCTGAAGACCTCGTCCTTGTCGACATTGTAATAGCGTACTTGGACAACGGGGTTGTGCGCGCCAGCCTTGGGGTACTTGATCTGGCGAACCTCGGGATAGCGCTCCTCGCCTTCCGGGGGCTCAGTGCCACTGGGCCGCGACAGGAAGTATTGCACGGGATACTCGGGGACGCCCGTCTCGTTGGTCTGGAGGAAAGCGAGGTGGCTTCCGTCGGCAGACCACCAGGTGGCGATGCGCTCATGCAGCACCTCCTCCTCGTATACCCAGTCCGGCACACCGTTGAAGTATTCCGCACCACCGTTGTGGGTGACCTGTGTGACCTTATTCTCCTTCTTGCCATCCTGGAGATGACGGATGTACAGATTGTTGTCATCGCGGGTGAAGGCGATGGCATCGCTCTGTGGGTTCCACTGGGCGAGCTGAACCCGCGCCTGGGCGTCGAGGGGCACCAGGGGTTCGACTTTCTGCGACGCGACATCAAGGATAAAGTACGTCGCCATGAACGAGTGGCGCCAATTCTTCTCCTTGTTCACGCCCAGAAGGACTCTTTTCAAGTCGGGACTAGGCTTGGTCCAGGCAGGACGGAATGTCTCGTCGCCGAACTGGAAAGACGTCTCTTTCATGAGTGTCCGAGACGCAGGAACATCCTTCCCGCGCTTGTCCTTGTCCTCGTCTTCCGAGCGCACATGCTCAACGACAAGAAAGTCCTTGCCTGCAGTGCCCTGCTCCACGTATAGACCGTCCTGGCCCTCGGGGTTGGCGATCCAGCTGATGCTGTGCTGTCTCGCGTTCCAGAAGCCCCCCAGCACCTGATCCAAAGTCACCGACTTGCCCGACCCACGGGAACTCGCATCGGGGTCGTGGTCCACGTCGCTCAAGTGTTTGTAGGACCCTGTCGCGACAAAGACAGCTAGAGAGACGAACCAGCCTAGACAGAAGACGACAAAAGCCGCGATGAGGATGCGTCGCATCTTCTTGTCCATGGGCTGGCGCCGGGCCCCCTGCTGCTGAGGCGCACCATTGCCGTCGTCTCCCAGAAAGGGGCCTGTTTCGAGGTCCTCGGCCGGCTCTCTCAGCGGATCTTGATCGTCGAGGTCATCGTAGCCAGCGTCACGGCTGTCGCCATTCTCATCCTTCTCGGGGTGCGACTGCTTCTCGTTGCGTTCGTGTATCCGTTCGAAGACGAGACTGGTGGTCGATACGGAGGACAGGGACTCGTGCGACGCGCGAGGCTTCGCGGTATCGACGTCTGCGACAGGCGGCATCTTTGGGGATGCGACGCTTGCTGCTGCGGATCGGATTTGATGGGATGCGTTTCGCGATGGTAGGGACAAGATCAGCGGGGCGTCAGCATAGGCATCTTGAACAGGACACTAGACTAGGTAGATTGTCCAGTTTAGCTTTCGAAGGGCTCTGTTAACCCTTGAAGCTTTGACGACTTATTGAGGCAGTCAATAGCTTGGTGTGGCGCCCATTGACATGCACGCGATGGAGGGCGATACGTTGAGCCAAGGCTGGGCTGGGCTGGGCTGGGCCTTTTGAGTTGTCCCCTCTTCCGGATTGCCACCTGCTTACCCTGCAGCGCTCTCCAGGTCACGAATGGCCTGAGCGCCCACCGGTGTGTCTGGGTGTATTTGAGTCGAGGTCCGTGAAGAGGTGTTCCTGGAGGGCTAGCGGTCGGGAACTGTGCAACGCTGACTGGAGCTATAGGTTTGGTGCGTTGTTGACACCTCCCAAGGTCAATGTCGATGGGGTGAAGGTTGGACGCTATTGACCGGGTGATCGCCGCACTGTAGGGCGCAGCGTATCCGTACTGCGTCCGTAGATAGTCTAGGGTCTATGGGGCTTACAAGTTGCCCGGCTAAGCGGCTTACGGCTCAGCTAGGCCCACTCGTGATCTCGCGCCGGGCGTATGCGAGGAATACGACGACGTCCAGGGACCAGTCCTAGGGAACGTTAGCATGCTTCTCTGGCCACGAGACCTCGGAGGGACGAGGTGCGGCAATGGTATTACTGGATGACTCCAGGTATAAGTAGATGATGAGGTTTCCATTTTTCGTAGTCGATTATCAATTTTGAAGCGACCTGAGCAGCAACTGACCTAGCTCTATTCATGTACTTCTGATACGCGCAAGATGGGCCCCACCAAGAACCACCAACCGCAAGAACATGTGGACATTCCTCACAACATCTCCGACCTATACTGCGTGAGCACCCCCAGCTTGCAAGGCACAAGAGGTGTGCGTGCGGAATACTGATTCGCGACAGTTCACAGAGACCGAGGGCATCGTCACGACGACTATGATGGACCTGCCGGGCTATCGCGTCGTCAGGGTCCTCGGGGCCGTCTATGGCCTCACGGTGCGCTCGCGCAACATTGCCGCTGGCATCGGCATGGTGATCAAGTCTCTCGCGGGAGGCGAGCTCACCTGGTTCACATCGATGCTGTACAACTGCCGCAACGACTCGCTCAGTCGCTGCGTGGCCGAGACAAAGGCACGTGGCGGCAATGCCATCATCTGCCTGCGATTCGACACGGCCGATCTGGGCGGCTTCGCGCAGTCCTGTGCATACGGCACTGCGTGCGTCGTGGAGAAGCTCGAGGGAGGAGATGCAGTGGCGACGCAGCTGCACAATCGCAACAATAGCGTGAATGCTACTGCATCAGCTGCGCGATAGAGGAGGATCTGGAGATGGCTCGAGGATTCATGTCGTGAACGGTTCATTTCGAGTTAACAACTGACATGTAGATACCACCGCCCGCTCGCTTGTAAGCTGTGGCTGCATCAGTGCATCGCCCTGCAGGGGTTCCCTGGGAGCCTTATTATTCCCTTATGCCAGTTAGGAGGACAAGTTCAGGGACATACCTTGCCCAAGCTGTCAATAGATCCCGGCCTCCAAGGCCCAAAGACAAACATCCTGTTCGTCACATCTCTCTTTCTCATGCCCGACACTCATGCAGGCTCTAGTCTTTCATCTACGATGACCAGATGACCAGTCTCCTCGCGAGGGGCGCCGGCACCAACCAAAGTGCACTTTCATTCCGAATCAAGCAGCTCGTGGTCTGGTGAGCAAAGACCACTGGCCCCCAACTGCATGACGGCCCAATCTTGACATCTGGAGAGGAACACGCAGCCGGGTCCTTCTACGTACTCTGCCAGCCCCCCAAGCCTCGTTGATGATATTACAGTGCGGCTCGTTCGATCGTGAGCATACTGTCGTGGCACTCTCCCACGCGCCAGCACGGCAGCGACTGGAGATTGCCTCTGTTTGCCTTGGGCAGCAGTGAAGATGCCAACTCGCACAATATCCTGGTGTCTACTTGACGAGGTTTGTCACACTTCTCATCGGCTCTCAGTCTACCCAGTGAGAGCCAGAGAAGCCAGCCATCCAACGTCCCCATTGGAGCAGGAACCGCATCCGTCCACCCAATGCCCCTGACCGCTACGCAAAGACAGACGCCCTCCAGCAAACCCGCCGAGGCTGTTTACTATAACTAGACTACACCGGTTCTTCACCGCCTCTCATGGCCAGCAAAAAGGCAGCGAGATTTCTTGTCCTGAAGATGGCCATGAGCCTGACGAGTGCGGCTACTTGGTGTCGCTCTAGGTCCCCCAGAGCCTTGTGGTAGCAAACATAGGTCCTATATTAGGCGCTCATGCTCCCGCTGCGAAGCCAACTGCTCGAGTCTACCATTGTCCACGATGCCTGCCCCAATATATCCTGACCACGACCTTGAGATGGCTTCCGGCCACAGGAGATATCACCACAATGCCCGGCGACCCCCTATCATCCACCACGACACGTCCGAGAGGCCGCAGCCCACGCCAGGTGCTTATGGAGTGGTCACCTGGGGGCAGAGCTTGCGTCGCTCAGGCTCACATCAGAGCTATGCTAGAAGGAGTCTGGCACCACCTCGTCCATGGAGAAGACCTCGCGGGAGGTCACTGTAAGTGCATTGCCCTACTCGGTCAAGTGCCGTTCGTCAAGCGCCAAGCACGTTCCCGCTAATGCCCCATGAGCGGCTCTCTCGCGCCAGGACGACCCCAGTATGCGAACCAAGAACCGGCTACCACAAGTTACGACCCCAATGCAGGTATCCAGGGGCTTCAGATCCATGGACCCCAGGGCGCCTTCTCGGCTGAGCTGCAACCGCAGACTCTCGGGTTTTGGAATTTTGCTGAACCCTTGTATCAAGAGCAGGCTGTCTCGCTGGGACCCCAGCACGGAATGTGGAATACGCCACCTCCTGCGTTCAAGAATAGTATCGCGCAGTCCTTTCAGCTTCGGCTACCGGGCCAGTGGCCAGGACCGGGGCCATTCTCCTTCTCTTCGGATAATAGTGCTCAGCAAAACCCCCTTTTGATGAGCGATACCTGTCCAACCACACTTGTGTCATGTGATAACCCCATCCAAGACGCTCGGCAGGCTTCAATGGACGTATTTGGATTTCGGGACCCGTTCTACCTGGGCAGTGACATGTCTAGCTCGGGTGCTGGACCCCCTGGAATTGGAGAACCGCGCGACCTCGGAGCTGGTGATGATGTGGCCCAGCTTCCGATGGACCCTTACCATCGAAGCCACCAGGATCCCAGCGTGTCTCCCAAGGACACCCAGAGCCGGAACATGTCCATGTACACGGGCAAAGCAACCTGTGACCTGGGAACCTTGGATTCATTGAGTAGCCACCACGATACCGGGCATGTATATCCCGCGGAGTATCGAGGGCTTTCCACCGAGGGCCTAGAATGGGCAGGACTAGGAGGTAGTTTCGGAAATGGGGCGCCCCATGTGCCAGAGACCCGGAATCCCTGGACAGACCAAGGATATGTTGGATCCCAACAAGTCACTCCAAGTGGACAAGGACAGCACCTCGGACAGGGACAGGGTGACACTGTGCCCTCGGGATATCCCGCTGGCCATTCGTTGGGAGAACCAGCTGGCCAACCCCCTGAGGAGCCTGTGAGACAACAGACTACAAGAGCAGTGAGATCTGGAGGCCGAAACGGCCCGCTGGGAACGCCAGAAAGAGAAGCGGCTAGACAAGTCCGAGTCAACCGTACAGCCTGCATCAGGTGCAGGGTCAAGAAGATCAAGGTGAGTTGGCCATCTGTGACAGCAGAGCCATTCAGATGTGCTAACTGTGCATTTCGTGCTCCTTCACGGACGGCCACAATGTCTGCGACAAGTGCCGCCCCCCGGCGGAAAGGCACGTCCGCGACCAGCAGCCTTGCGTCCCAGCCGATATACTACAGCTCGTCAAGCAGGGCGGGCTCAACCTAGAGGGCAAGTCAACGCCAATGGCGGGTATGAAACTAAGCTTACACATGACAGCACTCTACGCCTCGCACGGCACCGACGGAATGAACCCCAACACAGGCGTTTCCCGTGTGCACATCGATCTTGTGCCGGATACGATCCATCTACCCACGCTCTGCCACGGTATACAGCGCCGCATCTCCGAGGGTCACCAAAAATTGCACGTCTGCATACAACCCAGAGCAGATGCCCCTGACGAGACTCTGTACAAGATCGATCTGAAGGGGTGCCTCGCATGGATCCAACAGCTTGAACTAGGTGCACCAGCCCGGTCCTTTCGGGACCTGATTGATCATGACATGCCTACGTTCAAAAACTGGCAAGACTGGGTCTCCTTCAGCGATGAATGCAAGAATGTCAGCATCAAGACAGTCGACGTCGTCCATCTCGTGGAGAGACTTTTGCGGTGCAACGAGATTTCGCATTTTCAACACTTCAAAATCGGCAGCATTTCTTCAGGCCTGGACGACATTGGTATCCCTCTTTCGCGCATCGTCGCCCGAGGACTCGAGTTGGTGGTCTTTGAACGCGTCCAAAACACACTCAACAACCAAAAGAGACGAGACCCCTTTACGCCCGAGCTTCTGCGGGCGACAGGACAACTCACCATGTTCGTCATGCGACGTCTGTCCTGGCCCGGCGTGTTTGGCTGCAGGGCAGATGAAAACGCCAGGGAGGAATTCGAGAATCGACTAGACGAGATCTGTCGACGACTGCACTACCATTACGGCTACATCGTGCAGGACAGGGGCGTACAACCGGACAGCGACGTTGACTCGGCCCTTGTCGCTGGAGAGGAAGTGCGAGCGAGATTTCCCTGCCAATCGTTAGGAGCGCGGTCACTGCCGTGCGCGGAGTGGACTGATGAAGGGTATCGAGCCTGGCTGAACGAGTGCCGGAAGAGTCTGTGGCAGGCTTCACAGTTACCGAAGGACGTCGTGGCCATGACAACGGAGAGTGGCCACGGTGAATCGGTACGACAGCGACGAGAGCAAAGATAGGAATTGAACTTGGACATATCCAGCGACACCACGCACATTACAGTAGGATACATGACAACAGCAGTATGGTGGGGAAAAGAAAAGAAAGGAAATCACGAAACGGAACAAGGAACACACAAATTTGGGGCTTTCTTTCAACAACTGCTCTGATAGAGTCAATTCTCGACTTCTGCTCATGCTTGGGAGGATGCATTAGAATAGAGGGCTCACAGTACACGATCGCAAGATAGCATCACAAGAGCCGGATCAAATTGTGGCATACAATACACTAGAAATTGCATATTATTCTTATCATAGAAGCTTGATCATGTCACAATGGCAATATTCAATGGTATATACAACGGACAGCAAATCCCTCTCTCCCAAATGGCCATCACCCCCCTAGAACCACGGCTGCCTCTCCACCGCCCGCTTACCGAATCTCTTTGTCCTCTGCGCGTCCCTCGGGGCGAGCTGCAGGGCACTCCTCTTCCTCCGTGCGGTGGTGTCGGCGGCCTTGAGCTCGCCGCAGTCGGGCCTCGTGAGCTCGTTGCCAAACTCGTCGACGGTCCAGATGAGGACGCCATTCGTCCAGCCAAAGCCCTCGACGACCTCGTACTCGCCACCGCCACCGGCAATGTTGGTCGCGTTGTCGGCGTACTTTTCAAACATGATGCCGGTGTCCTGGTCGGTGAAGCCCTCGAGCTGGGGCGTCTTGGACGTGGCGCCGCCCGTGGCGCGCCAGGTGCAAAAGGTGCTGTCGAGGTAGCGCTGGCCGAGGCGGAGGGCGATCTCGTGGACGTGCTGGTACGACGGGTCGTCCTCGCCAAAGGTGGCGGGTGTGTTCTGCAGGCCGGCCATGAGGATGTGCATGAGCGGCGGCCAGACGGAGGGCTGGTCCCACTGCTGGCCGGTGCGGAAGTTGGTGGCGGGGATGCCGCCCTTGCGGGTGTCGAGGAGGGTCTCGACGCGCTTGTAGATCTGCTCAATGGCAAACGGGTTGTTCTTGATGTACGCGGGCGCCGCGCCCGTCCAGAAGGGGTAGAACTGGGACACACTGAAGAGGACCATGTGGCCGTCGGGGGCGGTGCTGTTCTCGAGTTTCGTGACGTCGTCATCGGCCGGCACGTAGATGTATTGCGCCGCCGAGGTGAGGTTGTAGTCAAAGTAGGACATGTACGTCTCGTTCCACATGAGGGCGTGGATGGCCTCGGAGCGGTTGTGCGCCAGCTCCTCCCACTGGGCGGCCGCAGTGGCGTTGCCCGTCTGGTTGAGGAAGCCCGCAATGGCCATCTCGTTGGCGTACATGATGGAGTTGAGGTCGACGGGGACAATGTTGTTGGTGTTGAGCGAGCGCAGGGGGAAGTAGACGTCCTCGGCCGCGTCTTGTGGGCGTGCGATCCAGCGCGAGCTGTAGTCCCATCCTGACTCGGCGCCCGATGCCAGGGCGGAGTAGAGAGTGGCGCGCTGGGTGTCGTTCAGTGGCTCGGTCTCGGGGTAGATGATGCCCGAGTCGTGCGAGTAGTACGAGGTGTTGGTGGCCGTCTCGTAGTCCTCGCTGTAAGACTCGGGTCGGGGCTGGTTGTTGCGCACGTCGTAGTGGTTGAGGGTGTAGGTGGTGCCGTTGGGGCCATCAATGTCGATCGTGCGGTTCTCGCTGAAGAACACATGCTCCTTGATGAGCAAGGGGAGAGCGCGGTCGAGGATGTCTGTGTCGTTGGTGTGCTCAATGTACGCCTGCACCATGCGAGACAGTACGGGAGGCTGCGAGCGGTTCAGGTAGTAAATGCGAGCACCATTAGGGACGAAGCCGAATTGGTCGACAAAGTCGAGGAAGTTCTCGATGATATCGCGTGAGATGTCTGTGAAGGAGCCGCCGGTCCTAAGGAGGCCCTCGATGATCCAGTACGTGTCCCAGTAGTAGGGCTCGCGGAAGCGACCGCCAGCCACCACAAAGGTGCGGTTGAGGGGGATGAAGCTGCTGGGGCACTTTGTGCAGTTGGAAGCGGCGCCGCCGTTGTATTTTCGTGTCAGATCGGGCCAGATATCAATGACCTTGCTGGTGAACTCCTTGACGACATCGTCGTCGATCTTGTCGAGAAAGACGGGGTCCGTCTCGAGATCGGCCTTGTCGACCTCGCTGAGCTCACCACCGGCATCGGCAAAGAACTCGTCCAGAAAGTCGTTCAGCGCCGAGTTGTTGCTCAGGGGCTTGTCCAGGCGGTCAAAAGCGGACTGAATCTGCGACAATGGCTTCAGAGCCGGCCTTGCAGGTCAGCTTGGTTAATGTATTCTCATGCAGACTGTTCTCGGAACTCACATGTCGACGAATGTCTTGGAGTCGTCAAAGGGCTTGGCCAGTTGGATCTGGTGGAGCATCTCGCCGTAGCAGTAGACGGGCGAGTCGCATGGAGCTGTGATGTTGCCGTCAACGTAGAGGGCACTGACGGCTGAAGCCGATGCGGCCGCAAGGACCGTCTTTCTGAGGCTGGCCATGATGATGTCCGTGACGATCAAACCCAGGTGCAAGGATGGGCGAGGGCAGTTGGTCTTGGGAGTCGACAGTGACCGTAGGCTAGGTCACAGGTGCCAGCTATATATGTGTGTCCTCGTGGGGAGGGCGGGCTGCACAATCCTTTCCGAACTACGTACGGCTGACAAGATCGAGAGCATGACGGGATCTTTTTTTCTGCATCAATCAGTCAACAATGACATCGCAATGGGGGCTTGCTAAACTCGAAGGGGGTTGGTTGGTGGAGTCTGGGGAACGGTTCGTCGGTTTCTGGGGGATGGAGGAGCGACCACCCTGGTCGTCAACTGCAGATCTCCACGTCCTGGCTGCATGGAACTGTCAGTCCTGGTGCCTGGACCAAATGCTCCTCATCAGCTACTGATGTCACCCTAGAAACATTAAAGTAGCCATGGTGCCTTGTCCGTCGTCCACTATGTAAGCCTGGTCTCTTGCGTGCTCCAAGTTGGGAGACCAAGCGCAAGGGCTCTCAGATGTCTAGTCCGGTGACATGCCGTGATAGACCAAACTCTCGAGGGATCCTCAGCTTGGCACCACCTGCCGTCTTTCACCGATCTCACGAGATGGCTTCGTACTTCTGTCACCTGGGTACAGGTACTGGAGGGACGGATCCGACCACCATCCAGCACCTCTGCCTCGTTTTCAGCCCGCAGCCATCCATCCCATTCTTCCCCGCACCAGCTACACGTGTCGTCGAGTCAAGACGGTTCGTCTGTCTGCCGGAATTGTCCCAGCTTCCACGGCTGAGGCCTAACCTCGCACTAACAAAACTCTGCCCTCAACCGGCTCAAACCAGTGGCCACACTTGACCACAGCCGTCCATCCCACTGCCGGATTCTGGAAAGAGCTAATCTTCAACATTAAAAAGCGTAGAATGATCTGCTTGTAGCGTTGCAATGGTTCTATTCAAATGATCCACAATCTGCTATGCGATTCAGGAATGATCATTGAATCGGCTGGGGAAGAAATCGAGAGCTTCGAACTTGAGGTTCTGACGTCACTGGCGTCATCGCATCCCTGCACTTCAGCGCTGCCGCCGGCTCAATACAGTGGGTACCCGCAGTGCCGTGCCAAGCGCTGGAGATGCACAAGTTCAGAACTAGACTTGAACCAAACGTAGGCGGCTTGAACTGTAGTAAGCAAGCACCGGAAATGGATTGCTTCGCGAATCTGTGCGTACGTACAGTAGCACTCACTCCGTAGAACTTGGTGGTGTGGGGTCTTCCGGAACCAAGTGAACTTGTCCAAGACCTCGCTGTCCGAACTTCCAGCTAAGCATATGATTAGGCTACCCTACACAGCATCACGCGTCACCAAAGTCAGCACTGAGGGGGAGACCACACGCTTCCATGAGCTCAACTCCCATCAACACCAAGATGACGAGCATGTCTTTGCGAAGCTTCTTGGCCAAAGCACGGGCGGCACTGGCAGCACCTGCCAGTGAGCGGTCGTTGCCACTGACCTTTGTAGTTGGAAATGAATCAGCTGGTGAGGATTTCTCCCTGTTATCACAACAGTCACTCTAATCTTGCACGTAGACATCGACTCACTTTGCTCTGCGGTGGTGCTAGCGTACCTGCAGACGTCAAGCTCGTCAAAGCTGCACATTCCGCTGTCCAACCTGCCGCGCCCTGACCTGGCGTTGCGTACGGAGATGAACGCGGTGCTTGGCGCGGCCCAACTGCAACCTTCCGATCTTCTCACGCTATCAGAGCTACCGGACAATCTGCGCGCCGAAGACACGACGTGGATACTCGTGGACCACAATGCCCTGACTGGGCCCTTGCAGAAACGCTTCGCCGGCAGGGTATCTGGCTGCGTGGACCATCACGCCGAGGAGAATGTCGTGCCCAAGGACGCGGTCCCAAGAGTCATCGAGCCCTGCGGCAGCTGCATGAGCCTCGTCGTGGAGGAGAGCAAGCCTGTCTGGCAAGGGCTTGCGCAGGAGGAGGCGACAAAGCTGGCCAATTTGGGTCTCGCCGCCATTCTGACGGATACCATCAACCTGACCGCCGAACACAAGATCAAACCCAAGGACAAAACGTCGGCTGCATTTTTGGCAGAGAAACTCAGAGGCACAGAGTATAATCAGACCAGGCTTTTCGAGGACATAGGCAAGCTCAAGGAAGACTTGTCAGAGCTCTCGCTCAGAGACATCCTCCGCAAAGACTACAAGGAATGGAACGAGAACGGGCTGAATCTAGGCATCAGCAGTGTACCACAGGGACTTGCTTATCTCCTCGATGAGAAAGCGTCGGGGCGTGTCGACGGCTTGTGCGGTGCGCTTGAGGAATGGGCCAAGGAGAAAGGGCTGGACGTCGTCAGCATCATGACCACCTCGCACCCTGGAGGTGAATTTCAACGGCACCTGCTGGTCTGGGCACGCAGCGAAAGAGGGGAGCAGGGTCTGAAGAAATTCGTCGACGCTGCGGAGAAGAATCTGCAGCTCGAGAAATTTGCCAACGGGAAACTGGATCAGGGGATGACCAGGCTGGCGTGGCAGCAGAAGAATCTGGCAGCCAGTCGCAAACAGGTTGCCCCTTTGCTGCGAGAAGCTCTACAGAAGGGATGACTATCACTGAAGAAAGACACGAAGCTATGACACATAGAACAAAAATACATCTGGACATGTCAATGACAATATCCCTCGCTCGGCGAGGCATTTCCACATTGTAGCGTTTTGAGGTACAGGTCGTGATACAAAGTAAGTAGAGTACATGATATACAAGAATGCCCACCACGGCCTTCGCCCACTGCAACCCTTCCCAATCGGATCACGGTGTGCTGCTGACGGGACCGTCGCGGCAAAGTGCTTCCATGCTCGCTAAAATTTTGACATATTCATTGTGTTGGATGCGGCGAACCTCGACAGGAGGCATGGCCTCAAAGTTGGGCGGGTTCTTGTGCAGGCGCATGGCGTGCTTGTCGGCCACGTTGACACAGGACACGATGGCTTTGCCGAGGGCGCCGTCAGGTGTTATGGACGGCTGCTCCACAATCAACTCGTAATACAGCCACCGGAGTGTCTCCTGGCACAGCTTGACGTCTTGGGTCGCCGCAATCGTTCGGAAGGCGAGTTCGTACAGCCGACCGGACCGCGGCAGCTGGAATCGCGACGTCGTCTTGAATATCTCCCAGAAGCGTTCCCAGTCCCCGTGCGAGGCGTACGCATTCATGAGCCGGGCTACTTCTTCCTCGGTAGGCGGCGTGTCCAGCTCGCGGAGGAGCATCTCAAAGTTGACTTGGGCGCGGCCTAGTTCAGGACCGTAAGCAGGGGACGTCACAAGAGCTTCAATGATGGTGACCAACATTTGTCTGGTGTGAATCTTCAGTCCACGCTCGTCACCCGTGTGCAGCATCTGGTCGACGAGGGCGAGACGGTCCTCCACAGTCAGACCTCCGCTGAGTGGGGCGCGCAAGATCGAAGACACGAGCTGCTCGAGACGGGCTTCGTCCATCGGGGCGCCGGCGAGCTGGATATCGAGGAACTCCTGCTGCAGGGATGCGACTTGGTCCAGGTCCATGGGTCGGCCCGCGCTCGTAGCGTTGTCACTTGCAGCGTCCACTTGGGGCGATGGCGCCAGACGGCGTGCCGATGTCGAGTAGTACCGGTGCTGTTGCGATGCCTTCTCCATTGCGCTCCACTGAGACGCACCCGGCGCTTGGTGTAGCTGCAGTTTTGTTGCGACCAGCCCATCCAGCTCATCGTCAGAAGGCTTCTCGCCTCTGATCTTTGCTTGCTCCTTCAAATTCCTCTTGAGGATGCCTTTCCACAGGCTCTCGAGATCCAGCTCCTGTCTGCGCGACTCGGTCATGCATTGGACGACAATGGTTGTGCCGTGCTCGGACGCCCCAAAGCCAGAAATCAACCCGCTCGCATCAAAGTTGGCAGACTCGTCCGTCACAGTCTCCGCTGCCGTCCGCGTGTTCACACAGACCCAGCCGGTCGAGATGCCTAGATCAGCGCCCGGTGTGAGGAGGGTGTTCTGCCCCAGTAGCTTCGCCTTTTTGCGTAGCCTCCGCAGCTTGGTCTTGAGTTCTCCGGCGCCAATTAGGCCCTCAGCCCTTGCGCTGACATTATAGTTTCTTCGGATCCACCGAACAAAGCGGCCAGAGGAGATGTGCAAGTGTCGTTCGCTGCGTGCCGTTCCGAAGAGCATGACGAGATTCGGCCCTAGACTAGTAGGGGGATCAATGTCCCGTAAGTCGAGCAGCGAGAGATCGTCAAGACCCATATCTTCGTACACGTATTTGATCAGCGGCTCCAGCATCTCGGGTGCATTTTCAGGTATTTTCGGTAGGGTTGGTTTGTGCTGGCTTGGCAGGTGTCGCGGCGCTTCCTCCTCCAAAAACCACGGCGTATCCTCGTCCGCCTCGGCGTCCTCTTCGAGATTATGCTCGTCTTTCTCGGCTTGGACTGTCTGACTGTGAGATACTACATTTTCATCTCTTGTGGACATGAAGCGGCGTGTCGCGACAGTAGTTTGAGCTCTTCGAACATTCTGGGACAGATTCCCCAGACTCGGCGCATTCGAGCGCAAGACGGCCTGGTAGATGGTTTGTCGACATGTTTGACAGCCAAAAGCCGTCAAAGCTCGTCGCGCAATCATACCGAAGGTCCTGGGTGTTCTGTCGGGGTGGATGATTAGCTTTGGTCTGGCGCAGCTCTAAATTTCGAGCATCACGTCAGCACGTGACGCCATGCATGGCGGCGAGCACATGAGAGGTACGTACCGTCTCGGAGGCCGGAACATTGCAGCCCGCGTCCTGCTTCGCTCAAGTCGCCCCTCGACCCAATTGACGGCTCATCGACCCACCCGCCGGACCCTTCCGTCCAACAGGCGACGAGGGAAAAATTGGGAGCTTCATCTCCTGGACTTGCATGAGCGACTGACTGACTTTTACACGCGCCCTCACTATTAATCTGTACAATTCCAAACTATTCCGCATATGTAATTCGACCCCTTTCTCATGAAAATTCATTGAAGCACAGTCAACAGCTTCATTGCTTGTTGGACGCCCTCGCTTCTTCTCCTTTGCCGGCGACTTGTACTGTGGCCGTCGCGTCCCCAAAGTCGCGAGCCGCCACCATGCTCTCGAGGCATGCGCACCACAACCTTTCGACACGCTCAAGGATACCATCACGACTTGCAGCGACGAACTCCTCAGCATTATGGACGACACCCTCACACCGAACGTCCCAGCTCGCCTTGTCGCAACGATGCACGGTCACGAGCCTACAACGCCCCTGGCGGAGGAGACTGTCAGATGCCTCGCGCATTAGGAGACGCGCGCGCACTCTAGCCACAGCTGTGGGCGACGTTCATCTTGCTTCCATGCTCAGCAACCACGCCCTACCCTCCTTACCGTCACAGAACCCGAACATGGTCTCGCCTTTCGACCCCTTCTCCTTGGTCGCCTTGCCCGACCCATCATCCGCCAGCCCCAACATGGGACCAGCCTTCAGTCGAGCAAACAAGGATGGTGTTGGTGGCGACCCGACAGAGCTTATTTCGGTGTTCGACGCCTGCCTCCGCGTTGGCAGGCTAGAGAGGGCCATGCTTGTGCTCAACCGGGTTGATACGATACCGTCATTCACCGAGGAGGAGCGCATCGTTCTTCACAATCAGTTTCTCCGAGCGGCCATTCAAAAGTTACGGACGAGTCCGAATGCCAAACAGGAGGCCAACTCCTTGCACCAATGGTACGAGATGAACATTCGCAGGTCGCGCGCACAAGGTCTTCCCCACACGCCCGAGACTATTGCGTGTATGCTCAAGATTTCGATCGTCTCCGAGAGTGGAACGAGGTTGCGACGGCTCGTCAAGAGGTACATGGGAATGGCGCCTGGCGAAGCGGGACTGCAGGTCTTGTACATGGCGGATATCCTCAGCGACTCCGACCTGGCTACCATTACCGAAATTTGCCCCACCTACAACTTTGAGAGCGAGCCGCAGATCGAGGACGGGGAGCTCGAAGCCCAGGTGGAAGAGGCCAACGCACGCGCGCAGACTGAGGAGGGACTTGCACAGGCCACACCCGAGCTGGCGAGCACGGACCAGCGTGGTGAGGGCTTGAAGACCTTGCGCCAAGGTCTTGCCTTTCTCAGGGATATTCAAGACGTCGACGTATCGGCGCTGCCCGAGGCTGATCAGCGCGAGATCCAACTCCAGCTCGAACGCGACTCCATCGGCTCCGCTCTGAGTCGATGGCGACTCGAAAACCAGAAGCGACAACAGCAAGGCGTCCAGACGGCCATTACCGGATCGAATTCGCAAGGCTTGCCAGGTCATGTCGCATCATGGCTCCAGGCAACGGAAGACAAGTTGAAGGAGGAATTCAAACTGATTGTGGCCTCTGAGCAAAAAGCGAAGAAGGGCAAAGCTGATCTTGAGCGATGCGCCTACGGCTCGCTGATTATGCAAAGCGAGCCCGCCCGTCTGGCTGCTGTCACGATCCTCACTGTTCTCAATGCCAGCGCGCACATTGGCATGGACAAGGGCACACCCGTGAGCCGTCTTTTCAATCTCATTGGTGGCGCAGTCCAAGAAGATGTCTTTTTGCAAAGTAAGGAGAGGAGGCGCAAAGAATTCAAAAAGCGCAACCTGTCATACAACAAAGCAAAGGCTGAGGGTCGGACCGAAGAAGAAATCAAGGAGGAGCAGGAACTTGCGGCGCAAAGTCGTCTGATCGAGGAACCTCACGAAGCCAAGGAACGTCTAGCTGGTCGCGTGGATCAGCTGTGGTCACTGCAGACAAGGGCCAAGGTGGGCTCAGTCCTGTTGAAGACCCTCATCGAGACGGCGAAAATGAAGGTTACGAAACGTGATCCTCAGACCGGCGCAGCTGTTCATCAGTACCAGCCTGCCTTTATCCACGGGACCGAGGTTCGGAGAGGCAAAAACCAGGGCGTGATCAACCTGAACGCCGCCCTGGTGGAAAACCTGAAGCGCGAGCCCATGCCGGACTTCATGGCGAAGCACCTTCCGATGATCACCCCGCCCCGACCATGGCAGAGTCTCAAGGAGGGTGGATTCCTTGAATCCAAGGCTCAGCTCGTCCGTTTCGACTCGGGCGATGTTGAGCAAGGGCTGTACGCAAAGGCGGCTGTGAACGCTGGCGACTTCAAGACCGTTTTCAAAGGCCTTGATGTCCTGGGCAAAACAGCTTGGAGGATCAACACCAAGGTTCTCAACGTGCTCGTGGAAGCTTGGAATCGTGGTCTTGACATTGCCAACATCCCTCCCCTCAACGTCGACACACCCACCCCTGCTGAGCCAGATCAAGTCACAGACCCAGAGGGTTATCGGCAGTGGCTCAGGGTTGTCAAGCGCATCGAGAACGAACGTGCTGGCAAGCACTCGGAAAGGTGTCTCATGAATCTGCAGCTCGAGGTCGCGCGCGCCTTCAGGAACCAGACCATCTACTTTCCCCACAACGTCGACTATCGTGGACGAGCCTATCCGATCCCCACGTATCTCAATCACATGGGCGCTGACCACATGCGTGGTATCCTCACCTTCGCCAAGGGTAAGCCTCTCGGTGCCAGAGGCTTGCGATGGCTCAAGATTCATCTGGCCAACGTTCACGGCCTCGACAAGGCCAGTTTCAACGACCGTGAAGCATTCGCGACCGAGAACCTCGCCAACATCAGGGATTCGGCGACTAACCCCCTCGATGGCGAGCGCTGGTGGCTGAAGGCCGAGGACCCATTCCAGTGCCTGGCTACTTGCTTCGAGCTCAAAGCAGCTTTCGACCTCGAGGATCCCACCCAGTATGTGTCTCATATGCCTGTGCAACAGGATGGTACTTGCAACGGCCTTCAGCACTACGCTGCGCTCGGTGGTGACACTTGGGGCGCGAAGCAAGTCAATCTTGAGCCTGGCGACAAGCCTGCCGACGTCTACTCAGCTGTGGCGAATTTGGTCAAGGAGGCGATCGTCAAGGACGTTGCTGATGATAACCCTGTGGCGAAAATCCTGGACGGCAAAATCACACGCAAGGTGGTCAAGCAAACTGTCATGACCAACGTGTACGGTGTCACATACTCTGGTGCGAAGAAACAGGTTTGCAAGCAGATTGATGCTCTGTACCCGAGCCTCGGACCCGACAATGGGATGACCAACATGGACTTGTCTGCCTACATCGCCAGGAAGATCTTCGCCGCCCTGGCGTCTATGTTCCGCGGTGCGCACGACATTCAGTACTGGCTCGGAGAGGCTGGAGGCCGAGTTTGTCGCGCCTTGACCAAGACGCAGCTGGACCAAATGGCGGAGAACTACAACGACGAACCCGAGGTCGTGGGCAAGGGGGGCGCAACTGTCAAGAAGGCCAAGGACCCCTCAGGCAAGAAGGGCATCGATGAGTTGACAAACAGCTTCCGATCCACCGTTGTGTGGACGACGCCCCTGCGTATGCCTGTCGTCCAGCCCTACCGCAAGCCCAGCGTGCGCGAGGTCCGGACGTGCATGCAGACGGTCGCATTTGCTGTCAGGGAACAAACCGACCCTGTCAACCGTAGAAAGCAACTGCAGGGATTCCCTCCCAACTTCATCCACTCCCTGGACGCCAGTCATATGCTGCTCTCGGCCCTGCAGTGCAACGAGCTTGGCTTGGACTTTGCCGCTGTCCACGACTCTTTCTGGACTCATGCAGCTGATGTCGATGCCATGAACGGTGTGATCCGCGAGGCATTCATCCAGATTCACGAGGAAGACATTATTGGCCGCCTGGCAGCCGAGTTCAAGACGCGTCACCACGGGTCTCTCTATCTCGCCCACATTGACCCCGAGACCCCGGTTGCCAAGAAGATCAAGGCATTGCGCACGCGTAGCAAGCTCTCGCCCAAGCAGGAGCTCCTCCTCGAACACAAGCGCAACACCCTGAAGCTCTCCGGCAACCCGTGGGATCTGGAGGCGGCCAAGCAGATCGTCACTCCTGCCTCCGTGTATGAGGACATGGCCGCTGCCGAGGCAGACGTGTCCATCAAGGAGGATGCCGCGGGCATGCAGCTGGGCGCGATCCCCGATGCGACAGAAGAGGCGGCGCAGGACGCCTTGCTCGAGGAGGACGCTGAGGATGCCGCGGCAGATGCGAAGGCGCCTGTCAAGAAAGCGGCCAAGGTGACCCGGTCGGCGGTGCCTGTCTGGCTACCGCTGACCGTCCCCGAGGTCCCCAAGAAGGTAATTACATCCCCTCCTAACTAGGAATGATCTATCAGTGCTAATGACTTCCAGGGCGACTTTGATGTTCGCAGACTCCGGGACAGCAAATACTTTTTCTCTTGATTCCAGCATCTGTACAATACCAAGGCGCGGGCATTGATCGGCGAGCGTTCGATGGCCATTCGAATTCTGCATTTTATACAGGGCGTTTGAGCGTATGGGTCCACGACAAAAGGGGTCGACTTTTACAACATGCATTCTAGGAGGCGGAGTCTTGTATCATTTTCGATTGTATTGATTAGCCGACGATATGTGTTGGATGGAATGAGCTTCTGTTGTAAACTACGGTGATTGAAGGGAGAGGAGGTTATAGATAGCTTCAAAGATGAAGTGAACCACTACAGACAGGTCTAGATTGCCGTTCCGTGTGCATTCTCAAGATCCTCGCTGCCATTGTCCTGACCACAGTCGCATCCCATCCTCTCCCTAAAGTCCGCCAGCTTCATCGTGAGAAAGGTACCGAGCGCCTTCTCAGCGCAGGCCGCTTTGGCGTCCTTGCTGGCCTTGGCCTTGGCGTCTTCGACAACTTGCCCGTGCACCATTAAACCGCACAGCACATCGTCTTGTGTAATCGCCTGGATGCCTTGGCTGAGGGGACAGGGGACCAGTTTGACAAGAAGACGCCAATCTCTGCACTCAAACTCCATCTGCATCTTCTTTGCGAGTAGACTCACGGGATGACTCGAGGCAAACGTGTCGTAGATGGACATGTCCTCAAAGAACGGCTGGATGTGCATGTCAAAGAAGCGCCGCACGACATCAAGATTGTACTTTGAGTCCACAAACATGGCACCAACAACGGCCTCGAGTACGTCGGCCAATGCTTTGTTCGGTGTGAGGGTGTTCCTCCAGTAGTCCATTCGAAGCTTGGTCCCGTTGCTGGCCTCTTGTTCCGCCACGTTTCTCGCTCTCTCGAGACTTGCCGCGTACTCGGCTCGTTGGCTGATCAGGGACGAGGTAGTAATACGGAGGTGCTTGTGAAGCTGGAGCTGGACGCAGAGACAAGACAAGAACTGATTCGACACCATGGCACCCTTGTGCTCTGTCAGCCACTGGGGGTCGGCTTCGGGAAAGGTGCGATAGAGGTAGTCCACAATAACCATGTCCAGCAATGCATCGCCGAGAAACTCGAGACGTTGATAGTCGGGAATGGCTTTCTCGTATGTGTACGAGGTGTGTGTGAAGGCACTCTGCAACAGCGCTGGCGAGGTGAACTCGTAGCCGATGTGGCTCTTGACGGTCTGCACAGCAAGTTTCTGCGCCTCCGTCACACGCTCATTCTGAAGCCAGGATGGTGTCTGGTAGTGAGCGTAGTACTTCTTGAAGGACTTCATTGGGTGATTCGCGCTCTTCACCATCTTTCTGACCGCCTTGACGGCCAGATCCATGTTTGTGCGAGATCCTGCGAGGTACGCGGCGCCAATGATAGCTTCACAGACGTCGGCAATCGTTTTCTGCGATAGCTGTTGTCGTTGCTCGGATTCGTGGGCCAGGACCTTGCCTTTGGCCAGAGGCAGATCGGGATACCAAGCTCGACGATTATACCCTTTTGCGCGGACATATTCCGGAAGTCCACGGTTAACTGCTCGGTTGAAAAGGTTTTGGTTGGCAATGAGGACCATCCTTTCTACATGGTACTCAAACTCGTTACCCTCGGGCAGAAGAGTGAAGATGGAGATCGTCGTGGCCATTTTCAGAAATGTGTCTCCAAGGAACTCCAAACGTTCGTAGTTGCTGCCCCCGTCTGCGCTGAGCGTGCCCTCCACCTCGTCGCTCGTCTTCGTGAAGGCTTCCAAGGCAAGATCAGGGGGAAGGTCAAGACCGAGCATCGCGCAGCCGTCCAGCGCGATGAGACAGGAGTTGATCCTGTGAAAGATGGCGGGAAGCAAGGCAGCCATGCGTACAATGCCAACGGGGAGGGTCGAGACTTGCAGCGGCTCAAGGATGAGGTAGCATTTGGAATTGGCCGCATCATTGCCAGAAAAAGGATCCAGATAATTTCTTTGCATGCTCAGAACCTCCGCATTGACGACTGGCTGATCTTGCCGCCAGGTGGCGTTCTGGCGCCTCTTTCTGAAGAAGCTGTTGCTATACTGCTGGATGTCTGGTGTAACAGCCTTGTAGGCTGTTAAGTTGTAAGGGGCTGCGTCCTCAGGAACGAGAGAATCTGGCTGAAGGCTGCTATTAAGTCCATGTATGATAAACTTGCGAGATCCGGTGAGCGGATCGAAGACGAACTTGTTCTCGAAAAAGTCAGGGGCTTGGTTCTCCCATGCAAGACAAGGCTGGCTCGTGACCGTGTCGACGGCTGGCCAGTCGATGTCACAACAATTGTCTGCTGTCACTCCCTCTTGAGGTAGAAGTGCTGGTGCGAACAGAAAAGGGAAATTGTCCTTGCCAGCAGCATATGTCTTGCTGAAGATGTCGTTGAAAAGCCTTAACGTGAATTGGTACAACATATCAATCTTTTCAGCGGGGAGGCGCAGGGGGACCGAAGCAGGGACCACATTGACCAACGATGACCGACCATGGCCGAAATGAAGAGCAATCTTCGGCGTTGGAGGTAACTTTTCACGAGACAGTATGACCATAGGAGTCACCGTCTCGCTGTAAGCCTCTGGTTTGGCGAGGAGGAAAGTTGCGGGCCACAGATTAGTAATAGGGCCAACCTTTGCCCAGATAGCAGGTTTCAGTCGGACTCCGTACTCTTTTTTCTTGTTCTCACTGACCGCGAGCCGGGCGTTCCTCATCGCAGGGAGCTTCCTGACCAAAGTGGGCTGCAGGTTGGTGTCCAAATGATCCTTGCTGTGCAGCAGCACACATGCCTCGTAGGCCGCCGAGCCGCGTGCCAACTTTTTGCTTTGCTGCGGATGACCAGAGACAAACTTGACGGGCGATGGATCTGGAAGTATCACCTCGGCGCAGAATCGCTGGCCATCCACAGACATGTTAAACTCCGGCTTGGCTGTGCCGCGAGGATCGACACAGGCAACGTACCTGGCCAAGACTTCCTGGCTGTTATCGTAACTCAAACGAGCGTCTCCTATTTCATATGCCTTTTGTGCTGCAAGCTCAGCTTCGGCCGCTGTCTTGGCATCAATAATCATGTCTTGTACTTTGCGGTCTTCTGGCAAGGACATGCAGAAATGCTGCAGCAAGCGTGCGTCCTGCACAGCTTGTTTCAGTAAGTGCAAGTCGGAGGTATGGTTCTCTTGGACCATGGCGATAAACCGCGAACTCTTCTGGCGCGCTCGGCCGCGGGATTGTATGTACTGAATGGCAGATTGGTGCATATCGAAACGGATGACCAGGTCACAGGCTGGGATATCAATCCCTTCTTCAGCGACTGTGGTTGCAAATAAACAATTTGTTTCGCCGTCCTTGAAAGCCTGCAGGACGCACTGCTGTTGGTATTCGGTGACGTTGGCGATGTTGAAGAATGTTCTTTGTCGACCGACCTGGGTCTTCGATTAGCATCGTGCTCCTGAGGATAATGATGTAAACATACGAGGAAACCTGGGCGTATACCCAGCACCTTGACCCCCGGCTGTTCAAGTAGATCTGCTAACATGACCGCTGTCGACCGCTTTTGCACAAAAACGATACATCTTCGAGTGCACTGAGAGCAGAACTCGTGCTTCAAAGTAGCAAGAAGGGCCCCGACCTTCGGAGACAGATGTGGCTGGGACCTTTCGATGCTGCCCAGGTCATGCTGGCTTACAAGTTGCTGGACTTGGTAAACTGTCTCGGTAGCACGATCTGCCACTTGAATCGAGGCAGTCTCAAACTCGCCCTGGGTCCGGGCAACGACTCTGGCCACTTCAAGCTCTGTCATCAACAGGCTCCAGAAGCGGTCGGCGGGCCAGGCGCCCAGAGTGGACGATATTTCCTCGGCTTCGACAAGGTTGTCACGAAAGAGATGGTTTCCTCCCGCATCGGCGAGGTCGCGTACCTGCAGCCACAGAGCCGTGTGTACGTCTTCTTTCAACGGAAGCTGGCCATATCTGACGCAACTCTCGACGAGGTCTTGGGCGCCGATGCTCTGGCTCAGCACTTTGTCTGAAACAGTGGCAATCTCGCTGTCCATCATGTCCTCGAGGTCAGCAGTGGCCTGCTTGAGGTCGTTTGTCTTTGCATCAACAGGTGATGCTGTCAAGCCCATAATCTTGGGGCGCTGGGTAGGGTCTAACTCTCTGCGGTAGTGGCGCTTGATGATCATGGCGAAGGGGTGGCTTTTTTTGGTGTGATGGGCTTCGTCGAATACCATGAGATTGATACGTGACATTTTGATGAAGCCGTTGTTGAGGCAGTCGAGCAGCACTTGCGCGGTCGTGACAAAAGCCATGTGCTTGGTAAACTTCTCCTCCCATATCTCCTTGGTGTTGACTATGCTGTTGTCATTGCCTTGTAATATGCCAATGTCAAATGGAAGATTGTCCTTTAGGCATCTGTACTGCTGTTGGCAAAGGATGACCTTCTCCACGATGAAGAATGTGATCTTGTGGTGCTGGCCAGCCGCGCGATTCTCGAGCTCTTGTTGGATAATGTGGTCAATCAGCATCACCGCAATCAAGGTTTTACCGGTGCCTGGGGGGATTGAGTATGAGTATGCGACGGTGAGAGATCATGCCTTGGAACGTACCTGTAGGCAGCACCACGATTGTGTTTTTGAGCTTGGCCCGTTCGTAGAGATCTTTCTGATAGTCACGAGGGTCGCTGACAATCCTCTTTTGACCATCGTATCCCTCGTACGTTTGAGTGTTCTGCTCTTTGTCAGACCTGTCGAGATCTGCTTGGCACTGTGTCGGTGACTCTCGCTCGCGTTGGAGAGCATATGACTCGAAGACCTGGCCGTCGAGACGTTTCCTCTCGCTGATTCGCGGTTGACGATCTGGATTTTGTCTCAGGACATAGTCTTCATCTCCGGACTCGTCAGAGTTGGCATCTGAATCCAATTCATTATCATCAGCTTGGTGGCTGGACGCATTGCCAGACTCTGTGGTTATGGCGCCGTTTGGCTGGGAAGGCGGCGAGTGTGGCACCTCGTTGACGTTGTTTGTTTCTCCTGCATCCATCATGGTGGATTATGAGCACGGGAATTGATGAGACACTATCGTAGCCAGGAGTAAAATGGGAGATGGCAGATGACAGTAGTGAAAGTAGGAGAGGTTGACGTGAGGTTGTGAAGGTTCGCGTAATATGAAAGGGTACAAGGCAGAAGCTCGGCACCGGAAAACGCCAACAGTTCAGCAGATCAAGAGAGACAACAGGAGAATTTGTGAATCGCTGATTGTTTGTTAGTTTGTTCTAATTACTTGGTGAGCAAACGGTGACCTGACGGGTCGACGTGCCACATGAAACAAACCAGACAACAACAGATGATCCACGCTATGTCGCTCTTGAGTATCTGCCTGTAAATGCCACTCAACAGCGCATAGATGAGAAAGATTGTATCACCTTCTTTCGCTGCATCTCTACTGCTCGTTTGGTTGAACACTCAGATCGACAAACTCAGACTGCACATGCTCATCTCCCGTCTCAGCCTGGCGCTGCTCCCAATTCTGCCTCTTTTCGGCATCCTTGGCATCCTTATACGCCTTGGCCCACTTGGCATGCTCTTCTTTAGACTTTTGAGATCTCGATGTGGCCTTGGTGACAAGATCTGACTGATGAGCCGTCGCCATAGACTGTATCATGCGCTCGTTTTCCTCGTCCTCGGACCTCTGATGGGTCTTGTGTGTGCATGCCCAGTTCGTACGCGCCTCTACGGTTCTCTCATTTTCGACCTCCTCCCAGCAGCCTTCAAAGAACTTGGATTCGGCGCCAGTAATCGGCCGTACGGCACGACGTGGTCCACTAGGCAGAAGGATTCGCTTATTCCTCATCCCCAGAAGTGTTTCCGGGTTTCTCTGGTGCAATTTGAACGCAAGAAGGGCCGCCCTCTTCTGGGTATGATGTTGCTTTGCATCCTCCTCGTCTGTCTCATCGTCTGAGGCCGCAGATGAGGAGGCATTTTGTAGACGTTGGTCTGGGGCCTTGAGGCACCCCTTTGGTCCCAAGCTTTCACGGCGGCTGCGTGTAAAGCCGGACACACCAAGTCTAGGCTCTGGCTCATCCTTTGGCTTCCGTCCGGAGCCCACCGCCAGCTGAAACTCCCGCATCTTCATGTCCACATACTGATACGGATCTGGCTCTGGCTCAGGATTAGGATCAGGATCAGGCCAAGGCTTCGTGTCCAGGTCCGGGTCAACCCGGCCGGCATTAAAGACCTCCCAATTCGTGGTAGGGCGATAGGTGTCTTGGAAAAATATCATGTTAGGATCGGAATAGGGGCTTGGGGGTCTGATGGGCGGTGTGACAGAGTCTCTGTCAGACTCGTTGGGATCCGGCCCAGGCAACTCTTCAAGACCATCGGTCTCGCGGAGCAGGTCATCGAAATGTCGCAGCTCCGCATCCATAGTCATAGGGTCAAGTGGGTTATCCATTTTGAGTGATAGACGAGTGTGTAGGGTGATGTATGGTCTCGTGGTGATAAAGGTAATCTGTGGTGAAGAATTGCTTTCTGAGGAATGTGAGTGAATGTGAACGGTGTGTGGGAGTCGGGGACAGGCCGGCCTACCGTTTTATACAAGATGGCAATTCCAGGGTCCTCGTCCATGAACTTAATATTCTTGGATCCAGTTTGACTTTGGACACTAAAGGTATACTGAGCAGTCTTCCGCATCTTCTTTAGCTTTCGGGGGCCAAGTCGCGGAACGGCGCGAACGCTTCTCTGCCGCAGAATCTTTCTCGATCCTGCATGTGACTTTTGTCCTGGTCCAGTGCGTGGTCCTCGGGGCTGATGGTGTCGTGGATGCCTCGCTTGGCTGTCTTGATCGGCCGGGCATCCGCCCCATTCCCTACGGGACCTCGATCCCTGGAGACCATTGCCCTGGCGATTAGTATTCCGCCCCAGGTACACAGCATTTGCTTCAAGCTAGCGTCGATGCTGACGCAGAATCTCTGCACCCCGATGAATTGCACGGCGCTCTCAAAGCTGTTACCGTACACTGCCATGATGTACGCAGCGACTATGGCGGGTGACAGCTCATTCCCGGATTCACAGGTCACGAGTACCTTTCCTCGCTTGAAGTTTGACGGGTCCACCACCATTTCGCCATCCAAGGTACGTTGACGGGCTTGGGAGCGGTAGACGTGAAGTAGATGCTGATTTATGGCGCTGATCGTGTCGGGCAGGCTGTTTATGAGCTGCTGCGTGCCCATGACTTCAACGTATTCCCCAACAATGCCAAGTTGCTGTGATGCCATCTCCAAGCTGCGTGATGGTAGTCGAGTGTTACGGACTATGATGATCATGGTGATGCCCTCGTTCTGTAAGAATTCGAGATCTCGTATGGCCGTGACGGGTCCAACGTATAGAAAATCGAGTACGCGCTGAGCTTTCCTCCGATCTTCGTATCTCCAATCTGCCGATTTGTTCTCTGCGATGAGCCGTGTTTCATTTCCAGTGATGATACTGATGTCCTCCGCTGTGAGTTGGCCCGCATCGGCGTTCTCGTACGAGGGCACCAGCACGAATTGGGCCTCTGAGCCTGCCCTCCTCCTCATCAGCGGATAGCGCACCTCCAGCGCTGGGGGGCTCGGTGCTCTGCGCGAATACGGCGCGCTCGGCGCAAAATTCTTCTTCATCGTGACGCCCCAGTGTGTCCCAATCACGGGAATGCTGAGCGGGAAAGTTTAAGAGCCGTTGGGGATGTGGTTGTTATGGTTTTGGCAACTTTAACGTTTGGGGCCCAGGCCGCTCATCAGGTCAAACGGTCGTATGAGTCGGTGTGAGATGTGCAGGAGGTTAATTCTAGACTAACGGGCACTCGAATTGAGAAGTGAGCGCTTGATCACGGCAAATTGTCGGTTATGGGGTTCCACGGGGACGTGAATGGTACATGTTTCCTCGAGATGAAGCTGTCAAGGTCGAATCTGATGTTGAATCTGATGCTCACGTGATACTTCTGGGTGGCTAACGTTAGGATCCGGCAATACGCCAAGGAGGTTAATCATGTCAGGCACGCACGCGACGCGAAAAAATGGTGAGACTGGACCCTGCGCGCGCTAATGATTAAGCGGCTCGGCCACCGCTGAAACTAATCCAGTGATTAAGGGTCCACGAATTGGCACCGGTACGTAGTTGCAAAAGACCACCAACATCAACCTTCACTCGTCGAGATGACCACCAACCTTCAAATTCCACGTTTGCCGTGTCAAACGCACAGTTGAGATGGTAAATCACATCAATATTGATCAAGGTTCAAATTTGGCTATTCTACAACATTGTATACACCATATGTGCCTCATGCCCGCCAAAACGCCATGCCATTCCGGTGGGTGGTAACATATGCCTCACCCACACACTCATCAGTGATACACGTATCGTACAGTTCAACCGGCCCCACAGACAGTATGCTCAAGGGAAACCTACTTTGTGGCCCACTCCCGCAAGCCGCCACCAACTCGCTCGTCATGGTTTTGGCTCGGATCAGTTTCCGGCGAAACCGAATCCACCGTCTCGACCTGTAGCTGCTCCATTGAGGCATCGGATTCGGTGGGCGTAGCTTCTGGTCTGTTGCCATTCTCATCCAACTCCTCCTCTCCCGCCAGAATCTGGAGATGGGCTTCGCGTGCCGCCGCCCTTCCACGTCGTTGCTGTCGGGAGCTGATGAAGCTCTGCTCTGTAAAGTCCAAGCGATCCAGCAACTGGATCAGCTTTTCCTCCACGAGTGAACGCACGTGCAGTGCCGCATCCGTGTCGCGGAACATACCAGTGTATCGGTACGAGAGCCAAATGTACTGGTTGAGTGCAATATGAAGAATCTCCAATTTGTTCAGATGATTGTGCGCAGCCTTCCCGCCCAGGACGTCCTCGATTTTGAAGTCGAGATATTCAAGGGGAATTTCCGGAATGTCCAGCAGGTCACCCTTGCTGTTCTCGGCGATGACTCGCGCGAGTGCTACGACGGTGTCACGGGACTCGGCGGCGTTTAGCTTGACAGGCATGTAGCCAAGAGTCATGCGATCGTAAATGGAGAGGTTCAGGTGCTGCACGAGGTCGGCGATCTCGAGGAGCTCCGACGTAATGCACAGTTGGTACCGGGGCCCAAGGGCGGCAGCCGACTTGATGCGCATCAGGATGAAGGACAGAGGCGTCGTCGGGGGGTAGTACGATGCGAAGCGCTCGACGATGCCGGGCGGGGGCGCAATGTAGGCCGTCTCGAGATCGTTGACGGGGCGGCTAAAGGCCTTGGACACGCTCTTGAGATCGACTTTCTCCATGGTCGTGACGTACCCGGAACTCGGTCGAGATTCCGCCGCATCCTCCCCAGGCCTGGATGCCGTCCGGTACCTCCCAGCGCGGCCTCCAATCTGTTTAATCTCCGGGAACGTCAGGGGACGCTCCTGCGACCCATCGTATTTGAAGGTAGAGTCGAGAATGACTCTCCGAATTTCGAGATTGAGTCCCATGCCAATGGCGTCACTGGCCACGACAAAGTCGTAGTCATTGTCGGGGTCGTTGAACAAGGCGGCTTGCTGTATGCGCACCTCTGGTGGTAAAGAGCCGTAGATGATGGCGCATCTCCGGCCTGTCTTCTCCTCAATCGCCTTCTTAAGAGCATGCAGCTCCTTCCGGCTGAATGCGACGACTGCATCGCCTTTTTGAAGTTTGCTGAAATCGTTCTCCAGGGAATCCTTCATCGTCTCCAGCGGACTGAGCCTTTCGTAGCGATGGATAACACACTTATCCCCCACACTCGCGCAGAGGGCTTGCACGAGACCGACGGCACGCTCCTCTCCGCACACATGAACCTCCTTGGCCTGCACACCGAGGAAAGCCATTGTCCACCCGTTGCCTCGATCAGGATCGCCCAGCATTTGGATCTCGTCAATCACAGCTACATCGAATCTTCCATTCAACGGAATCATCTCGACGGTGGAGCTGGTGAAATAGTTGTCCGTGTGCTTTGGAATCTTGAGTTCCTCTCCCGTGATCAGCGCGCACGGTATCCCCTCTGCCGTGAAGCGAGTGTAGACTTCAGCTGCAAGCAGACGCAGAGGACCCGCGTACACGCCCGACTTTGCCTTTTTCAAGGCCTGAATGGCATTGTATGTCTTGCCCGAGTTGGTGGGTCCGACGTGAACGTGCACAGTGCGCTGAAGCTCACGCGTGGCCGGGAACCACTCTTGAGGAAATCGAAAGTTGAGCAGACGTTTCTGGTTCTCCTCGAGAGCTTTCGAGAAGCGATGCCGCACCATGAAGGACTGGAACGCGTAGCGCACCTCAGTGGTGATGCCCTTTGCGTCTCTGCGCACAAAGGCCTCGCGCAAGTTGTAGAACAGAGGGTTCTTGTCGCGGCGCGTAATGTTCTTCTCTGCCAATATGAATGCCTCATCGAGTGCATTCATAAAGAGGTTGGCCTGCCGGTTGAGCTCATCGTGAGTGAGCCCTATCGACTCAAAGTTGGCCTTTTCAAAATCACTGAGCACGTTGCCAAAGCGAGCCAACACGGCGCGTCTGAATTGATCGTGGCGCCCAGTGTGTCTCGTCAGCAGGGTCTGCCGTAACCTCGATTGCGGATCGGGTCCTTTGCAGACCTGAGGCTGTGGTCAGTGGTTTGAATGGAGTGATGGGCTGAAGTGTCAGAGAGAGACTCACAGATCCAACTCTATCGACGTCTTCTATGCGTGCATCCGTAGTAGTACCGTCATGAGGCCTGACTTTGTCTTTCTTGGTGTTGCGCTGGGTCGTAGGGGTGGAGTAGAAACATCGTTGAGATGTCCTTAGCGATGAGATTCGACATAGGGGCGTTCTCACAGCCCCTGTCCGGGCCAGCAAACTCATAATTGCACACTGCTGGGCATTCTTGGGGATCGCATGCGAGAGAGAGCGTAGAGAGCGACGAAGCATGTAACGCAAAAATCGAAAGAATAGCGTGTTGGCAGTGAGAAACGCGACAATATCTCAAGTCAACTTTTTCCCCATGGACCCGCGTCGAGTCGCCTCAATGAAGCAGTCATGGGAAATTTCATGCGCCGGCGCGAGGATAGCCCGACGCAAGCCACACTGCTCGCTCCGAGGACCCGCTTAAGTTAGGCTGCTGCGCCACACTCGTCAGGCACAGCAGTGTGAGACATGATGCGGTCATTTCGTCGTCGCGCCCTGGATGGCCTTTGACGAACTTCAATACCCCAGATTCTGCCATCTCGTGTTTGCCGTCTCGCGCGCCGCGACAAACAACTCTTTCGCGATATACTGTTTCTCAGCTTCGACAGCCTTGTTCCCCTGAAATTCAACTGAAGTTAAACTGAAATTCAACTTGATACACCCGCGAGACTTGCGTCTCGCAACACACAGCCATGGCATCATCCTCGACACCGTCGACGCCCTTGCTATAGTACGTCCTGGATCTACCCACGAGCGAGCGCTCTGGATTGCGTGTACTAATCTTTCGCAGCTCTTGCATCGCCCATCACACCACCATTCTCGCAGAATGCACCACGTCAGCCTCTTCGCAAACCTCCTCGCTCGCCTCCCTGATCCTCCCCAAAATCGAGCACACCTCGCCACAGAAGCTCACCTACACCCACGGCCAACACCAGATCCATTACATCTCCGAATCGCCGTCTGACCACCCCGGGCAACCGGGCGCTGGCGGTCTGACCTTTCTCGTCGTGGCCGATGCCTCCCTCGGCCGTCGCGTGCCCTTTGGGTACCTCTTTGAGATCCGCAAGCGCTTCTTCCAGCAGTTCCCGCCCAGCTCGGACTTTGCCGACATGCCCAACTATGGCGCCGCCGCATTCAATGGCGAGCTGAAGACACTCATGGTCGAGTACGGCTCCACGAGCGGCGGCCAGAGCGACGCGATTGGCAACGCGAAGCGCGAGATTGACGACGTGCGCGGCATCATGACCAAGAACATTGAGAGCTTGCTCGAGAGAGGCGAGAGGCTAGACCTGCTGGTGGACAAGACGGACCGGCTGGGTGGCAGCGCGCGAGACTTTAGGATGCGCAGCAGGGGTCTCAAGAGGCAGATGTGGTGGAAAAACGTCAAGCTCATGGCTCTGCTGGGTATCGTTTCCTTCCTGGTCATCCTGGCCATTGTTGTTTCTGTCAAGAATTAGGGCATCGTCAAGCTGTTGATGATGGGAGGAGCACATGCGATTCTCTGGAAATTTGAATCGTTGTACACGACTAAGAAATCTTTCCTATGGGATGGGAAAGGTAACGGGGGCGTCTGGTTCTGCATTTGACTACCCTTCTTGAGGTCTTGTTTTATACCATATATCAAGCGGATTTCTTCAAACATTGCAATATTCCTCGCAACCGCGTGCTCTCTCGCCCGGTGTGCCCTTTCATTATCGAGTGTACACTAATCTGAATTCCGAAATCAGCATCATGCACCGCACCAGGGACAGCCGATGGACCAACATACAGTGAATGCTGTCAAGTCTCATACCGGATTCTCAAAGCCGCGACCCGGACCTGGCTACCTCTTGATATGCGTAGCCCTGCGTGACTGGGCTTCCATTTACATTCGGTGCGATCGGCGATCTCTTTAAACGATGTGTGAAAAACGCTGGATGCCTCATTGACACATCGTTGAGTGGCGTCGAACTTGGCGCTGGCCGTGTGTGAAGTGACGACGGTGAAGTTGCCGGTGGCGCTGCATCCATTATGAACCGCTGCAGTGAGTGTCAAGAAGAAACATGCAACTAGAAAGCTGGGCCTAAGTAGCTGAGGAATCCATCATATACCTTGTCACTGTGAATGGACTAACAAGTTAGATCGTCGCGGTGATCTCATGCTCGTTGCCCGCTCGGCCTTGTCTGCGACATGTGATGACTAAGCTTCTGTAGACCTCGGTTCAATGCCGCACTGAATCCCTTGTGGCAGGAGTCAGGACACGGGCCAACTTGCGTGGTAGCGGGTATCAAAGTGAATTGAATATGTACACATGCTCGCTTTGGTATATATGACATGCTATGGGTCCGTCTTCTTGCTCTTCCTCTTGGACGAGGACCACGAAGACGACGAAGACGACTTGCTCTTCTCGGACTTGGACTTGTCCTTTTTGCGGTCCTCATCCTTGTCCTTGTCCCGCTTCTTGTCCTTTGACGACTTGTCCCTTGACTTGCTCTTCTTCAAGCTCCTCAAGCTCGCCGTGTCGTCGGACTTGTCCTTGTCCTCGCGCTTTACAGCGAGGAGCTCCTCCTCCTTTCTCTTGGCGGCGCGTCTCTTCGAGGCGGCCTTTTCCATCTTCTCAATGAGCGCGTCGCTCTCCTCCCAGAGCTTCTTTGCCACTTCTTCATCCTTCACTTCGGGACGCGCAAAGTCGACCTCGCGGCATTCCTTGATCAGCTTGCCGCCTCCGCCGCGCAGAATGTCGCCATCCATGGCAGCGTAGTAGAAGGACTGCGCACCCTGTTCGGGCGACTTGAGCAGCATCCACGGCACAAAGTAGCCGAGCACGTACAGAGTGAGACCCGTCAGTGTTCCCTTGGTGAGCCATCGGCGCATTCCAGCAGTCCGACAGAACCCAGGATCGACAAAGACAACGCGCGTGGTGACCGGAAACCCGTCCGGACGTTTGTACGAGTCGAGGTGCTTCTGGTAGGCGTGTCCAAAGGTTGTGAGCGCGAGCTTGCTGCGCGCATACGCCACGGTAGGTGACCACGTGCTCTCGTCGATGGGTTCCTTGAGCGAGGGCGAGCGAATGTACGAGGAGCACGTCGCGACGAGGATGCGTACGTCCCTATCAAAGGGCTGTGCACGCAGCGCCGGGCTGAGGATGGCGAGAAGATGAAAGTTGGCCAGGTAGTTGACCATCCATGTTTCCTCGATACCGTCCTCTGTGATGACGCGTTCTTTGCCGGGGGGCGTGAGCGTCGCCGCGCACAGGACGATCATGTCCAGCCTTCTTGGGGGCGCATTGTCGATCCACTTGGTCGCAAACTTGCGTATGCTGTGCAGGCTGGATAGGTCGACCTGCTCGGCGTAGATGAGCTGGTTGTCGTACTTGTCGCGCAGGTCCTGGATGTACTCGGCGAGGAAGGGGTCGGACGGCGGGACGTGCGTCAAGAGGACTATCTGGGCGCCTCGTTTCGCGAGGTCGTTTGCTACCCGTGCCCCCACCCCCGTTGTACCTCCTGTGATGATCACGACCTTGCCATGCATCGGTCGCTCGGAAGTGTTCGTCCGGCCAGAGCAGAACTTTTTGAGTAGGACCAGAAAGCCCGCGGTAGCTACGACGTAGACCATGCGCATGAAATTGCTCCGTGCCCATTCTGGCGGCCCGTTGATCAGCGAGTAGGAGATGAAGTCGAGAGGCATCGTGGCGGTGGCGGCGCGCGAGCTACGGAAGCTCGGCGAGACGGGAAGGGGAAGGTCGTCTAGATGTTCGATACCATCGGAGAGAAGATGGATTGGGCGGCGGAATGGCCGGGGGCTTGGCTGTGAAGTCGGAATCACGGTTTCGTTTCGGGATGGACAGCTGGCAGAAGTTGGCCAAGTCGTGGTCGGTCAAGAAATTGGAGTCGCTGCACTGGCTGACGAAAAATGGGGGCCCGTTCGCCAAGACTCGCGACGAACTTGGACGGGGGAAGGTGTGGGTGGGGCCACCCATCAATCCAAACAAACGAACCCCTGACCCCTGAGATGGCTCTTGAACTGAATAATAGGGCCAGACTTTGTCTGAGATGTGGATCTAGATAAATTCAAAAACTCCTTTCCACGGCTCTGAAGTCATGCACCATACCTCCTAGCCAAGCTACTCTGTTCCGATGTCGTCCTCGTTCGTCCATCAGTCGTCAGTCGTGACCTCCCAGTAGCAAGTCTCAGCAACGTCTTCTACTCATCCTCCGATCCGCTATCCTCGCCCGCCATTCTCGCAATCACCTTGTTTCTCTTTCTCCTCTTCCTTGGGTCATCCTGCGATGGTCCGTCGTCCTGCAGCGTTTTGCGCACCTTGACCTTCTTGTCCTCCTGCATCTTAACGATGCGATTGTTAATCTCCATCGTCGTTCTGATGCGGCGCATGTGAGTGACCTTCTCCTGACCAATCCTCCAGACACGCCCAAGGGCTTGATCTTCTACCGCCGTGTTCCACCACAGATCCACGAGGATGACGCGGTTGGCCGCATACAGGTCGAGCGCGGTTGAGCCGGCGCGCAGTCCCACGAGCTGCAGCAGATGTCAGTCAGTCTAATTCCCCAGTCACTTTCGCGTCTCATTTCATACCATAACTTTCTTTGACGGATCGGTTTGGAATTCATTGACAGCTCTGGACTTTGCTTCAGGACACAGCTCGCCATAGTAATAAAGGAAGGGTATGTTCGCTACTTGCAGCATGTGGCCCAGGACAGCTGCTGTCGGTATGAATTGGGTAAAGACTTCGGAACTGTTAGTCACACATGTGCCAATGTTAGTTGGAGGCAGAACTTACCGACAATCTTGTCCTCCGGGGAATCCGCAAGCCACTGCAGAATGATTCCCATGGCCATAGTTGTCTTTGGGCTCGGTGGCACCCTGTGGTTTGGCGTAGCCAGCAAGGCTAAGAATATTCCATGGCGTGTGGGGTCTCGTGAGAGTCGCTGTCCGTTGCTGTCGGCCCCTACGGTTATCGGACCGGACTTCTTGCTCGCTGCAATGACACCGTTCGCCAAAGATGCAACAGTAGAGACGACCGTGGGGAATATGTTGTACTTGGCTGAACAATCCTCACTGTTGTTTCTACCCGGGCACCGCTTTGGGTTCGATTTCTCCTATTCTTTGTTAATCATCTTCCCTCCCCAGATCGTGTTCACTAACCGTAGCGGAGAACTCTTGCCTGTGCTTCATGATGCATGGCCCGCAGAATACATGAGAGCAATTCGCGCTCTCCATTGGCTCCTCGGGCTCTTCTGAGCCACAGATAGCGCAGCACAGGAGTCTGAGTCTAGCTTGGTTCACTGCGAGCTCCAAAAGGCGAGTCAGACTCAGGTGGCCCGAGAGTGTCGGACTTGAGAACCTGGCGACCATGTCCAGTCCTCTTTGAAACTCCTGTATGCCCTCGTTGATATCGCATGTTCTTCGCAGAATATCAACAACATTGTGTTTCGGAAGCTTTGCCAGCTCAGCAATAAGAAGCTCGAGCTGTGCGACAGTAGCCTTCTTCAAGAGCATACGATCAAGGTTGAAGGGGTGAGACGCGGCACGGCAAAGCTTGTTGCCAAGCTCGCTTTTTCCTTTGCCTTTGCCCTCATTAGCAAAACGATCGAGCTCTTTTTCCATGTTGGATGGATCCCAGCGCCCCACAGCTTGAGAGTCCTTGTCCTCGTCGTCCGCTTCGTAGCAAACCCCGTCACGAATTTGACGTTGCAAATCCATGAACCGGATCACAGTCCTGGCGAAGTCAACTACAGTGAGCATATTGGTTGCGTCATAAACTCACATAAACACGTGGTCCTCTTCTGCTGTTGACGGGACTATAATGTCCTTGCTATGGCTCTGGGGGATGTCGAGGATCTTTGCGTTCATAAAAGTATCGTTTTTGGTTCTTTGAGCGTCAGCACAATGCATCCTGGCACATGTCCCACAAGCACTTACCTTCTGTACATTACCATCGAAACCAAGACTTCGAGCTCCATGACTTTGTCTTCCTGTCATAGCTAGTGTCAGCCACGTCGCCGGTCATCTCAACGTGAGCGGGTACTCTTACCGGGGGCTCTTGCCTTCCTGCGAAAGCCTTCTCTGTAGCTGGATTATTATACTTCAGAAATTCGAGATACGGAAAGAATTCTGGATCATTGACTCAGCCGTGGATCTAGCAAATCAGTCATGGGCCCTACCTTTAGGAGCATTGGCCAACGGCGTGCCGCTAAGGCACCATCGATTCTTGGCTTGGACATTCCAGCAAGCTCGAGCAGCTGGCGAGGTTAGACATGCTCCTGTCTTCCACTGTGGTATGACTCACTGATAGATTTCCCGTTCTTGATCTGCTGTGCCTCGTCAAGAACAACGCGGTACCACGGGATCTTGAAAAGAACCTTTGATTCAGCCGCCACCATGTCCTGAATTCGCTCCTTATTTGCGTGGCATTGTTGCACAATTTGCTGGTACCGCACCATGCTCGGGTGCTGGCTCAACAGGGTGTTGTACGTCGTTATGCTAGATCAAGATCATGTATAGTCAGTTGTTGCTCGTAACTTCCTTCAATGAGCTGTAAACATACACCATAAATCGATTGCCAAGTGTCTCTTCAGACATCTGATCGCTTGATTTGTAAACGACTGCTGTCATGGCATTCTTTTCGATACAATGCTGGTGCGTCTTGTTCAGCCACTCTCCGGCCACCGTGAGGTTTGGCACGACAACCAAGGTCGCCTTGCGAAAATTCTTGAGATCGTCCCCCTCGGGTGGATTCGTAGACATGCAGAACAGAGTTACGATGGTCTTTCCCATGCCCATCTCGTCTGCCACAAGTCCGCCGTGAGGCTGTCCGAGTACTTCTCGCCTATTCATCCACGCCGTGACTGGGACTTGATAGCTCATTAATCCTGCCTTCATGGATTTATGATACCACCTGTCGCCTTTCGTCGTCAGCTTCTGAAATCCAAAGCTTTGGACACCCATCTTGAGGTCTTTGAATTGATTCGATGATCGGCGGGTATCGCCACCTGGGGGCATGCATCTTCGTAGAAACTTGAACTGAGTAGCGTGCGTGGTAGCGCTGGACCCTGGCATGACCAAAGCATTGGCGTTCTCCATGTCGGGTCTCGTATTGTGGCCCGCCATGAGACTCCCTCCTACTTTCGCCTTGGCAGACGCCTTTCCGCCCTTCTTCTGGTTTTGTAGCTGCTTCATCAAAGCCTCCTTTGCCCTTTCGTTCCAGTCTGGTTCTTTCTGTAGCTGCAGTAGCCAGTACTCTTTGGGGGTCCGGGGACGGTGGGCTTTACCCGGATTCTTTGCTTGACTCTTGGCTTTTCCTTTGGTCTGTTCGCCAGATACTGGCCGCCTCTCGTCTTCTGGCTGGTATGAATCATCAGATTCTCTGTCTCGCTCATCATCGCTCGAGCTATCACTGCCATCGGCATCGTCGTCGTTGGGCTCCTCCACCTTGGGAGAGACCAGATCAGAACTGTCGACATTGTCGATCTTGCCGTATTCGTTAGGTGTTCCGGCAATTTTCTTAACGTCAAACTTAGTCTCAATCGGCTCACTCTTGATCTTTGCCTGTGGCTGATCGTTCACAGACCCATCGCTTGGCTTGTCAACTTGGCTTTCCATGTCGTGTCGACCTTGAAGACTTGTGCCTAACGCTGGTTCGTCACTCATGTGTTCATGATTGAGAAGCAGTCCTGCAGATGTATCAGACGCCACTTGACAATGGTCCTTGAGCTCGGGGCTTGAGTCCGATATAAGCGAGTCCTCGTCCATCGGTTCGCTCTTGATGATGGACTCAGCAGCGGATGGCGAGTGAGCTGTAGCTCCACCACTCCTTTCCTCAGCCAAGTCATCCTCAGAGTCGGAACAGGTGAGATCGACGACTCGAGCGTGAGACGGAAGTTGAAAGTCGGAGAGGCTTTGTTGGGGAGTTACTGGAAGAGTCCCAGAAGATGATGATGACATTGTCGCGGGATAAGGCTAGGCCTAGGTACTAAGGAAGGTGTATAAGATGGTCTAACTGTTGCAATGTGAAAGCATACAGCTATGGAGATGGAGAAGAGAAAGTTGAGGTTGTAAGAAGGAAAGAGAATCAGGTTCGTGAAGTGGAAGTTGAGGAACATTATATAGGCACAGATTCAGGCTTTGAAGAGAGATGGAAGGAACATGAAGAATGTGTGATAGTTGAGGCTGCATGAACTGTCAGATGAAAACCCGTTCTCCCACCGTTGGAGATGCATATTTCCTGAACCTCCTTTTGCGGACACATTCTGAGATCAGTTGCCCAAAGCTGTCGACACGCCTGGATTAAGTACATATACTCCAGACAACCCAAGCTTAATTCAAGCATCCTTGTTCTCTGCACATGCCATCTTTCTGATTAATAGCTCAAATATTAAGGAGTTTTCTCTATGCTTGTTCCAAAGAGCACCACTACTAAAGCACTATCATTTTGATGAAAAGTGATCGGGTCCAAGGATCACAGGAGACTGTTGATCCACGCGGCGGACGAGGAGTGCAATGACCGTTCAGCTGCACGTCGGCGGCGGCTAATACATCTTGACCAGTGGAGGTGTTTCCCGTGCCCAATGGCTCTCGTCGTTAAATCAGACATCTGGACTCCAGAGCCTACTCTGTATACCTAGATTAGATGATTTTGTGGGGTGGAGATCGTGGGGTATAATGCTGGGAAATTCATCGAGTCATCGTCACCCAGACATCATATTATTTATTCGGCTTGTTCCTAGTTTCATCTAGATCGTATGCAAGGTTCTGGTCCCCATCAATCTTGGTGCGAGTGGATGTGCGCTCCCGGTTCAAAGCGTTGGACCGCCGCGGTACGAGACAAGTCGTTTCCGAACGCATGCGCCGATACGGTCTCTTGTGGCACCCGACATTCGCTGTCACGGGCGTGGGCCGTGTTTGTGTCTGAAACGACGCTGAAGCTCTGTTTGCCTGACAAACGCGGCCGAGGCGATGTCCTGCGCGGGTTCTAGCATGCGTATCGTGACATTGATAGGGTGTAACTCGAGAAGTCAGGCCGTTGAACACGCACAGACGGCATGTGCTCAACTTGCTGTGACTGGATCTCAGCTTGACTCAGAGAGTCCAGATGGATGATTGAGTCTCAGCATCCTACAAATCCTTACTTTGCTTGTACAAAACACCATCCACACATCAGATTACTACCCATCTCTCGACTGGGGACCCCCAACCCGCCCTCTCTTGGCACCTGACCTCCCACGATCAAATCACCAACGCCGCAATGCCCGACATGCGAGGGTTCTACCGCCTCGTCGGATTCCTGACTTGTGCCTGTATCCCATGGCTTCACCGTCGTATCGTGGAATCAGACGTCGAATCTCTGTCGAAAGCGACCCCTCCATGTTACGAAGTTCATACGCATCACGCCCGATATTCAAGAGACCCGTATATGGGAGCCAGCGCAATACACTTCAACCTACCGGAGAAAAACAACTCGCTTGATGGGACAGAGTACCTGGAAAGCAAGCCAAATGCCGATGATGACGGATGGATGTGCAGCCATAGGAGATGCTGTCAGTAAAATCAACAGAGGTTTCGCACGAGCTAGTCAAAATGAGACTTCTTTCCCTGTCTCTCATCTTCGTGTATCTATGGGACCTGACAAACCCAGCACTGCCCACGACAATACAAGCTAAACTCCTGAAAAGAACAGTTTTTCCTTCAAAATGACAATGTACCCCAAACACCGTACGCTTATAAGTGTAAATCGTTGACATGAACCTATCTCATCATCGTCATTGAGCCCCTCCAGCATGGGACTCGGCAACTGTCGACGCAGGTCGATAGCTCTGCGCCTCCGCCGCCCTCAACTCGGTCAGCCACGAGTCCATGCGCCTCTGCTTGTCCTCGCCGGCCTGGACAAGCCGCACGTAGGCTGCTGCGCCATCGTCGGTGTCCTCGTCCATGCTCCACAGAGTCAGGTGTTCTGCGACGGCCAGGACAGCGGCGAGGCCAATCTCAATAAACGGGTTGCGCCAGTGCCAGGAGCAGGCGGCGGAGAAGATGAGGATGCAGGTGTCCATGGCGTCGGAGAGAAGGTTCACCAGGAGCGCTCTACGCACCTCGCGCCTGCTGGGTGCATCGAGGTCAGCCGTCCAGAGCAGGCCGCCCAGGAGGAAATCCCTGGAGCCGAGAAGCGCGCCCAGCAAAAATGTCGCGCCTGTGGTGGGAATGTCAAATGACGAGAGGCCGATGGCCGGCCAGGCGATGAAGGCGAGACCACGGACGACGCGCACGGACGCGAAGAGGGTGATGGCGATGCGCTGCGCCGAGTTGAGAGGTGGCGATGGGGGTGGCGCTGGTTTGACGAGTAGAGGCTGCGTTTCCGTGATCATGACGGTGGGCGTGTCCTTCATTGCTTAAAGGGCAGAAAAGGGAATGAGAGCAAGGAGAGGAATGCCGCACTCTTGTCTTTGATATGATGAGGCAGTGGGAGTTTTGCCTTTGGGGTTGGTGGTGACTACCAGGTAGTCTCTCTGCGCTTTCAAGATTTTTTTCGCTCGACTATGGAGCCGATCGCGATTCGCGATCCCTGACGACGCGAAAGATGGGGGTAGAAAAGTGTGATGACGAGAGGACCCTCCCTGCACAGGTTCAAAAATCACACACTCTGTCGATAGACTGAAACCAGCAGGCGGAGAAATGCTCACGAGAGGAAAAGATGCAGAGTAGTAGAGGAGGAGAGCGAGGCATCACCATGTCTTATCAGTCCCAGGCCAAGAGCCCCCCCACGGAAGGCGACCACACCGATGTCTCTGGGTACGATGGAGATGGTGGGTGTCATGAAGGCTGCGGCTGGCATTGAACTAAGGTCGAGTGCGTGCAAGATGCGGAGAAACAGGGTGGGTGGCGTCGAGGCGGCGCGTGTGTTGGTTGGACGGCCAGTCTCACAAGGCGCGAGCGGGATGGGAGCTCCGGGCAGTTGAGGACAGGAGGTTGGCAGGCGGATGATGGGATTCTCTGCTTCTCGCCATCATGGTGGTTTGCGCATGCACATGCACGACAGGAGGGTTACAGTGCATGCTCATCGTGCTGCGTGAGGCGCCGCCTCCAGTCGTCACGTCGCTCGCTGGCTGGCTGGCTGGCTGGAGGCGGTGGGTGATAAATGGCGACATGGACTTTGCCCCCCTCCAGTCGCTCCGGGCCCCAACGCCACTGTCCGTGGCAGAAGCTTCGCGTCTGTATTTCTCGGGGTTCTGCTGTTCTTCTCCAGATTGCTCGTGCCGTCTTTCTGGGGAAATGATGACAATCTGGCAGCTGGCAACGTGGTAGGGCGGAGGCACGAGTCTGAACATGTCCTCGAGATAAGGTCCTGGAGGTGTGGGCAGCCTGCGCCACACGACAACCTCACCAACAAGTGTCCACCACCTTACATGTATGATCTATCTTGGTTAGTTTACATCCAAGTACTGTGCCTTACAACTGACTGAATATCCAGGAAGAACATGATGGAAGACTATCCATAGGTATCATTAGAGGTACACATCCAAGCCTTAGACAGCACTTTAACAAGGTCCTTATTTTCCCCCGTCGCCAAGTACACTCTGGCTACCCTATGCCCACCCTTGAGCTTCCTCACCGCCTGCATGTCATGAGGATGAAGTGCACAACTCCCACAGGGCCAACCAGTAGCAATCTGTTCCTCATACGTATCATCGTCGACCGGCTGCGGGTGGCGCTACCCTTGGCGCATGCATTCAAGACCATCGCCTCGAAATGCGGGCTGCTAGTGGCCGGCACTTTTATCAGCTGCGCGGGTAGATCACATGCATCAACGAGCAGAGATGGTCTGTAGTCTGGGAATCTGCTTTGACTTGTGATCAGACCGTCTGCGATTCTTATCACCAACAGTCGATTTTTACTACTTACATGTAATTGGAAATACCAACAATCGTTGTCGAAGAGTGCCCGGTTACTACCACGTATCTAGACTCAAGATCTAGCAGGTCTAGTAGGTATGCTAGCGGACACTCACTGATGACTGGAGGCCCATTTCCGCCAATTTGAGTTTCTGCTTCTTATAACGCAGGTAGAATGAATTTTATAGACTGGCACGTGGCCGCATCTGCTCCTGCCTGTTTCTGTCCACTCCCAGAGTCTCGACTGAAGTCCCGCCCCAGCAGGCGCCTGCCAAAGGCCGATGGCATCTCTATTCCCGCGTCGCCTGCCGCGTGGTTGGCTCCAGGCGTCACCCCCCTGGCAGTTGCCAACGGGCAAAACATAGAGGCACGTCACCATACTGGGTGAAGCACGAATCCTCACAAACGACAAGCAGACGGCACAAGCCTTGGTCGACCAAGGTCTCATCTCCAACCCCCCCTGCGCCGACAACTTGTTGCACAGCATCAGCGAAAAGGTCCACGAGCCTCCTTGCATGAACGTCGATGGCCGACGCGGGAAGCCCTCGTCGCACCGAGCGGCAGGCCTCGGGCGCCAAGGCGTCATCTGCAGTGCAGCCTCAACAAGGACGAACCGAGTCGCCAGAGCCGCCTTTGCCCGGGGAAGAAGAAAAAAGGCTCCAGGAGGATGAATCTTCACCAGAGCTAGGCGTTAACGGGGCTGGGGTTGCCAATGTATCGGCCCAGGGGCTTCTACATGGTGACACCACTATCTTACCCGGGGGCTCCGACGAGGAGGAGGACGACGACGGAGAGTTCTCTGCTAGCAGCGTCAACTTTGACACAGACCGCGACTCGCTAACGTCCGAGGAGCATGATGGGTATGCCGAGTCCATGTCGCTACTCCCCAGGCTGTACGAGCACAGCTATGCGCATGGCAGGCGATATCACCGTTATCGACACGGACGGTATCCCATCCCGAACGATGAGGATGAGCAGAGTCGCGAGGAAATGATGCATGCGATGATGCTGGAAGCCACGGATGGGCGACTGTTCTATGCGCCCTTGGACGAACGCAACGTGAAGAAGGTGCTCGACCTAGGCACTGGGACTGGCATGTGGGCGATTGAGAGTCAGTCACGTTTGTCTCCGCCGGGAACCATATGCTCACAGATGTAGTTGCGGAAATGTTTCCTCATGCCACGGTAACAGGGACGGATCTCAGTCCCATACAACCTTGCTGGGTGCCACCCAATGTCAAGTTCGTCTGCTCCTCATGAGCCCAATCCCCTCGGGCGTCGCAACTGAGATTGGTAGGTTCTACGTCGACGACGTCGAAGCAGAGTGGATGAACGGTGACGACTTTGATTTCGTCCATCTGCGAAATATGATTCCGGTCCTCAAGGCTCCTGTCGACGTCCTTCGTCAAGCATACCAGTGAGTAAACCTCTCCAACGTCGTCTACTGCATGCCTGCTCACGCGATGCGGCAAGGCACATGTCGCCCGGCGGATGGATCGAACTGCAAGACGTCGACGGCCAAGTCCACACCGACGACGATACCGTCCCTGAGGACTGGCCCCTGTCCCGGTTTACGCAACACATGGTCGAGGCCTTTGCTCAATTCGGTACCAACGCGCACGCCGCCGTCTTGGGGGGCGATCAGCTGCACGAAGCAGGGTTTGTGAATATCCGGCATAATTATATCAAGCTGCCATATGGTACCTGGCCAAAAGACAGGTTCGTCAACATGGCTCCATTGGTGAGGTTTCACGCTGACCACATGGCCCAGGGTCATGCGCCTGGTAGGAATGTACTTCCGCACCGCTTGCGAGCAGTTCTTCCCGGCCGTGGGCGCTATTCACTTCCCCTTGTTAGGCTGGGGGAAGGCGGAGATGGAGGTGTTGTTCGCCGAGTGTCGACAAGCGATGCGCGATCCCAATGTCCATGCTTACGGCAAGATGCATTTCTGGAGTGGTCAGAAGCCGACATGATACCCTGTTATACAAGTTACGATTGATGATGACATGCTTAATGTGTGGTTGTAGGCAAAACCATTTCTTATTTTTTCGATGTCAACCCATTCACTATTAGTATCTACCGCCCGCTCTTCTTGGCCTTCTTCCTCCGCTGCTCGCCGTCACCAATGTCATCATCGTCAGCGCCACCGCTCCTCTTCTTGCGCCCTTCCTCGAGAAGCCTCTTCATGCCACCCGTCGCCTTGAACTTGGGGTTCGACGGGTCAATGGCAAACTCATGACTATCAAAGACAGCCTTGAAACGCGCATCGTCCACGTCCATCTGGAACTCCTCCTGCAGCTTGCCCTGCGCCTTGACGTCCTGCGCCTTCTTCTTGGACGCCTTGCCCTTCTTCGACCCGTGCTTCTCCGCCTTGACAATGTCATTCATGTCAAAGTGATCCAGGTGGGCCGCTTGCTCGTTGTCCGCAGCATCTTCGGCCATGACCTTCTCCAGCTTGGCCTTGTCGGCGGCCGAAGCAGCTTCGGCCGCGAGGCGGGCCTCGCGTTTGGCCAGGCGCTCCTCCTTTCGCTTGGCGGACTTGGACTGCGGCGCTGGTTCTTCGGCCGTGAAGAAGGGGTCGTTAAAGCCAAGATCCTCCTCATCTTGACCTGCTGCGGGCTCGGCCGCTTCGAGGACCTCATCCTCTTCCTCAGCAGCATCTGGATCAGCGCCCTCGCGCTTGGCCTTGGCCCTTTGACGCTTCTTCTCCTTGCGCTCACGCTCCTTGCGTGCGTACTTTTCAATCGTCGTCTCTTCCTTGTCGTCCTTCTTGGCCTTGGCGTTTTCGGACAGGGCTGGTGTGAAAGTGATCTCCATGTCACCCACGGGCACGTCCTTCTTGGATCCCTTGGAGGGCTCATCAGACAAGCCCAGTGCCTCGCGCATCTTCTTCCTCGCGAGCTCCTTCTTTGACAGCTTGGGCGCGCCCTCCTCACCAGCACCGGCCTCCTCTTGACCCGCTGCAGCATCCTCCTCCTCTTCTAAGAGGTCGTCTTCTGTGTCGCTGGCCAGATAGGCCTTCATGTCGTTCTCCTCCAACTCGGCCCGGCTGCCGCTGAATGCCCTCGCCATCGCATCCTTACGCGACGCCTCCTCGGGGTGCATGTCCCACGTGAGCTTGACCTTGGAGCTCTGCAGAGCATTCGTCACAAAGTCAATGGGCTTGTACGAGCTGGGCAGCTTGTCGCACCGGTCGCGCGGCTCGTCGTCAAATTCCACGTCGTCAGGCACGAACCGCAGATCCAGAAAGTTTGATGATGACTGGAACTCGGTGCCATCCGTCGCGTCGTAGATCTTCTTGGCCGTGACCAGGTCCGAGCACTCCATCACCGCGTAGTAGTATCGTAGGCGGTCGAGCTGGTACTTGCGGAGGGCGTCGCTGTCAAAGTCCTCGTCGTTGCCCTCCTGCATCAGCTGCTTCCTGATCTTCTCGTCGCTCTCTTCTTCTGAGTCGCTGTCCGAGTCAGAGTCCTTGGCCTTGGACTTGAACAGTTCCTTGGGCGGGCCCTCAACTTCCTCTTGCTGCATGCGCTCTTTGCCAAACTCGCTGGGATACACAGATACCCGCTCGACCCGCCCGCCGTCGGTCGCAAAGCTAGAGAAGAGGGCGAACAGATCGGTGGATTTGATGTGGTCCCAGTCCAGGTTGACAATGGCCAGGCGCTTGGTGACTTCGCCTCCTTCGACGTCAGCCTGCTCGTCCTGGAACTGCTGCATATTTGCCGCCGTCTCTAGCTCCACCCCGCCGTCCTCCTCGTCGGAGTCGTCTTCATCGCTTTCGGTGCTGTCGGAGTCGTCGTCCTCCTCTGACGAGGAGAAACCGCCGCCGCGGGCAGGATCGTACTTTTCGTGCGCGGCGCGTAACTCCCTCTGCACAATTTCATCGCCGTCCACCTCGACATCCTCTTCCTCGGGTTCCGCGTCGACCTTGTCCTCTTCATCCTCTTCTTGGTACAGGTTCTTCAGAGCCTTCTTCTTGGCATCGCTCTTGATCTTCCTTCCATACCGATCGACTCTTGCTTCGGCTGTGAACTCATCGTCGTCGAGCATGCGCGAGAAGCGCTTGTCAATCGTCGTCTTGTTCTTCTTCTTCGAGGGCAAGCGGAAGCGAGGGTCTGTCTCGAACGAAGCGAAGCGGGGGTCAGAAATGCGAGCGGGCGCGGCTGACGAGCCCGCCTTGGCCTTTGTGCCTTTCGCCATATCCAGATACGGTGTCGCAGAATTCGGAGCGATTGTCGAATGCGACAGGTGCACGTAGCGCAAATGACGAGTGACGGGGAGCGTTGGTGGTGGAGGGGCAGAATCTGTGATTTTTTTGGCGGTGAGGGTATTCTGCCAGGCGGTGTGGCCGCACTGTGTTGGCTGACAGAATGAGAGCGACAGTGTTTGACTACAGCCCCTTGAAGGGTGATTGAGTTTGGGAACGAGTTTAGTGGTTTGTCACATCTTGATTTCTATAGCATGAGACTATCTGTCTTCTATTCCTCTATCGAACGACGGCGTCCTTGAGCGTCTGGACCGTGCAAACGCCACCACTCTCAGTGACGAGCTTGCCAAAGCCCGTCTTGCCCAGCTGCTCGACAGCGCCAGCATTGAACGCAACCTCGAGGTTGTCAGTAGTGGTGAAGCCGGGCTGGATCGTCTCCCAGATCTTCTTCTTGGGGTTCAATTGACCCTCGGGCTTGTCGGCACCCCAACCCTCGAAGAACACCCTTTCACCAGCCTTGCTGCCCTCGGGTGGGCTGACCAGCTCGACGGGACCCTTGTGGTCGTCGGTCTCGCCCTCCTTGACCTTGGGGGAAGCGGCCAGCACCATGGCGGAGGACTTGATGCCACGCATCTTGACGGGCTTGAGGTTGCAGACAACCACAACCTTGCGGCCCTGCATGTCCGCAAGAGGGATCAGACCGTTGAGACCCGAGCATACCGTGCGGCAGATCTGGCCCTCGTATTCGGTGGTGTCCTCACCCGCAGGGTCGCCCATGGCAATCGTAGACACGTAGAGCGAGTCGGCATCGGGGTGGTTGACAGCCTTGAGAATGTGACCGACACGTAGATCGATCAGAGAGGGCGAGAGGGGAGCCGCAGCGGGCGCGGCCTTCTGCGGCTTCGGGGCCTTCTCCTTCTTTTCCTTCTTCTCCTTCTTCTTGCCCTCGACGCCGGCGACAGTCTCCTTGGCCTCAGCAACCTTCTCCTTCACCTTCTCCTTGGTGCGGTCGACAAGCGACGCGTCCTTGCCCTCACCGCCAGCGGCGGCGGCAGCAGCAGCAGCCTTCTCCTTCTTGAGACGTTCCTTCTCAGCCTTGGCATCAACGGGCTTCTTGACGAAGAGGACATCATCCTGGTCGACCTGCACCTTGTCGCTGACCGACAGACCGAACTGAGGGGAGTTCTGGACAAAGTCGAGGTGGCGCACAACGTGGGGACGACCCTGCTCGCCGGAGCGCTGCTCAGAGTTCCAGCCATTGACCACGGGCTTCAGGGTCTCGTAGATGGCGACATCAGCCTTGGAGGGCTTCGAGCCGAGGAGCGTGGTTCGAGACGACAGGTGCGCGTTGAGCGTATCTAGGATCGGGGACTGCTCTTCGACGGAGGAGGTCTTGAGGCGGTCCGAGGTGGTGAGCCATTGCTGGATCTCGGTCTCCTCAGTGGGAGTGTAGGTCTGGGAAGCGAGAGCGGACATTCTGGCGGCTAGTGTCGAGTAGAATCGGGAGGGACTTGGGCTGAGACGCCTCGTTAGATTGCGGATGGGAAGCAGGTTGGCGGTGGCAGAAACTGAGTCTAGGTCTCCTACTTGTAGGAGGAAGACTCGAAAATTGGGTTTTTGCTGTTTGAAGAGGGGGGACGGGAGTGCAGTGGTTGCGATGGTGGGGTCCTGGGCCCAGCATCGTCGTACCCCGCGAGACTGAGGTGCCTACCCTACACCAGGCCAAGGGGAGCAAGCGAGGAATTAAAATGAATACCCGCACAAACTTATGGGATTTCTTAGGGATTAAATGGCCCGGGAACTTATTAATCTTGCTATCCTGGAGTCATTGCAGAGGGCTGTTGAGACAAGCGTTTCCAGCGGGAGTGCACCCATCACTCTATTCACCTGATAATGGACTTCAAGAATTGTCAGGTGGGCTTGTGTTTCTCAATACACAAGTTGAAAGAAGCACTTCCGATATTAATATTTCAACATTGGCCACCGCAACAGGAGTATTTGGCAATTCTTCATTGTGCCTGCGCAAGTGACGCAGTTGTTGGCACGGTTTCATGGCGAGCGAGCGTGAATGGAAAACGTGATCGCGCGTTGCCGCTTGGGGCGTCCAGGCAGCTGCAGGCACTTTAACACCCCTGCCGCCCGCCCCATGATGCTCGACACACGCGACGAAGCGCGTCGCTTTCTTCGACTCTGGCACTGTCAACTCAGTTGCCATTCACGTCTGCCTCCAAGTGAATGGAAGGCTTGAGTGCTTGCTCACATTCCCCTGAAATCATCCCCATTTGAATCCTTTGGCTATTTCGTCACCTTTGCTGCCCTCTCCTCCTTGCTTCTCCCTTCCTTCATCGGCAGCGTCATCGACTCCCGATTGACGACGATCTGCAGTGCCAGGGCGCAACATCGCATCGACGCCTGACGAAGCGGAAGCTACTCGACTTCGTCGATGTTCGCTCAAATTTTCAACTCCTTGCATTGACCTAGCAAAACACAATATGGCTACCGCATCTTCCTCAGAGGACGAATTGTCCCGGTTATCAACCAGCGCCCCGACGTCGCCCCCTAAGTCCAAGGCGGCATCGCCCGCCAATTTGAAAGCCGAGGGGAATCTCACCGAGGACCAGATCTTTGAACAGGAGGAGGAGGCAAAGAAAGCCAATGCGCGCCTCGAAGAAGCCAACCGCAAGGCCCAAGCTAAGCGCAAACCTCGCAAGAAGAAGGCGGAAACAAAGGCGGAGCGCGATGCCAAGGCGCGAGAGCTTGATGAGCTCTTGATGAAGAGCGCTGCCTTCAGCGACATCTTGACAAAGAAGACCCAAGT